ATTTTAGAATCTACGTTATTCTTATGGCGAAAATGGCCCTATTTGAAAAATTACGTATAGCGAAAAAAAGCAAATTTTAGTCAATTTTCCAAAGCCTAGCAGCACACCCTTTCCGCACAAGACGCATTCGATTTGATTATTTCATGTTAAAGAGGTTTACCTGAAGTTTGCCACACAACTAGAACTAAGCCTTTTTTATTTTAGAATCTACGTTATTCTTATGGCGAAAATGGCCTTATTTTGAAAAATTACGTATAGCGAAAAAAGCTTATTTAGTCAATTTTCAAAGCCTAGCAGCACACCCTTCCGCACAAGACGCATTCGATTTGATTATTTCACGTTAAAGAGGTTTACCTGAAGTTTTTCCTACAACTAGAACCTAAGCCTTTTTTATTTTAGAATCTACGTTATTCTCTATGGCGAAAATGGCCTTATTTTGAAAAATTACGTTATAGCGAAATAAGCTTATTTAGTCAATTTTCAAAGCCTAGCAGCACACCCTTCCGCACAAGACGCATTCGATTTGATTATTTCACGTTAAAGAGTTTACCTGAAATTTTTCCTACAACTAGAAACCTAAGCCTTTTCATTTTAGAATCTACGTTATTCTTATGGCGAAAATGGCCTTATTTTGAAAAAATTACGTATAGCGAAAAAAGCAAATTTAGTCAATTTCCAAAGCCTAGCAGCACACCCTTCCGCACAAGACGCATTCGATTTGATTATTTCATGTTAAAGAGGTTTACCTGAAGTTTGCCACACAACTAGAAGCTAAGCCTTTTTCATTTTAGAATCTACGTTATTCTTATGGCGAAAATGCCTTATTTTGAAAAATTACGTATAGCGAAAAAAGCTTATTTAGTCAATTTTCAAAAGCCTAGCAGCACACCCTTCTGCACAGACGCATTCGATTTGATTATTTCACGTTAAGAGGTTTACCTGAAGTTTTTCCTACAACTAGAACCTAAGCCTTTTTTATTTTAGAATCTACGTTATTCTTATGGCGGAAATGGCCTTATTTTGAAAAATTACGTATAGCGAAATAAGCTTATTTAGTCAATTTTCAAAGCCTAGCATCACACCCTTCCGCACAAGACGCATTCGATTTGATTATTTCATGTTAAGAGATTTACCTGATGTTTGTCACACAACTAGAACCTAAGCCTTTTTTATTTTAGAATCTGGGGTATTCTCATAGCGAAAATGACCTTATTTGGAAAATTACGTATAGCGAAAAAAGCTAATTTAGTCAATTTTCAAAGCCTAGCAGCACACCCTTCCGCACGAGAGGCATTCGATTTGATTCTTTTATGTTGAAGAAGTTAACCTGAAGTTTCCCACACAACTAGAACCTAAGCCTTTTTTATTTTAGAATCTACGTTATTCTTATGGCGAAAAAGGCCTTATTTGGAAAAATTACGTATAGCGAAAAAAGCTAATTTAGTCAATTTTCAAAGCCTAGCAGCACACCCTTCCGCACAAGAGGCATTCGATTTGATTATTTCACGTTAAAGAAGGTTTACCTGAAGTTTTTCCTACAACTAGAACCTAAGCCTTTTTTATTTTATAATCTACGTTATTCTTATGGCGAAAATGGCCTTAATTGGAAAACTACGTATAGCGAAAAAAGAAAATTTAGTCATTTTTCAAAGCCTAGCAGCACACTCATCCGCACAAGAGGCATTCGATTTGATTCTTTTATGTTAAAGAAGTTTACCTGTTGTTTGCCACACAACTAGAACCTAAGCCTTTTTTATTTTAGAATCTGGGGTATTCTCATAGCGAAAATGACCTTATTTGGAAAAATTACATATAGCGAAATAAGCTTATTTAGTTAATTTTCAAAGCCTAGCAGCACACCCTTCCGCACAAGAGGCATTCGATTTGATTATTTCACGTTAAAGAGGTTTACCTGAAATTTTTCCTACAACTAGAACCTAAGCCTTTTTCATTTTAGAAGCTACGTTATTCTTTTGGTGAAAATGGCCTTATTTTGAAAAATTACGTATAGCGAAAAAAGCTAATTTAGTTCAAAATAAGGCCATTTTCGCCGTAAGAATAACGTAGATTCTGAAACAAAAAAGGCTTAGGTTCTAGTTGTGTGGAACACTTCAGGTAATCTTCTTTAATGGGAAATAATCAAATCGAATGCCTCTTGTGCGGAAGGGTGTGCTGCTAGGCTTTCAAAATTGACTAAATTACCTTTTTTCGCTATGCGTAATTTTTCTAATTAGGGCCATTTTCGCCATGAGAAAAACGTAGATTCTAAAATAAAAAAGGCTTAGCTTCTAGTTGTGTGGCAAACTTCAGGTAAACCTCTTTAACATGAAATAATCAAATCGAATGCCTCTTGTGCGGAAGGGTGTGCTGCTAGGCTTTGAAAATTGACTAAATTAGCTTTTTTCGCTATACGTAATTTTTCAAAATAAGGCCATTTTCGCCATAAGAATAACGTAGATTCTAAAATAAAAAAGGCTTAGGTTTTATTTGTGTGGCAAACTTCAGGTAAACCTTTTTAACATGAAATAATCAAATCGAATGCCTCTTGTGCGGAAGGGTGTGCTGCTAGGCTTTGAAAATTGACTAAATAAGCTTATTTCGCTATATGTTTTTTTCCCAAATAAGGCCATTTTCGCTATGAGAATACCCCAGATTCTAAAATAAAAAAGGCTTAGCTTCTAGTTGTGTGGCAAACTTCAGGTAAACCTCTTTAACATGAAATAATCAAATCGAATGCCACTTGTGCGGAAGGGTGTGCTGCTAGGCTTTGAAAATTGACTAAATTAGCTTTTTTCGCTATACGTAATTTTTCAAAATAAGGCCATTTTCGCCGTAAGAATAACGTAGATTCTGAAACAAAAAAGGCTTAGGTTCTAGTTTGTGTGGAACACTTCAGGTAATCTTCTTTAATGGGAAATAATCAAATCGAATGCCTCTTGTGCGGAAGGGTGTGCTGCTAGGCTTTCAAAATTGACTAAATTACCTTTTTTCGCTATGCGTAATTTTTCTAATTAGGGCCATTTTCGCCATGAGAAAAACGTAGATTCTAAAATAAAAAAGGCTTAGCTTCTAGTTGTGTGGGAACTTCAGGTAAACCTCTTTAACATGAAATAATCAAATCGAATGCCTCTTGTGCGGAAGGGTGTGCTGCTAGGCTTTGAAAAATTGACTAAATTAGCTTTTTTCGCTATGCGTAATTTTTTCAATTAGGGCCATTTTTGCCATGAGAAAAACGTAGATTCTAAAATAAAAAAGGCTTAGCTTCTAGTTTTGTGGCAAACTTCAGGTAAACCTCTTTAACATGAAATGAATCAAATCGAATGCCTCTTGTGCGGAAGGGTGTGCTGATAGGCTTTGAAAATTGACTAAATTAGCTTTTTTCGCTATACGTAATTTTTCAAAATAAGGCCATTTTCGCCATAAGAATAACGTAGATTCTAAAATAAAAAAGGCTTAGGTTTTATTTGTGTGGCAAACTTCAGGTAAACCTTTTTAACATGAAATAATCAAATCGAATGCCTCTTGTGCGGAAGGGTGTGCTGCTAGGCTTTGAAAATTGACTAAATAAGCTTATTTCGCTATATGTTTTTTTCCAAATAAGGCCATTTTCGCTATGAGAATACCCCAGATTCTAAAATAAAAAAGGCTTAGCTTCTAGTTGTGTGGCAAACTTCAGGTAAACCTCTTTAACATGAAATAATCAAATCGAATGCCTCTTGTGCGGAAGGGTGTGCTGATAGGCTTTGAAAATTGACTAAATTAGCTTTTTTCGCTATACGTAATTTTTCAAAATAAGGCCATTTTCGCCATAAGAATAACGTAGATTCTAAAATAAAAAAGGCTTAGGTTCTAGTTGTGTGAAAAACTTCAGATAAACCTCTTTAACGTGAAATAATCAAATTGAATGCCTCTTGTGCGGAAGAGTGTGCTGCTAGGCTTTGAAAATGGACTACATTAGCTTTTTTCGCTTAACCTAATTTTTCCAAATAAGGCCATTTTCGCTATGAGAATACCCCCAGATTCTAAAATAAAAAAGGCTTAGGTTTTAGTTGTGTGAAAAACTTCTGGTAATCTTATTTAATGGGAAATAATCAAACCGAATGCCTCTTGTGGGGAAGGGTGTGCAGCTGGGCTTTGAAAATTGACTAAATTATCTTTTGTCGATATACGTATTTTTTTCAAACAAGGCCATATTCGCTATGAGAATACCCTTGATTTTTAAAATGAAAAGGCTTAGGTTCTTAGTTGAGCTGAAAAACTTCAGGGTAAACCTCTTTAATAACAAATAATGAAATCGAATGTCTTTTGTGCAGAAGGGTGTGTTGCTGGACTTTGAAAATTGACTAGATTTAACTTTTTTCGTATACGTAATTTTCCCAATAAGGCATTTTCGCTATGAGAAAAACGTAGATTCTAAAATAAAAAAAAGACTTAGGTTCTAGTTGTGGGAAAAAATTAACCTCTTTATTAATAAATAATGAATCGAATGCCTCTTCCCGCGGAAGGGATTTTGCTTGGATTTGAAATTATCTCGCTTTATTTGCTTTTTCGAAGGAAGTTAAATAAAATTCGTTTCCCCTTTTTTTTGTTTTTTCATTCCTTTCAAGCTTTTATTATTTATTTTTTGCTATATAATTGTTATTTTTCCTAAATTATAAACATATTTCCCATAATAGTATGCTAATTTCGTTTATCTTCATTTTTTCGGGTGTAGATTTTGACACGCCTCCATTTCTGCCATAAATATTAACCTTTCCGCTTCGCCGCACACAAAGGTCAAATTGCTACTAGCTTCACAGTGGTGATGAAGCATCATACCTTGTTTACGCCAGAACTCATTCAGTAGAATTCTCCTTTTGATTGTCGCCGAGTCGAAGTAGTCAAGGAGTGTTTGAAACTTAGTTGGTTAATTTTGAAAATTATGATTTGTTCACCAGCTACAGTTTACTTTACCTGTTTTTGACTCAGGTTACAGTATATTGTTTTCAGTCGTCGGTGCCCTTCGGCTTGCTATCATTTTTTATTTTTTTTGACTGAGCCCCCCTTTCACCCTTTTATTTACTATTCAGTACCGTAATTATCAGAACCTTATTATTAATGAATGAACTAAAGCTGGACAACTTTTTAAAAATTAAACTTGTGGATGGAGATGCTGACCTAGGTGATTACTTTTTTTTGTTTGCTGATTCAACTACTGAAAAATTTGCAAAAAATATTGTACTAGTCACTATTATTAGTCTCTTAGTGCTACTTGTTGAAATCATCAATACTGGTACCATAAAGTAATTTACTACTGCACTACATTCCGCTGTTCTGACAGTATTGCAGTAGGAACTACAGAACTAGATCTTATTAGTCTATTCTACTTCAGTACCGGTAGTGTATTTTTATCAAACAAAAAGGACGCACAATCTGAAAACGATACCATTGGATTATCAACAAAATTATGTGCGTTCTAGAGTTTTTAGCATGAAAGGCAATATTTGATCACTTGACAGCGGCTGTACAGCTGTAGGAAGCGATAACAACATAAGCGTGTGATTGATGTTTTAAGCAAAAACCTGATTAATTTCGATTTATTTTTAGATGATATCCAAGAGTCCAGAAGTTTTATTGGTCCATCACATCGCAGACTTGGAGATGCTGGAGAAACACATTGTTGTGCATTTTCACCGGATGGAAAATTACTAGCTTGGTCTATTGCACATGGATTTGTAAAAGTTTGCTGGTTTGCACCCATCGCAAACAGGAATGCATCAGAAGATAGTTTGTTATCAAAGTACGATCAGCGAAGTATCTGCTTCTCTGAATATGTATATACAGGGTGACTCAATAAACAGAACCCTTGTCATTTGAAACATATTTCAAAAAAAGCTTTTTTGCAAATTGTACTAATTTACTGAAATGTTTGGGTATAATCACACACAAACAGAAGCTAAAGTGTTCTTTAATTTTCGTAGAAGTATTTGAATGAATACACAATAAAAAGATTTTTTTTAAATTTGGTTCAAGTATCGTAATTAAAAAATGTAAAGGTCTCTTTTGGTCACCCATATTGATAGATAAAATTATGCTACTAAAATATGTTAAATTATGCAACTTTTTTTAGTAACTCTGAACTGACAATTGACTGTGCAAAGAAGGTCGTAACATTAAAGTTTGGTCCTTTGAGATGTGACGTAAATGAAAATGTTAAGTATCTTTTGGCAACTGGGCTGGACTGTGGAAGAATTAAATTATGGAACCCTTTTACAGGTGATATACCCATGATTAGTCAGTGACTTTTTATATTAATGAGTTGAAGGTTCAGGCACTTTCTCTTTAACATATTTTCAGCCCCGTGAACCCAGCATGAATGGTTGGTTTTAATTTCCCTTTCTTCAATTGGAAATATCAATCAGTACAAAGGAAAATTTCCTGTGCATCAATATGATATGTATAGTTTTATCACAGTGTTTCACATCAGGATAATGAAATTAGGGCTATCCAGCGCAACAATGAGGACCCTATCAAGCAATATCCCAGGGCTGTGGCCTGTTGGTGAAGGTCGTGACCCCAAAAATATGGCTCGATAAAAATCTTTCGATTGATTATCCTGCCGACTTTGTGATACTCTTTAGAATGTAATTTATGTAATGAACAGAATTATCTTGCATGTTTCGACTATGCTCCCGGGCTGATTTTAAGAGTGAGAGTCCCAACAGTTTTTATCTGATTGTGTTCTTCATTGAGCATCTAAGACTGGCTCACTGTTCCTTTGATATTCTATTGAACCTTTCACCATTCTTTTTTTTTAGGTGAAATGATGTATAATTTGTCAGATCATCATTTCGATGTAAAAGCATTATCTTTTGCTTTACTCGGAGAACCTCTTCTTATATCATGCTCGCTAGATAAGACTTTGAAGGTAAACTATTATCAGTTGATATTTATTACCCACGTGAATTTTTGAATATAACTCAATCGTTCTTTCTTCTGTATGTTTTTTTCATTGCAATTTTTTCGTGTTTTATAAATAAGGTATGGGATTTAGCTGACGATGGCAACATGACTTTAACAATAACAGGACATCCATTATCAGTGTTTGATTGTGCTTTTTCTCCTGTTGATCCATCTCTGATTTGTTCAGTTGGAAAAGGAAGCTGTGTAAGTTTGTTTATTTACCTAAATTATCGTTGTAGAATAGAATTTAAGATGACAGTGTTCTTTGACTATTAAAATATGTCTGAAGAAATTCATCTGAATGCTATTTTATATAGAATTGTTTTCTGCTGATGATTTTGAATAATATTTTTTTAATGCCTTTTTCAATTAGAATTTACCGAGTAAATTTGTATAATAATCGGACTTTCATTGTGTTGCGAACCTGTTAGAATATGCTGTTAAAAAGTTGTCAAAGATTGATCAATAAATCACATTTTTATATGAAAACATCTGTGTTCTATATCTGTATTTAATCGTTGACTTATATTGGCACAATAAACTAGTCCAGTGGTCCTAAAATGTGTGTCGTGGTGCAGTAGTGCACCGTGAAATAATTTCACCACAAAATATCAGTATATTTCCTAAAAATTACTTCTTGTATGTCCACATTCAATTAAGAATTTAAAAAAAAATTGAATTTTTCAAATTGCGTTTCGACTCATTTTATAGGTTGTAATTGGGTCATGAGTTTGAAGAAAAGTTTACAACTTCTGCACCAGTCATTACTTTTGTAGAACTTTTTGTTCTTTATAGACGCAGATAGTCACAAGACTAGAGGTTTTTGTTAATTCACAATTCGAAAAATTCTGTTTTGTTACATTATCAAATTATCAATTTTCTTCGAAATAATCTATTGTTTCAAAAAATTGCAGACCTATAGAAAATTTCCAAATTTCTTTTACCATGCTAGATGTAAATGTGCTAACAACCTCTACGACCTTGTTTGATGAAAAGGGTGTATTTGCCTGATCAAAACATTTCGGTGTTCATTACTATGAAGAATAGGGACCTGAAGGGTTTACTAAAACTTGTTTTTAATATTTATTTAGTCACACCACTGTTTGGTCACTGTTTGCTTGCTTATCATTAAGGTAATTATTTGGAAACTACATAACAAAAGACATTGTACAAAGAAGAGTCAATTACGAGGGCATCATAATGATGTTGTGTCGTGTTCCTGGTCTCCTGACGGAGCTCTTGTAGCTACTGCATCACATGATACGACTGTAATAGTTTGGGATCCTCACATCAGTCAGCAAATTATGGTCTTGGGGTAAGAAAACTGTTTGGTTAAATATTGAAAATATCATTTTACTTGAAAGGAATTCTATACATACCACAAATTTTTGTGGTTAATTTTTAATGAATAGCAGTTTGGGCTTTCAAAATTCAAATTGCTAAGTAAATGATTTTACGTGCCTAGTGCAGATAATAAAGTCTTCATTACTGATCATAGAGAGTTTTGAGACAGCGATCATCTCATTTGTAATTATCCCTACGGCGTTCGAACCTGCAAACCAACGCAGGATATCAGAGGTGTAGTGGCGGCTGGCGAGCATATTTCTAACGCTTAACACGATGTGGCATACCACTGACCCAACTGTATTTGCATCACATATTACACATTTCTGGTTCAAATTCCACGGTGTAATAAATTTGGCAGGTTATGCCTAACTGAAAATATAACAGTAACCTTCCCAATAATGTAACTTTTCACATATCGTTAAATGTCAGTAGCAGCCTGTATAGGACCCTGTTCATAGTGATAGGTGTTGTATAAATATTTATTATTATGTCAAGTCATGCTTAATTGGTCAGCAGTTATGGGTAACTCTGCGTTTATCAAAAAATTCCAGCAAATATGCTCATATTATACGATTAACAAAAACAACAAACCTGGGGTTCGATTATTGCTTATTTCTCAGTCATTAGCCTAATGTAGAACAACACATCAGTAACATACTGGTTGCTGAATTTTAGGCATGTCAACCCTCTACCAGAACCAATATTTGCAGGTGGTGCAAACGGTGCTTGGCTCAGTTGCGTCTGTTTCTCACCAGATGGAAGTCAAATTGCAACTTTATGTGAAGATGAAAAGTAAGTGACAAGTGACAACACATTAACAGATTTGAATAACCTGTATTTAACAATTCTCTGTCAAGTGTGAAAAATGGATAGAAATATGCAACGAAAATGAACTTCATAGCTTGTTAAGCTTATACCATATATAAGCTATATGATCTGTACTAGAGTACTAGAGAAGAGAATATTTATACCAATTTGCCATTTTGTTTGTAATTGCATATTTGATAGTTGTGAATTGTGATGCTGTAGGCCTTCATATTGTCATTTTGGAAAAAAGTATGATTGATCAAACGAATACATGTTAATATTCCTTTGTGTATTATGAAAGTTATCGATATGCTGAGCTTCGTCTTGGAAATTTATGCAAATGTTTGATCGATATGAATTTAGTTAACAGATTGTTTAATTGGATTGAATATTAAATACTCACTGGCTTGATTTATTGTATATTGATTGGCTGATTTAATTCTCAGTTGCCGAAACAAATTTTGTGGATGCAGGTGCGGCTTTACTGTCAGCAGTCTTCAAAATGTCGATTGGAATTAAAATTTATATACCATTCTAAGTAATCTTAAAATCTTGCTATAAGCCGAAACAAGTATTCTTCTGCGTATTAAATAACTGTGTCTACATTTTCATAAAGCACATTGAATCATACTAGTTTTAATTTTTTAGTTTGAAAAAAAACTTTGCAACAATATCTGTAATGCAAATATTCTGAGAAAAGGTGGTATTCACATTATTCATAGTTTTTTGACCTGTTTTTTTTTAATGACTAACTATGAACAATATTTGTCCTGTTCGTCATTGTGATTTATCTACTATTTAATAGTTTTAAGTTTACTGTACTTACGGTGTTCAGCTCTCGGAACTGCCTTTGTCTTGTGTAAACTTTCAATATTAGACAAGATGGTATGGAATTTATATGTTAGTTTTAATGAATAACCTGTTGTGTATTGACATTTTTAAACTAATATGCAAATTTTCCTCACTCAGGTTACGTGTATGGTCTTTGTGGACAAATGAACCAACGAGAGAAAAATCTCTGAATAAACCAGGATCCGTTTGCATATTTTCACCAAATGGATCTTCTATTGCATTGGGGTAAATTATGATGATTGTATGTATTGTTTGAATATAATATGCAAATTTATGGTTTTCAAATATTATGATCAGGTGACACTCTGAGATGGTTAAATCAATGCATTGTGTACAATGATGTCCAAATAATTTTATTTTGAAAACGGGAGTTACAAAATTTCTATTACAAAATAGTTTTTGTTATAATAACTTTATATCATGATGGTAATAATGACTTATAATAACCTATACAATACTAAAGAAATTTTTTCATCTAAGGTCGTTTTTTATATGTGGGAAGTGGGGAATTATTTTGACTCGTATCATATCAAAATAACAGATGCCAGAATAAGTATTAGAGGCAAATATTCTAGACATCAAATTTTTTTATTTTTGTTTGAGATACCTATATTCCATACTCTGATATTCAACTTTTTATTCACTTTTATTATGGGCATATTCGTAATAAGAGCATTATAAAGAAATCATTTCAATATGTAGAAAATTCAGAAAACTCGAAAAACTCAAAACTCCTTTTTTGGTGTGTTTTACTGAGTTAGCAAAATATGTTGATAAATACTTGTACACGTATATGGCAGTCGAGCAATGTCATTTATATATAAGCCTGAGGCATTGTATGATGATAATATATTTATGTTGTCTCGTTATTGTCAAAATTGCCTTATTATGTAGTATTATTATTTGTTTATGTATGATTAGTCTTGTTATGTAATTATCTTCGTGTATTAGAAGTGTTGTATGATACCAATTTTCCAAAATATTATTGTTTCATTGAATCCACCTGGAATAACTTGTTTTATTACCATAAAATACAGTCTTTCCTATATTAAGATACACCTTAAATTAATAGTTTTAAAATCCTTGGCATGTGACATTTTTAATTTTATTTGTTACAAAATATCACTTATATTTTCGTGTGTTGCGTGTCCAATATTCCTTCTGATATCCTTTATAATTATTCTGAATTAGACAATATGTACGAGCATTGCCAGTCAAAGTTTGAATCGGGCATTTCCTTCTATCATTTCACTGGTTTATAATTCTTAGTTCGCTCATGCTTAGGTGGGTTGTCATCGCCCTCATACTACTGTTATGCCATAAATAACAGAAAACCAAAACTCCATCTTTGAGAAAAAAAAAAGGACTTTGACTTCTTATAGAATATAGATAATAATGGAATGTCATGATTGGTCATCACTCATCACTGACTTGTAGTTTACATATAAACAGCTCTGATGGATTATTTTTATTTTACATAAAAATATGTTTTTAATCATGTTTTAAAGCCTATTTTAATCATTTATTTTACAGTAATTCTGCTGGATCAGTTGTAATACTGGATATTGGGTTGTCAGTGATGCCTTTACGTCATTTAAGCAGACTTGCATTACGTACAGTGTACAATACCTCGGAATTACAAATACTCTCATTGCCTTCAATGATCAAACGTTATCTTCAATACACTGCAAGACAATTTTGAGAAAATTAGCAGTGATTAGAATATCTGGAAATTTGCTGGAAATAAGTATACAAAGTGAAATAGTCTGAAGCCTATATAATTTGATAAAATATGCCGTCATCATGGCCTTTGTCAGATTTTTTTAATAAAAACGTTTGGATCTGTGAATTATTTGAATGATACTAAATAGTCAAACAGTGTTTTACAATATCTTTGCACAGTTATTAAATGAAATACGTCAACACCTTACTGCTTCGTCCATATGGCCTTTATATGCTCTTAGAACTGATTGGATGATTTTGTCAAACGTTTTTTTACGCCTCCTGCTGGTTATGAATGAGAGGATTATGAAGTCTTCTATCTCACTCCACAAAAATGTGAAATCAGTCGGTACAGGTGCACATTGCATATTGTGTTGCATTTTTATTTTTACTCCATTTTTAAAACAATTATTACCGAAATATCTCAATTATTCTGCTTTTTGTGATTTAAAGAATTTGTGGTGTACATTCTCATCTTCTTCCTATATCAAACCACTTTTTTTGAGAGAAATACGTTACGTTAACCGCCAAATTACTGCATTTATGATTCATGGGTTGTTGCATTATGCTATACTTGCATCAATTTCGATTTTCAAATTCATATCGAGTGTGTAATGTTTTTAGAAATTATCTATGTTGACTTATTCCATATAAATTGATCTGATAGGAATATCATATTCACAGTGAGAGAATGTTGTATGTATCAAAGCATTATTAGTTGAATTCCAACAAATTATACTCCATATGCTTCTTTGCTACAAATCATCTTTATTAACAGTAGTCTGTTTTTACTGCCTGCAACAGAGCTTGGTGATAGGTATTCAGAGTGTATTTGCATGTCATTGAATATGATTTTATGAAAAAATTTGTAATTTTTGTGAGTATATATTGTGATACGAGTGTGTGCTTCACTTATATAGAAGTCAGATCACGCAATTAGAATGATTGTGAAAACTTGTTTGTTCAAATCACCTAATCAATTGATGATAAATTTAAAATGTGATTTCAATTTTCAATTGCTTGGTCAAGAACGACCAGTATTTGTCATATATTTTCGAATATACTATTTCATTAATATCGTTACAAATTGTATATTTCTGTTTTCTAATATTATTTTTGCATTATAAGGTTTGTCACACTACTTGTTCTAGTCGCTTATTCAGTTAAGTGGCTGCTATGTTGCTTTTAATGATTTTCTTTAATGCTGTCATCCTTATTCTTAAATCAGTTTTGAGATAGAGCCCTGTGATTCATTGGTATGATTTACACCTTATGAGGTCACATGTTGACATACTGAATCCTATTTGCTCATTGTGCATTTCAGCCCAAAACTTCTTTAGTGGACAATAACTACACATAGGCTAATATGTTTGTCTGGGAATATTTCACCAAACTTGAACTTTAGGATTATTTCTATATACCCATATCTCGGCGCCATCTTAGTAGAAGAATGTAGTCTACCTGCTGTCACGCTCTTCTGATTTTTGTTTTATATAAAGATTCTGCCTAGGTTCTATGTTTTTGATGTCTGTATGACAACTTTTGTATCATTTATTACTTGCTGCGAATTTCTTGTCTGTTCCCCCTTGCACCAATACACAATCAATTGATGGAATACATTCTACTGCATTATGATATTAATAAAATAGTATTAAATATAGTTCTCTGTTCATTGTACTCACTCAATACTTAAAAACAAAATTCACAAGAGGTTAGGGTGGTTATTGCTAGTTCTGGGAGCTTATGCCGCAGTGAATAGGAGAGGTGCTAATACTTCGAAACAGGGCTGGGGAGTCACAATCAAGATCAACAATCGGCTCCCAACTGCAGGTCGAGAAATATCGATTCTTATTACATCTCTGAACTCCACGAAAATCAAATTTTGCCAGCATATACTCCATATGCCGCCCTAAATGGACTGATAAGAACGCTTATTAAAATCAACGCTTTTTGTGGACTTCTTTTCTGAAGCATTAAAATTCCGACCTGAGTGATGTGCGAAAATGTGCACAGCCCCGGTTCGAGCACAAGCTTTTTATCGGGCATGAGGTAGGATAAGCTTTTCGTGTTTATTCAGCGGAGAGGAGCGCCGACGAGGCGGCTTAATGTTAGGCAAGTCACGGCCCCATGTCAGGCTACCAGTCCATGTTGTGTTTGGTTTCAAGTCAACGTTTGCAAGTTTTCTTTAGTTTAAATTTGAAATTTTGACTCGACTTTGCGGTGCTTAAGACATGTATCGGAATTCAATAACAATTAAGATTAACTGAGCTACGATTTCCTGGCCATGTTTGTTGCGTTCGCATAGATAGATAGTCAGTAGAGCAATAGCAAACATCTTCCAGGTGATTCGCTGTCTAAGCAAACGTAGAATTACGAGTTGAGGGCCCATTCGTCGGCACCGTAAAAAGCTTACCAGATAGTGGTTGCAAAATGTGGAATTTTGATGACCTTTGGTTTGCTGTTAAAAAGAATTGACTTCTTTCTTTTTGGTGAGTGTTATTGATTCACCGCGAGCACACGCTGGATGCGAATCAGTATCAAAATTCTCATGTTATCACCAGAAAAAGAGATTTTGTATACGCATTTATTATTTTCCAATAGCACTCATATTTTCGGTGCTTTTTCTTTGCCTTATTTCTCGTGCAAAGTTTCGAAAGTCTTTTTCAAGGTCATCGAATGAAACTTTTTCGCATTTTATAAAACTCCGTTTGGCCTTATGAGTGACGGTTGATTGGAACTCAGGATTTCGCTCTCCAGTATGTGCAGTTTTGTTCATTTGTATCGCCCCAGTCTGTTTGTTTGTCGATGGAGGGATGTCAATCTCTGTATCAGTTTTCTTGCGTCCACCGGAATCAATAAGTTTATCCAATCTGTTTGAAACCGCACCAACCCATGATTCTTGTCGACGTACTTTCTTTCTTTTGACAAGGTTTGTAGTTTGATTTTGATTCTTCGTCGGAGCTGGGCATTCCTTGTTGCTGTTCTTTGTGGAAGCGCCATCTGTTTCATCATTTTGTGCAACTTTTTGAGATGCTTCACTTTCCACGTTCTTAACGTGAACGCGTCCAAGGTTGTCAACAATTTCTTGTAGGCTACCCATGATTTCCTCAAAAGATGCTGCTTGTTGAATATTTTTCTCTATCTCCATATTTTCTTTTTGATTTCCGGGTAAGAAAGACGAATTTCGCCTCCGTACTCTTCTCTTACGCACGTTTTTGGATGGAATCACGTCAAACTTACCAGCTGATGCGGTCCTAGTCAACACATCCTGCATTCCTGTTGAATTCGGATACGCTTTCATGGGACCCAACTTTTTATGTTCCTTTTGTAATTTTTTTCTGTCAACTTTTTCTGGAATTTCCGAGACATTAGTTTCAGATTTCCTTGAAGCGGGCTTTGGAAAAAAGTCTGATATTTTGATTCTCTTAGACGTAGAATTGTCTTTACTTTCTAGTTTTGCTTGCGATCCCTTTGGCGTACCCTCTTCTTGGGAGTTTGAATCTTTTATAGCAATTGTATCCCCGACGGTCTCAGACTCGGAACTTACAGTAAAATTGATGTCAGCCAATTGCAAATTGTTACTTCTAAACATACAGCTTTCCGAGTCAGTTTCGCTTCTTGTTTCCCACTCATCATCGGCTTTGCCGTTTCCAACAATCGCAAAACCTTTAAGCTTTGTCCTGCTTATGGGCTTTTGATTTCTCCTGCGACGTCCCACTGATACATTGCTGGGTGGAATTGGATTTCGACGATTGCCTTGATTTTCATCGAGCTGTACTACAGGAGAACGGTATATACGTTTTCCCCTACTAAAAGCTATTCTTTTCGAATCTGTCCTTTCAATTACCGTAGACGTGAACGTGCGTACATCCATTCCTCGTGTATTATTTATTGCTGAAGCGTTTTCACAGAATGGTTGGGGTGAGACAGTTTTTTGCTTTGATGACGTTTGTTGAAACATGTTGGAATCGTTCTCCGGCCGTATACAGTCATCCACACTTATGTAAGGTGAATAGTTTGCAAATAATGGGTTGTTATACGATTTTAAATTGTCAGAATTATTGTAGTCATGAAACGAATGGCGATGCTTTGTTTTGCGTCCAATCCTTAACAAACTCTCCAACGACCCAGCTAGTCGCCGGAAAAATGATTTCACGCCTCTACGTTTGGTGCTTCTCGGTATATTTTCTTCGTATTCCAAATATCCCGAATAGCTGTTTATGATTTGACTCCCGGATCCTCGACTGAATTAGGTTTGCGGGAAAACCCGGTGCAGCGTATTGAACACTGGCTGATCTCTGTCGAAAAACGTCATCATAGGACATTGCTCTACCCCGTGGATGACGATTTTTGTGTGTCGTAGGAAGGATGCCGTTAGCCTTCGAAATGTTACCGTCTTTATTCCCTATCTTTTTTTGGTATAGACGCTTCATCATTCGGCCCAGTTCTAGGATCAGATTTCATTGCTACGTGCTTCCGAGATTCTCTTTTTGATCCACTACTGACTGATGATCAGATCGTTTCAGTCGAGGTTTATTAGAGTCGTCGATTGGTACAGAATTGGCATTGTTCACTTTGTTCAGTTCTATTTCAAACGGAACCATTCCTTCATCAAATAGGATTTTTGTTGGTCGCGACTCTTGCATGCTTCCTCTACCAAGTTGATCCCGTTTCCATTTACTCAAACGCTGACCTAAAAATTGCATAAAACATGATTTTGACGATATTTCGAAATACAAATATTTGATCAGATTGAGGTCTAAATTTGGTGATAACTGAATAGCAAATTAGAGAAAAGCTACACAAATCAGCTAGTTATGTTGCAAATGTCGATAAGGTTTCGTTTTCATGTAAAAGGGTTTCATTCTCAAATATTCACGTTATTCGAACAATAAAGCAGTGTTTGTATCGGGATTTCGGGTCAATAGGAATAGATCGTCTTCATCATAATATGTTGTTTTAACTGTCGGTAGTAAATTATGTTTAACACACACAAATTTCGCCCCTGGAAAGAAATGAGCACCTATCTAATGCAAATCAAGTAATATTATTACGTGATCATTGTACAAATTCTGCTTAAGATCGAACTTGTATTTTTATAAAAGCTTTCATTTACATTTATATTAATGAGTATCAAAAGTACCTGCATATGCCTCTTTTAAAGAGGTATGCTTCCGCACTTGATGTTCTTAACTCTTGGCCGCCTTGATACAGGTCTTCGCATTATTGCTGGTCTTTGACGCCATGCTTCTGTGGAACCATCCAACTGAATACCTATCTCCGACATTTTGGGTATTATCTACCTTATTAGTTAAATGAAATAGGAAAGATCATCATTTCCAACTGAATAAATATATAATATATATATAAGGAATTATACATTCTGTAAATTACAACTACTGTGAGATATGTGTATCGGATACAATATACATTGGTGATTCCCATTAATAAACTTAGTGTGTAAAGTGTTCTCATAACAGACACAAAGTACCGTATAGTAATCAGTAGTTTATTTTCTCGCCATACTGAAAGCACACTTGATATATATACAAATTGCAATAAATAATTAAAAAGCATTTCAGGGCGAGGGGAGCCGCGAGAAACCAAATTTGGTTATCAAGCAGCGGCACCCATGAGTAAGTCTAACAAGAAAATAATAACAAAAAGTCGAACTGTACATGTTATTTGGAAAAAACAATAAATACGTCAAGGCATGCCAACCGGTATGCCCAGTAGTCTTGCGTTTCAACAACAACAAAAAACGACTTCGTGCACCAACAATCTAAGTAACCATGGCGACAGCTGTATTGAGGCAAAGTCACAATGGTAGTATTTAACCCAAATTATTTTAGTTTTACACTGTTTTACAAAATGCAGATCCCAGAGTACTAAACGACTTGCAAGTAATTGATCCTCTGAATTTTTCAACAAAAACAAACTCTGCTGTTCTAAAAGTTGTATGCTCTCCTAAAGTACTCTCGTTCTTAAATAAATGAATTGCGGTATAAAATTATTGTCGTTCTAAATATTCAATTCGTCCCTCATTCAATTCGTTATAGTTATATAAATAAACCTTAGCCACAATGAAAAAAGAGAGTGAATCCCTAAGGTTTATCTTGAAATTTCAGTCAGTATGGTGATATGTTGTACACATCATAAAATATTCAACGTGACGTGCTTCAGGCTATACAATCAATAGCTTCAATTGTCTCTGCATTGCGCAGATGAATAAGGCTGTAGAAATGAAACACGACCTGGACACATAGCGCGGGACAAAAGTTTTGATGGAAAACAAAACAAAGAAAATGTATTATGTTTGTTGTAATATGTACGCATTGTTTTGTTTTCATTTTACAAAGGTGATGGTATAGTCAAAAGTATAAATGCAATTTGGTCGTGGGAGAAATATTTCAAATTTTGTAGTCTTGACTCATTATGACATTGAATAGAAAGAATTCCAAATGATGTTAAAGAGAATTGAAGTCACAGACATGTTAACAATCTCACGTATTTGTGTACTGCAAAGAGTGTATTAAATACCACAAATAGTTTTAATATCTATCATAGTTGCCGAGGTTTTCAACTTTTTTTCGGCGACTAAAATTAATGTGTGGCGTCGTGCCGTATAGTCTGATTTTATCAATAGAACATTCATGTCGGCAAAACATCAATAGAATCAATCCCATTCCTTTATTTTATCTTATGACGTCATGATGGCAAGCATGTGTGATAGGATAATGGCGGATCTTAACACAATTTATAACTTCAGGCGACTTTTTGGGCGTGTTTTACTAGAGAGAGTGAGTTTCATTTGTTTAGTCCACCAGAAAACATATACACAACAAAAACATATTTAATAAAAAGCGAAACAGTTCTCGGTATAGACTGGGTGGCAACGATACGACCATGCGGTCATCGGAGATTGTTACCATCCAACATTAATATCAATAAACATGAACCAAAAATGCTTCAGATATATTTTAACATATTTTAGATGTGTCCAAAAACAACATTAAGTTTCCGTGGAAAGAAAGAAAAATTAATAAAATATTTGCATATACACAATAGGCAATAACATAAAGGCGTTTAAAGTTAAATAGAATTTCGGACAAGTTACACACTTGATCAAGTGTGGTATTGGTCAAATTTTACATGAATATGTATTTTTGAGTAAATGGATGCATCAATTGTGTACTACTTGCATTTGTATCCTAATTCAAATTGCAAATTTGTTGGCTTAACTCTTTATTAAGGCTCGAACTCACATTGCTAAACAAGCTTCATTTACATATACAGTCGGAGGCAAACATAGCCTCAGCCCCAGCTCAATTTTCCTATACCTGATTACACACAAAAACATACAAATAAGTACCATATGATCGTCAATCGTTGATGCAATATAACAAACCAGTATCTAATGGCGACAATGAAGTCACAACTCATTTCGTACATGTGACTCTGAATGTAGCTTGTCAAATTTCTGAAAACTGTGTTCGATATTACGCTCTAAAATATTGAATATGCCTTGTACAGACCACCAGTGCGTATAGCTCTTTGAACAGCCCATAATGACAGTTAAACGGTCATCTTTGGATATGAATTTATACTATATTCCATATGAGAGCAAATTATTATTGGCTGTAATTTCCGTTTGTCTAATATGACTCATTTTCATATCAAGTTTATTAGCATTGCACTATCAAAATCAGCGTTGATAATATACTATGTAATGCTGACTTAGGGGTATGTGATTGTGGCGTTATTGGACATGACGCAATTATAACAGATTTAACAGGCTAGAACAGAAAAATTAGCGGAAATGGGTGCAGGACAGATAAATTAGTATAAAATTCTGGTATATTAGTATAAAATATTGTGCGAGTCTAATGTACGTTACGGTATCGAAAAACTTCCCCGTAGCACGAGTTCGAAAAAGAAAATTGATGCACATCCTTGAGGTGGGCCTTCACGCTTGGCAAAATAACATCGGTGTTCCCATGAATACAATATTGGATGAAATATAAGATATCATAGGATTCATAGGAAATTCGGAAAACTAATAGCCTTCTAGTGACGAGAAAAATCTCCAACCATTGAATTTCAACGCAATTGACCCAGTAGTTGAGAAAGGTGATTTTTTTTACAACAACAACAGCAGGAATACTAACAACAACAACAACAAGATAATAATAATAATACAAGATCTATAGGTCCATTTCGTGCCCGAGAAGCAGACCTTCAGTTGTAATTGCAGAGTGATAGCGCCCCTTCCTATATCGATCCTTCACAGTTTAGTCATGCCAGTTATATAATTTGAAGTAAATCGTAAGCTACTTTCAATGCGATTGGTTGTAGCTTATTGTCTAGCAAATTTTAATACAGATTACTTTGTAATTTTATAATACCAATATAAACTATGTTGCTTTTTGCACCATCGCACTCTATATGATATAATAAACTATTAGTATAGAATTGTTTTCTGATATTTTTTGGGGGTTTGACATAAATATACATTTGTTTATTTACATAACGCTTCACCTATTCATTCGCAATTTTACGCATACCGGGGTGGTGATAGAAATATGAAAGCTTATATAACGAGGGAACAAATAAAATTTAAACATTCCCGTTTTCTGTAACTTTTTAGATATATATATTTGGACAGTCCCGTGGTTTGAGTGTTTCTAAACATCGTTTACATATTGCACTTAATATTGCAAGAGTTGTCAGTTATACCAGCTTCGTCGTGTGCGATGTCGAGATGAACATCTGTGATGAAGTGGTCGCCCTATAACACTAACCAGCACTCAACATTAACCCTTTAAGACTAGTGATTAACTTGTTGATATTAGCTGACATAGATATGAAAATATCGAGATTGAGAACTTTATTCACACTAAATTTCACGTAATATACACAAGTAGGAAATTTTGTTATTGAGTATATATAATAGTAAGCAAATGTGCGAATCGCGTGTTCCCTTTAAAAGTCTTGTAATAACCAGTATGGAAGGCCACGTCTCAATCAATCTGTATCTCTGTTTAACCCCTAACACCGGAAAGGGTATTTCTATCGTTTCCATGATCATTGGAGTGACTGTGAATTGCCGGCTTGATTTATGCTGTAGTTTTACAGTATAGCCCTTCACCGCGACTATGATATTCGGTTGATCGACCGATTCTGAATTATAGGCAACGATTTATTCAAGTGACTTGTTCAAACAACTAGATCCTGTTTCTTAAAAATACAAATGCTACGTGGCAACGGCTTGTTATAGTTTTTGTTGCGATTTCATTTTAACAATATTCGAAAACTTCGGGGGTCCCAGGTAGTAGGATTAAGATGTAGGCTACTTGTACACGTAGCCCGTGTTGACCACGCTACGTTGTGTACCTGTGCTGGTTTGTGTAGTTATTATTTAACGTGTGGAGGAATTTAATGCGAATATTATGTCGACAAATAGAAGGCGAGAGTATGTAAATAACTGGATTCGGAAGGAATTGCTTACTCGTTACTACCACACGCTCCATTGTCGTTCGTTGACGCGAAACACGGTTTTGTGTACATTGTATTCCCCATGTCGAATATTACCCGTAGCCATCAAAGTTTGCTGAAAATAATTTAGATTCGACTAGATGCCTATATTCACGTTGTATACGAGAAAAGTATTTCTATTTTTCTCGTATGGTCCTCCAAATATGCCGGAGTCGTTTTTTTATGATAAGCTTTCACATCTCCACTCAGGTGGTATTTACTGTGTATTTTGCAATTGTTACGTAAGAATATAATATTTTCAAAAAGGCAGGAAGCTCACGGTCGTTGATTACCAAATTTAATACACTACGGATAAGGTAGTGGGTGTGAGGATTTTGAACGCGAGATTATTTCCAACTTGAACGATTGAGCGTTTTAACCACCAGGCAATCGTACTCACGTACCTTCGACATATGTTTAAAAAAAATAATATTTCACTAACAATTGGCCTAAATGTTCTTTAAATACTAAGTGACATTTGGTAATATACAATATAAGCGCCTGTTCGTGTGTGGTTGGTGATCATTATTTCCTTTATTAGAACTCGATGTTCCATTCCTGTTTTATCACAACAGATTTAGTATCTTTATTAGATTAGCTGATTAGCTTAGATGGATCAAGAATCAAATGTAGGAGCGCAAGAACATGGCATTGATGAGACTCCTGATCCTGGGTATGACTATCTTTAAAGTACAACATTCTTACATTATGTTTTACGAAAATTTATTTGTAATTGTGGTTTCTTTTTTCAGGAAAATGTTCGTTGGTGGATTGAATATTCAAACGACAGCAGGTATGAAATAATCTCTACATTTTTATGCCAAAATGTGAATACTTACGAAATACGATACTCTTTTTATGTTACCACTAGAGGGACTTAAAGAGTACTTTAGCAAGTTTGGAGAAGTTGCCGACACAATCGTAATGAAAGATCCTATAACAACTAGTTCAAGGTTAGTAGAGTTACCTAATTTTTTAGGATATCTTTTAGAAATGATCAGATAAAGACAGAATTATCATAGAATTGGTAGTTGTAGATGGTGTTCTTCTCCACCTCGAGATGGCCCCAGAGAGTCAAATTTCTAGAAAACAGCCGTGTACCTTTAACTCCAAATCTTTCAGCATCATAAAATAACTAATTATATTAATAAAAGAAAAAAAAATCTGCTATTTGCTATCTTGTGATAGTGCACTTGCGCCTTGAAGTTGATAAACACATAGTCACACAAGTAATTATGCACAGATAAATTGCAGACAAGTATTGAATTTTACAGTACCACACATGTTCAGTGATTACTTTCAGAAATACGCTTTAATGCATTTTGAAGATAAGCGCGTATAGTCCGGATGTTTTATGAGATTACGCGACCCTTCAAAATTTCTGCTTCTCGAAACATGAATCTCCAATCCAATCACCCAGCTGTAGGCATTTAGGCCATAGACATATTAGCACTGTATTAAACATGCATTTTTCCTAGGTTGTTACTAATTTTGGCAAGTAGCGAATTATTTTGTGTACTCTGGCGTTACTAATAGTTTCACGCAGGTACGAAATGTTTTTTCGAATGATATCACAAATTTTGACCCACCTGGTGGCCAGAATGACTTTATTGGAAATCCTCGAGCTTGCAATTATTAATTTTTCCATCAGCCCCTTTAATACCGTCGCTGATAGAATTGGCAAACTTCACAAATATTAACATTTTATAAAATCTTTAAGCAAACCTGAAACTTGAACGCCGTTACAAAATCATAGTTTTTAAGTTATTGAAAGTGATCCTTGAAACTTTCAATCAATACATTTTTTAGTACAGTTACGTGAGCAATATAAAGCTCAGATTCGAATAGAACAACAGTTTGGTCCGAACGAGCAATAGCGCTACGTGATTGATACAATGACATTAATTTTGTTACAGTTATACAACTTGAATTTGTTTTGCATAGTAACATTTCAGCACCACGTCACGGAACAAACATTATGAACAATTAAATAAAAATCGCAGCAAAACCTGGTGAGATTTTGCATAAAAATTCATTTTTTGGAAGGGAAACTGTAGTTGTAGTTTAGAAAACTAGAACCGAGCAGATAGCAACTGCTTTGGAATTGCATGTTCTAATTTGTGTTTGTAAGTAATTTTACTTTGTTTATCCATCATCATAACTTTCTGCTGACAATTATCAATGAAGACGTGTTGTTTTTTCGCCGTATCACAGAGGATTCGGTTTCGTCACATTTCAAGATCCAAAAAGTGTTGAAAAAGTCTTGGAGAGCAGTCCACACGGCCTTGATCAGAAAACGGTAAGTTTATGGATTCTGCATGTTATGGATAAAATGTAATCAGAGATAATTTTAATCGAACTATATCAAAGGGGCTCTTTACATTAAATATATAAAAAAATATTTTATTGCTTCCATAAAAAAGACGATACAAAAATAAATTTACAATGCAATTTAAGAAAGCATTGTTTTTTATATATATAAGTTTGGTTGTGACGAGATTATATTTTATGCCATTTATATCTGTATTTAGATTGATCCAAAGGTCGCAGTTCCAAAAAGAAAGCAATCAAAGGTAAGCCCTGTCGCGTTTTTCAAGTTTCGAATCGGTCGTCTTCACTTCGTTATCTCATTATCAAAAGTAATTTGGTAACTTAACAAAATACACAAAAAATATATACTTCGGATAAAAATTGCGAGTTTACATACCATGTTGGGAAAATAATGAGTATCCGTTAGGGCTGGGCATTTTCGAATGGCTTGTGATTTCAGAATCGAAAAGAATATTTTTTTCGAATCGAATCTCGAATACTTGGGATATATAATTGTAAGCGACATTCTATTGTAATTGGTCCTCTCAATGAATTACTAAAGACATAGAATACTTCTTTCAGATATATTACTGAGCGTTCACACACAATAACACTTTTTATTAATAACTCACTACAGAAAATACTCATATGTCAGAATTGCCTTGAAAAAATATGGGTTCCATGGAAAAAAATTTAGGGAATTCACCGCGATCATTGGCGGAAAGAAAAAAACAAGATGGCGGCGATTCGAAATTTGGCTTTGAACCGATTCGAATAATTGACTATTCGATCCGATTCGAATATTCGGTTCAAAATGCCCAGCCCTGGTATCCGTCCGTTGTGGGACCGATTTGATTATGAGCTCAAGATATAAAGCACCGGATTTACAGAAATGGAGCAGGTGGCAACATACAAACGACCATATCTCATGCTCCTTGAATTTCGAGTTTTAATTTCTGCAAATTTTCGCTTAGTGTTTTCTCTCTCACTTTTTGCAATTACGTGTCTGTGGGTTTAGGTTAGGCGGAGTCCACGTGTATACTTCGTCGAGCAGATACGACTTTTTTATTATTTGAGGTTATTTCATTGTTTGCTGTTCACTAAAAACTACCAAAAAGTCATTTACCATGAAGTCGCCCCGCCCCGCTCTACCAATACAAAACCGTGCCCGGATTTGCGCGCACAAACTGAAAAATGGTATTGGCAAAAGCAACTGTCTGTTTTTCAAAAGTTCTATGTGAATGCTATGAGAAATAGATCGCCAAACAGAAGTACAGTTACAGTTAAATAAGTAAATATCTGGTGCATATAAAGTATTGAAACTAGGCGTCCCGTCACAGCCAATTTGTGACTATCGGATCAATAGACGGATCGTTTGCGATAATATTATAAGCAGATGAATAATTAGATGAATATTACATGATTGGAAGTGCAAAATCGCTTATTACGTTTTTATAAGTATTATTGGTAGTTTTTTAGATTAGGTTTTTTGTTCAAGCATAAAAATCGATTCGGGGTTCGATTCGCAGAAACGTGGAACAAAAGATTAAATTAAGTTTCGACGCAAGTTTTTACTGTCATACTGCCCTATCATCTTTGAATAAATTTGTTCAGGCGGGCGGTGCCTCCAAGTTTAACTATTAAGCCGTTATCTTCACATTAAAATTCAAAATACGGTATTTGCATAGCATGGTTACATTCATACGGCGTGACTTATTCCTTGAGTTTAAAACTATTCTACAGCTTTCACTAGCATAATTATTTTTAAAACTTAAATCCTGACAATGTACGCGTGTCTATCTAATACGTTGATTTAAGCATTAATTACTTGTGTTTGTGAGTTAATTTCGTGCCGCGTTTGATATAACTGCTTGAACCTTCAATTATCGAGTTAATTTTGGACACGCCAGGTAAATTAGGCGCGATAGGAAAGTATACGGTTTCCCCAACTTGAACATATTATCACATTTTATTATTAGCGAGGTTAGCTTTTATAACTGCCGAGCATGATTGCATTATAATTCAAGATATTGGTGAAGTCACTTATTCAATGACGTTTCACTAAAATAGCGATAGACCTGACCGCAGTTTGCCTTTCATTTCATATCCAGCGAGACCAAACAAAGCAACGATATTACTTTCTTCGTCCATTGAATTTAACTGCTCACGCGTCAGTTGAAAGCTTCGACACACAATAGAGATTCCTAGTTCTATTCATGCTAGCACGCCAGCGCTATTGTACACAGTCCACTCCAACGGTACTTCTACCCTATGAAAAGGAGTGTAGTGTGTAGTTTTAGAGGAATCGAGTGAAAGTTAGGAATATGTGCGCCGGACGGTTAGAATGGCATTCTTGAACTAAGATATAAGCTAATCGGTACGGATGGAAAGAATATAGGTTGAGAAAATCGCGAGTTTTTTCTTAGTCATGAACAGATATAGGTAGAAATTACTCGTTATAGGTTAATTGTAATTTATTGCTTACCTATATTTCTTTTACATCAATAGATAAAATTTTTAAGACTCATGCTTTCAATTTTAGAAACGTGGATGTCGCGCGTAAAATATTTTATATCTGAATTTCGGTTGATATTTCAGCATTGCGAAAGTATATTCCTCTATGCACGTATTATTTGAGATTATGAATGGTAAACTTATAGATAACAGCTATCTACATAGCATGTATTCTATTTTTCATTCACCACCCCACCTTAATGGTAAATGTTTATAACAATGACGCATGACAGCGAATTTATACCGTACTACATTCTCCTTATTTTAGGATACATGTTTTTAAACCGTGTAAATGCTCATTTCGGTAGTTAACATATAAAAAGTAGTGTCAAGAACGTCTATTTGTTATATGGAAATGAAACCACATGGCATGGGCGTGTGAGGGCATTTACTTTAGCGAAATAGAATCTGTTGGAGTTATGATAAAACGTTGCTTGCTTAACAAACAAGACGTGTCTATGTGTACAGAATTCCACTCGTAATTCATCTCAGATTTAGTTTATGCTGCATCATTACTGTGTTTTACTTGTTCAAGGCTAAACAATGTGTAAGAAACACCCATCACCCATCAATGGCCTAAGATTACAGTGAAATGTCGTAACTTAAAACGGGACCTACCTATTTTACAGGTCATTGTAATATCGTGTCGTACGTAATATAGCATTTAATGGTAGCGTAGAATTGTATTGTAGTCTTTTATATTGATTCCTATTATTTCGCTTCATTGCTCTCGTTGAAAAGCTCTGCGATTTCGACGGTTTGTCCACAGACCCGTATAACAACATCGAAAACACGAAACCTAAAGTCTTCGACACGAAATTTGAAGAATGGTATGCACGATTACAATAGATTTATTTTTTGTATTATCAAATGACGTTTCATAGATCTACATCACATCAATTGCATGTTGCTTGAACCTAATATCATACCTGGTCAAGTGTCTGAATTTAAACTATTCAATAAGAAATAAGGTTTGTGAGTATCAACTTCGTGATAATGGACGGATTAGACTATACTGGTTTATGGTAATGATCGTGATCCCCATGTACGCGTGGGCTTTGTGGATCACCAGAATTCACATTACTTATTTCGCTTTATCCAAGCATGAAAAAGTTGATAAAACACCACAATTTTCGTACGTTGGTGTGAATGAAACAATAGCTCAAAACGTTATGAATGTAGCGGTATAATCGACAACAATTTTAAAATAAAACTCTCGGCGCTCGAGATAACAATCCATAATTTAGTGAGCGGATCTAATTATTTAAAATACCTGTAATTATAAATGGATAATTTGTACAGACTCACACTAACAAGCCATTTCGACGGCAGTTATAGTTTAAATTATGTTTTATGATTTTATGTTACCAAATGCATAGCAAAAATATATACCGCCACCTCCCTATATTCAAACTTTTTTGACCCAATGTCATCCCTTGTGAGGCACTATTCAAATTTTCAGGTTATCGTTTGGAGAAAATTCATGAAGTATATTTTGATATATTCGTATATTTTAGTAGCAAACCCAGGTTGCCCAATTTTGTATTCCGTTCCATTTGAATAAAACTAAATGTCCGGTTGGGTGAAAACTTCCGACGTTTAATAAAATATTTCCGTGGGCGGAAACTCAAGGATTTCATGTTATTTTTTCTCCTTTCTTTGTCGTTAAGGTTGATGTACTTTCGGCACACTCCGATATGGATCGGTACTTTCAATAACCCGTAAACGATCGGTAATCTCAAATATAAGAAGTATAACCACGTGTTTGAAACGTTTTAAGGGACATGAAATTCACGAAATTATATTAGATTTTCCATCGTCTATTGGCAATGGGAAATATCAGAAATTACTCACTTCATCCTTTGTCATACGACTGCTGGTAACATTTAGCTTCCGTATTGGACTCATCTGATCGATGTTGGTACGCATCCACCTAACACCTAACAGAATTTTGTAATTTACATTTTGATTTTGTAGTTGTCAATCTGATCGATCGCATGTGTTTTTTCGGTGAATGGTACCTGTCTCGGTAAATTGAAAGAGTTCATCAGTTTTTAGACAACTTTATATAATATTCTCATGTTCGCTAAACTTTATTTATATATTGCTATGGCTGGGATTGATATCAGTCGACCTGCATTTTGCTTTATTTGTTTTGGATTGAGTCTTTGCGATGAAGCAATAAATTTAAGTTGACTCCTTTGACTAATTTGAAGATAATTTGTTGAAAGTACGTCACGGTAGCTTGTTTGATTAGATTTCTCATCGAGTTTATGGCCAGCGCTGAATTTCCCGTAACGTAGTACACTAGATGAATTAATATTTATAACATACTCGACGATTGCTTGGGTGACCCAACATAAATCCGACGTTGCGACGATACCGTCTTGCTTTGATCGCTCTTAGGAAATGACTTGAACAAAACGATTTGGACTATTTACACTTCAACATTTCGAATGTTAAATGCAATTTAAAATTCGGGACTCACACATTACACATACCAGAATTACTGTTACAGGGGTATCATCATGAGGTAACGCATTGTGGCTTTACCGACTTAGGTAGTTTCGTTTTAAAGAGTTTGTTGTTTTGCGTTTATATTGCGTTTCTCGTGTTCGCGAAATTTTTACGATTGTCAAATCTCAATTACTATAATATCAAATACGCGATGTTTTCAAGACGCGGTTTTAATGCGCGATATTCAGTTAAATTTTCGGCGGGAGTGACCATTGCAAACGATCATTGCTTTTTTATCACGGGCAAATGACATGCGGACGTTTGGTACCAAACTGTAGTCGGAATTCCCAGGTTTTGTCGCTATAACATGAAACAAATTTGGAATCAAACCAAAATCGGATACGTTACATTTCTATCTAATTCAATTTCCTCTTTAGTATTCATTAATTTAAACGTCGTATCACATTTCTTTTCTAATTATTCAGATGGTGACCAGGACAAAGAAAATATTCGTCGGTGGTTTGTCCGCAGACACCGTGGTGGATGATCTGAAGAAGTATTTTTCACAATATGGGCAGGTCGGCCTTTTTTGTAAATATATCACCTAATCCAGTTTTGACATCATTTCTGTGGTTTTTGTGAAATAGTTTAATTAAGTGATAAAAGTAGTATGACAGAAATCAGTACAACCGAAAAATGCCGACCAAGATGTCGGTTTCATTCGATATAGAATGTCACCGGTTGCTAATGATTGTCAACTTTATTTTTGTTATATATACATATTATTTTAACTACTGTTAAATAAATACGAACATTTTGGCGCCTATCGAGAAGGCGTGTCGTCATGGAGATGATAGAGAAAGGTAACGAAGATACACTTGAATGATTTACTATTAATATACTCCGGGCCGGTTCATTAATATGTATGGATCAATTCTACGGTTTGGTTATGCACAGAACAGCATAATTGACTTAAAAATAAGTATTTGGGTGTAACGTGCTAGTTAATTCAACGGTTATTGGTATGTGATATTGGGATTGCCAATTTGTAATGGTCATGAATTTCGTTTCTGCCAGACTGTTATGAAGAACAGAAAGAACATCCTGTTGTCAAATCGGTGACCAAATCTGGCCTTCCCAGTGCAAACTCCCATTAAATCTCCATAGCAAGAAGCCAAAAATGTTTCAGATTCGTATGTGAAAATTGCTTCGCTGATCGAGTCTCACTAACACTGATTTCTCTTGTTTTTCAGGTTGAAGACGCAATGCTAATGTTCGATAAAGTCACTCATCGGCATAGAGGTAAATATATATGACAAAAACTTATGCTGTTTAAAAAAAAATTGTCATCGATTATCAAAATTTCAATTTTGATTTGGGGCTTTCAATTGTGTTTTGTAATACCCGCAATTTTGTTATCCAACCGCATCACGGGAACGAGTATTATTATTTGCTCGCCAGTTTGGGTTTTAACCAAATTTTGATGTTTTCTAACAATAACTCCGAGATGAATCCAATGTACCAAACTACTGAATTGCCTGTCCATAGACCATATTCAACAAATCTATTTTCAATTATTGAATTTAAATAACGTCCAAACCTGTTACTGCTCAAATAAAAGAGCCTTGTTTAGGAGTCATGTGTAATCCACAAACGACACATTTTAGTTCCTTCTTGTGCCTAGCTAGGGCCTGAAACCAAAAATTAAACTATTAATTACGATGACATCAAGGCTGATAAATGTTTGCTGAGGCAAAGATACATAATGCCATTCAAAATTTGGATCTTGTGGCGCAAAGTCCGAATGCTTTTAAATCTCTTCTCAGATATAATATTCAAGGATCTCCGGATAATATTCAATCGTATCCTTGATATTGTTTAACACCAAATTGCATGCATATGTTGAGAACAAGGGTCTGTATAGAATAAACACTATGAGATGCGCCGACCGATCCCATTCAGTTGACATTGATAGTTTTCAGCTTTGATAATTGAAAATGCAAGAATTGCAATACGTGCGAGTAAGCAGTTTTTCATTTATAGGCACCGTTTTCTCAACCCTCCCGAAGAATGAATAGGTAAATAATGTGAATTAGTTAGACACAGCATGGAGTATTGCTATACACTCATTAGTATCCTGTATTAGTTAAAGAGTGATTTATTATAATTTTAGATAATTTAATTTTGTTGACACCGTCAAGAAAATGGTATACTTTATTCTTAATTTTGCAGTTAAACAGTTGGTCATACTCAATTAGTTTATGGTCATCACTCATCAATGACCTGTATGATTTGACTCAACTTTAGCATCGGCCAACCGTATTCCAAATGAATACTGTACAACAAAAGGTCATTGTGAGAGTAATTTACATAAAAATTCACCACAAAGTGAATAACTAACTAATTTTTGACTCTGGAAAGTGGATTTTTACAAATTTTTGATAGTGTAGAAATTAGTCTTGACGTGGAGGTATATAAAGTAACTAATTATTACAGTAGAATATTGTTTGCCATAATAATACACCATAGAGAGTGTAAATGTAATTAGGTCCTGCAAGTTTGCTTTTCATTAGGTAGCCTACACATAGACTTACAAAATTTGCTTAGTTCATAGTTTTGATGTAATTTTCCACATAGCGGTAGGTGTTGTACCTAAATATAATCATGAAAATATTATAATGCTTGATAACGAAATAAGCTCTGCTTATAAATATAGAGAAGCACTGGAACAAAAAATTCTTTCATTGAACTTGATTGGAGAATTTTCGCAAGAACGTTTACAAAAAAAATACATCATCGCAATGAATTTGTTTGAAATTCCTGAAAAATAAAATGTGTAATGATTTCCAGTTTCAAATTTGATAAATACCCGTGGTTCATCACGTGATCTTATAGATTCAGCAAAATTTGACATCAGAACCAAATTTATTTTGCGTCACGCAATTTAACGAACCTGAGACTTGTTCCACATTCCAAGCAGACTGGTTGTCTGATCCTGGATCAATGCCATATGGTGTAACTTCTAATCAAGCAATTTTGAACAACATTTTCAATGTAACAAACGTGTTAAATCAAGTACTATCTACAAACAAAATACCAGTCTGGCGTATAAAAATGTATTGGCGCTCATTTCGGATATTAATTTGATTTAAAAGTATATGTTAAGAGGTAGGTGTGGGATATCTTTTGTGATTCCATATTAGCATAGCACGTTATTTTTAATAATTCCACGGTGTAGAGTTTGCGTCACTCGAATTAAATAAATAGTTACCGATATAATTGAATCTTGAAGTTTCTACTTTTTCAAAAGTCATTTATATTATTATGCCATTCAATAAATACGTGGCAAGTTGTAATATCTTCAATTCACCGTGCACTTACTTAATTTTCAACGGTCGTAAGAATACAAATATAACTCTCATTCAAGTCAATAGCTTATTGAGACGTGTTACGACACGCCAGAATATATCGGCACCCTCGTTGAATGCTTTATAAACAAAAGCTGTGACGGAAGGGCTTTACAACGTGCCCAACGACGGATCTTGTGATTAACATTCATTTCTGATATCGCATAATGAAAAGTTTTGGTGTGTAATTCGTCAAGCGTGTTCCACCGATAATCTACCTTTCGGGAAGATGTTGAGACTTGGTACATGTGAGATCGAGCCTATTGAACGTATATTCTGAATTTTCTTCCCATTCAAACAAGTTTTTTCCTACTTATTGTTTGTTGTTCCTGTCTTTGTTTCGATAAGTATTCATTATATTCCGGGACGATATTTTTATTGTGTACGACAATGGATAGTTATATCCGCCTGGATATCAAACGTATTTTATTCTTTGTTGTTTTATTCAATTCGTTCGTGAACGGGATCATCAACGTATAATGTTAAAACATTGTTAAAGCACCATAGTTCTACTTTACTTACATTGAAAATAAAAACGCATAGACTCGCCGTTCCAATCCACCTAGTTTGTCTATAGTTGATGAATCTTAGTAAACAATTTTTTACTTACCCGAATCTAAAGATTTTCAATCTTCATTCCTATGCCATAATGAAAACAAACAGACGACAAAATCAGTTTTTTCCTATTCATTATATTTTTAATCCACGTTAAAAGTTTGGCGTTCCATTTGAAGTGTGCTTCACATAGTTTAGAAGAGGGTTTTGCGTCCGGGTCTGATGAATAACATTCGATCACATCTTTCATTAAATGTTTATATTGTATGCTCTTCTAGTTGTGCCAGACATGGGGGTTGTATCATAGATCGTTTCGAATGTAATCATTTTTTCTCATCATTGGCCAAGTATTATTTGTAGATAAATGAACAGACACAATACAACAAAAGCAGACTTGAATTTCGTGTCATCTTAAACGGTTAACGAGCTATTTTCGCACACATGTTGACTCAGGAGTCTCCAACAATACTTGACTAAAGGCTGCTCTGTTAAACTCTCCAAACAGAGTTTTCGACGTTTCGGTTGTTTGTCAAACCTTTTCGAATTACTTTACTTTTTGTTTTCCACTGTACCTTCCTTACATTTCAGTAAAGTGTTTCAACATCATCGCTCTTGAATCAATTTAAAAGTGATCGAGTGAATTTTCTATTGAACAAGTTTCACACAAACTTCATTTATTTTATCCCCCAAAACAGTGACTGCGATTCCGAGCCTTAGAAAATTACAACCTCGATTTGAAAATTTTTTGGGATGTAACAGGATGTTACAATTTAGAATTATTAACACATATAATTAAATAAATTAAAATATGCATTATTTGATTCATTATGTTTATACGAATGACTTAAACTAATGAGTATAAAGTTTCACATGTATCTGTGAAATCTAACATTTTATATAATAGTGTTGAAATATGAAAGCGAATATAAGCACTTGCGGATAAATGAGATCGCATAGCATATTATTGTGGCACTAGGTCAAAACAGATTTCGAGATCAAACGTTTCATTCTAGACTGCAATAAACATAATGGTGTAATGTGTATTCTGTACTGACAATCCAACATCCAAAGAATTTTTTTTGTTACGTTTAAGCAAATAAATTAAAGACATCTTTCTCATAAAAAACTTTTTTTCCAGGATTTGGTTTCGTCACATTCGACAATGAAGAATCAGTGGAAAAAGTTTGTGAAATACATTTTCACGAAATCAAAACAAAGATGGTAAGTAAAACTATTTCGACTTTCATCTTGCTAAATTTACTTGTTTTCAGCGATCGAAAATTAATCAAAACGCAATTTCTAATCCCTTTCTTATCTTATTGGACTAAATTAGAGTGAACAATTTCATATTGAGTGATTTTCATAAAGAATATCCGAAACATAAAAACTCTTCGGGTTCCAAATTAAAGAAAAAATTATTTTTAGGTGGAATGCAAAAAGGCTCAGCCGAAAGAAGTTATGATGCCAACAATGACCAGACCATTAAGTAGACCCAGAGCTGCAACCGTGCAATATATTGACCCTACTACAGCTATGTGCCTGGGTGATTATATTAAATTAAATGAATTTTTCTAGCCATGAAACACTGACATGTATTCCTTTACTAGGTCTACTTGCTGGGGAAAATCCATCAAAACGATGCTATTTTCTGCTCTGAAAGAAAACACCACTTCTTTATCGGTTAATAGTAGTTGAGCTCTGGTGTAATATTTTCAGTTTTCGCATATTATCTGGTGTATATTCAAATTTCTATGATTCTTGTAACAGTTACATTATGTCATTAGAACTTAAGTTATTTTCACTACTACTACTTAGTACCTTCATTTTTGGTCATGTCACCCATCACATCGTCTCGATATTTTAAACATCCAAAGCATAAAATATTGGGCTTCCATTCAATCCTATGCTTATTTCAGGTTATCAACAATTTTATCCACGAACTGCTCCGACAGCTACAATAGCTTATCCTACTGCATACGCAGCCTATCCTGGAGCTGGTGTTGGTAGGTATTTTTTGAAATCATCAAATATTTTAATAATATATCGACAAGACTTTACCAGGTAAAATCATTTAGTAAAAACAACATATTAACTATTTAATATCCTGATAAATTCAGGAGGTCCGACGCTGGCGTACACAGCTGATCCAAATACCCTGGCCAGGCTAGGAATGGCTCCGATGACGGCCGGAACTTTCGCAGTTGCAGCTGCTGCTCAAGCACAACAGGCACGGATTGAAACACTGGGATCGCCACTTGCAACTTCTGGACAAGCTCTACAACAGTTAGTTCACCCAGGAGCTGAACTAAAGAGAGAATTGACAGCTCCAGGTAGATAGCCTGTCTTGCAATATGAATTCTCAAACTGAGGCTCAGTGAATGCATACTCAAAGCTTGGAATTAATCTACACCCAACGCTCGTTATAGATTTTATTTTTACAAAATATTTTTTTTTTCAGTTTTTACAACGTACGCGCAATCAACATTGCCTACACCAACACATAACGGCACAGTAAGAGCGGCGGCATTCAATGGTAGCCCCAGTCCACTGGATGTTTACTCGCATGTTGCTGCAACGCATGTAGCGGCGCCACACGAGGCCGCTCTTGGTGCGTACATTGCACAAGCTGCATCTCCGCAACCGGGAAGTGCTGCGTTTCCAGGAGGCATTCCATTGCCATCAGTAAGTTATATTGTGTGTTAAATGTGTCTATTAGAAATCATTCCTATATAAACTATAACTTGTATAACTAAACTCTAACTAGCTTAACAATGGAAACTCAAAGAAGCAACATTTCAACGGCATAATATCATAAACATAAATAATTGTGGCACAAAAAAAACGCCCATGTTTATATAGCGAATTTGTTAATTTTTTGAAATATTTTGGGTAGGAAATGTAGACCAAATAAAATAGACGATTCAGATGATAAACAAAGATGACATGACTTTTGTTGTAATGTGGTCGTTTATAGTAATCTGCCAAGCGATTCTCCATTTCGTTGCTATACAGACCTTTGTCTTTTGTAACATGTTGCTTGTAGCAAAAGTGTTAATCATAACAACCAAGGAGAAAAGCATATTCATGATCGTTTGTGGTAGATGATTTGTTTGTGATTTGCAGTGTTTTTGTTTTCTAACAGCAATGTCATATGCTCACTCAACTCAGCTATCAGTAGACTGGAAGTAGAATTATTTCAAGAGTTACTTTGGTTTTGTTTCCATGTGAGTTTGAATACTTTTTAGATAAAATATTCTCTAACAGATAGTTAACTATTTGATGTTCATTGTGTTTATTTCATGATGATAAGTATCGAACGTATTTAATTAGAGATTCTTTTTTAGAGTTATCATACCCGTATTGCTTCGCTCATAATATACCTTATTATGTATATATAGTATGAATTTTTAAGATGAATGGCGATACTAAATTTCAATTCATTTCTTCCATTTTCAGGTCGGAATCTTGAATTCGCGTTTACAATCTCGACCTCTTTGAATAGAATAGATTCAAGTTATGAAGTCGCACCAACTTAACAAACTTTACTTTTTTATATTCTATTTACTTCAACTTATTTGTTTGTTTTTTATTATTGTTTCGCCTGGTTATTTAACATTTACAATTACATTTATTTTTGAGCACCAAAGTCCAAAGGACACCTGCCCACGTAACCTTCTTTTGGCCAGAACTTAAATGAGTTGGTAATATGTATACTACGTTCAGAACAAGTTTCCAAATGGTTCAACATACCAATTCGATAATATTTTTAAAGAGAACTCTCTCACAAATACTCTTCATCTTCAACTAATGTTGTATTACGATTGCGTTTTTTCACACTACGTATTATGTATGTAAATATTCTGTAGTGGTGGGTGGGTGTAGGTCGGTGAATGCAAAATCTTGAATACCTGATTAAGCATCGTTTATTTTTTTCGATGAGTAATATTTCAATTATCCCTATTACTAAAATGAGCAAGTGACTTTTAGCGTCATCATTTCAACGTAATTTAAACAAAGAATCTGTTCACGACAAACAGTCAAACTTTTTTCTCACTCACCTTTTCTTGTGCTTTGTCAAATATTTAATTGCAGAGGCACACGGATAAGTTTATTTCTACAAAATATCATAAATGTACACAATCGCGTTGCACAAAATTTTCTTTTAAATATTGTTTTCCTAGTGTATTATCTGCGACAAATTAGATTATATTGTAGATGATGTTATGAAACTATGATACCACGTCTCTCGTTACCATCATACACACTGTATATAATTTTCATATACGGCAGGATATACCTAATCTTTTCACCTAATAATCATTGGTAGGTTGGGTATAAAATTATATAATTCATCACTGGCATTTTGGGAAGTAGTTATCACGGTTTTTAATGCAATTTATGTAGGTTTTCCTGAATTTATTCACATCTAGAAACTCAAATCTATATTAAATACAGATATTAGTAAATTAGAATTATAATGAATAGTTTGCGCGACCCACTGTGCCACTCCAATGTCCCTATTCATACACTCATATTAGTGCCTTGAGACTATATGCTTATATTGATATTGATGTTTCGTAATTTGTTTGCTGTTTATGACGTATGTACACATTGTTTCATTTCCTTGTTTTTCAATTCATACTGATTGAGTGATGTTTTGTCAAAAGCTATTGCAAGATGAAGCAATAATATGTGGTAATTGCCCATCAAAATGATATTTCGGACTTGATTGTTTCTTGAATTTTTATCTATATGTGTTTTTATTTCACACAAATTATTACGTTTGAGAGTCGACCTATTCCTTTGCCGAATCTTACAGTTAGTTATAATCTGATCGTTCTCGTTTAATAAATGTGCGGTGAATAATTTTCTATTGCTATTGCTTTTTTATTTTATTAATATCTGCACAGTTTGTGAATGGACGATGATTACACTCAATAACATATTTTTCGATGGCAAGTAACATTTGATTAAATAATTAATACCCTTTAAAGTTTGAACTGCTTTTGATATTGTGGAGTTTTTTAAGAAAGTTATGTCATTTTTGGTGTTTTAGTTTAGTTTATTATCTTTTTTAACAATATAAGTCAATGATGTAATAATAGAACATCCAGAAAGTTTTTGAATACTCCCACGTAGAAAGCTGATTTGTTCCAACCTTATGTTTCTTTAAAAATGTTTGCTACTTTAGATCGTAGATGGAATTAACGTTTGGTAGTTAGAAGAGGTGCTAACAATACATTTCTTAATTAATTTCTTCCTACATTAAACTCAGCAGATTTGAAATATCGTGCAATGGTAGAGTTTTTATACTGTGCTTAGCATTTGGGGACACATATACTACTTCTACTAATTTTCATTAGACCCCTTTGTTGTGAATATGAACAAACATTTTTCTTAGTTTTGGAGCTTTTTACTTCAAATTTTGATTTTTTTGATGAAAAAATAGTACTCTAGATTTTCTGCAACATACTTATTTCACTGTACCTGTGGTTGCGCTTTTTTTCCTTTTTCCAGTTTTGATATGTCAAACAGTGACTATATTCTAAAAGATGATAGTAAATTTCATCATTGAATGTGTAAAGCTTAAGATAATATTAATTTTAAGAATGGGAAAAGATTGTGGAACCGTATTGGACTGACTGCATTATTCTTTGTATCACTTTTTGTCTTGTCTTTGTCCGCGCTAAACATTTTGTCAGTTGTTTTAATTTTCGCAAATAAACAAATCTCGACAAAATTTTCGTTTTTATATGGGACGGAATTTTTTGTTTTGCTTTCAATATTTTTTTTTCGTTGTTTGCTCTTGTGAATGAACCATTTTCTCGACTGGAACTATTATTTATGAATAAAATTCATATATTAAAACTGTTGAAACCTGCGTGAGACTTTGTTTTCATTGCTTCAATAGAATCGAAAAAAATACGCTTTTATCAATAAGTTGAGTAGACGAGGCACACATGAACACACTAAGAATAGATTTCTATACATGTAAAGCTCTCAAGGTTTTATTTACAATGACACAGAAAATTGCATCAGTCTGTCGATTTATATTGAAGTACATTTCTTAGTATGGAGCAACATGATAAGAAAAATTCATGGTAATAAAAATGATTTTCCAAATCAGGTTTGTCTGACATTTTCAAAAACTGAAAATTTGCTGAATGACATCACGTCATCCAACGGAATTCATTAAATGCTTGAACATTGGTCAATGAACAACCGTCTTTGAGAGCGACCAGCAAGCAATACACTGAGCGAGCGTATTGATTCAACAATACCATACATGATTTTTTAAAATTGTAAAGCGAATCTCACAAAAGAACGAAGCGATAGTGAACCTATTAAAATACATTAATCAAAACTTGTGAACTTTTCACCTGGTAACATTCGCGAAATATTTGCTCAGACACCCGATAAATTCAGTAGACAGGTATATATATATTAAATATGGAATTTTGTTACAACAATATGTATCACGGTTATCAATTTTATTGTTACAACTGTATTTGTAAGGCTTTCAATTCTTGAGTTACTTCAACTTTCGCTTTATTTATCACTAACTGCATTTCTGATAATTCTTTTATTTTATAGCATGTCGATTTCATTTGATAAATTTAAAACAAAATGTATATTGGTGTTGAGCAATGCCATATTATTTATATCTATATATATGAAAGTAAAAACCAGATTCACAATTTCGATTTATTTGCTTCGTCTCGCATCAAACGTCGAAGTATTTTTCCGCTTGCACTTTTCATAATTTTATCGCAAAATTCTATTCCTCCATGTAGATGCTTGTATTTTGAAAGTTGACCTTCAAACACAATGCAAATTAGGGAAAACTGGAATAGCGTACTTTAACTATGGTTGTTGACTTTTTTAAACTAAAAAAAATCATCAATGAAAATGCATTACCAAAATCCCGAAATATTACAATCTATACAGATCGCTGGATTTATAATGGGAGCTGGTCAACAAAAAATCGAACTAGATGTATTTGCTGTTGTGCGTGTTACATTTATATTAACTCCCGCTTCCTAGCGAAATCGATATTTCCCTACTCAAGTGTGCAAATCTTTCAAAGGAATTTTCGACAACCTCATAGCGCGTCGTGTGTGGCTATTTATATATATATATATATATATTATGCTTTCCTTTATCGCGTAATAATGTTATTCAAATTACCTGCGATATGGTTATGAATCTCCTCTTTTGTTAAACTTGGATCGTTTGGGACAACAAATGCTTTTGCAACTTCTCCTGCTTCTAGATCGGAAACTCCAATTACTGCTACATCAGCAATTTTAGGATGGGAAATTAAAACTTCTTCCAGTTCAGCCGGGGCAACCTTGTAATGTTAAATCATAATAAAAAACTGAAAAAAAAACATTTAAGATACAAAGGTTTGTTATTATTTGACGTACAGTCTTGTTACTGGCATTAGCAGCGTGTTGAATCAAGCTTTTTTGTCTGCATTGATCTGCGCTTGACTATAATCAACTATATTTACTGACAAGTTGCACGTAACTCGCACAACATAAAACTCTAAAAACATTACCTGAAATCCTTTGTATTTTATTAATTCTTTTAATCGGTCAATAACATAAATCATCTCATTGTTGTCAAAATATCCAATATCACCAGTATGAAGCCATCCTTCTGCATCTATCGTGTTTGCTGTTGCTGATGAGTTCTTGAAATAGCCTTTCATTACCTGCAAAAACGATGAAGTAAATGAGGGTTTATGTTTTCTATTATTCAGGTTCATTTATATTATGAACGGAATGAAGTTTTGAATATAGACATAGAGAGTGAGTGAGGGATATACCAACTAAGGCTATGGATTGGATTCAAAAGAAATACGAGCATATACATAATAATACCTTTTATTTGACATGCCTTTGAAGTTTCAGAACTCACCCATACCTGTGGACCTTTTACACACAATTCTCCATTGTGATATGGACCTACTTCCGCGCCAGTTTCAATATTGATTATCTACAAATAACAAAAACGAAGTCTTCAAAAACAAATAAAGCCCTCAGAGTATTTATTTTTCATTGCAGTATTTTTAATGAAAAAGTGCACTTTTTTGGTACATATATATAAATTCTTTCGTACCCAGCCTCACTGACTTTTAATGCAGTGGAATAGAGTGAATTGCCGAAATTTATAATTACCTTAATCTTTGTGTTAGCACAAACACGACCAACGGAGTTATGCGGGGTCATCTGAAAATCGGACGCTACAACAGGAACGCACTCTGTCAGTGCCCAACCTAAAAACATCAAGTCCAAAGTTGAAAGGGTTCGATTACTGAAAATTAGTATAAAAAATAATAAAGGAAAATATTATTAAATTCAATAAGCACTCCAAGGCAATTCGTGTGGGTATATTTTCAGCTCTTGGAAAGAAAAACAAGAAATTCGTTATTGTACCAATTAATTATAAAAGCCATATTAAACAGTAAAGCTGTCGTTTACATGATTCACCAGTTTTTGTGCCTTTGAAATGAATATTTACCAATTTATAAAGACATCCTAAATGCTCGTTTCTTCGTTAAAAGGAAAGAATTTTTAACGAATGTTAGAACTGATTGATCACCTTGTGCAACTTGGCATTTCAGCTTTGTAGACAAAATTGATGCAACTTCACGTGGTAGAGGAGCAGCTCCACATTTCAATGTTAACAAAGATGAAAGATCGTACTTTTCCAGCAAAGGGGACTTGGCGAACATCAGAAGCATTGGAGGAACGCCCGAGAATTGTGTTATCTGTTAAATTGTTATCTAATCAATAAATCTGATATTTAAAATAATACAATCTTGATTTTGTAATACCTTGTATTTTTCAATAGACTGGAAACACCTTTCTACATTAAATCTGACATCAAGAACGTGTCGTACGCCCTGGTCCAACGCCGCAAAAGATACCAGCAATCCGTAAATATGAAACATAGGAAGAACAGAATATACACTGTCAGGTTTGAATCCCACATGCATTCTAAAATATACAGGCAAGATTGGAGCAAGCAACTGGGTTAAATGTAGCAATGCATTATAACGTCATTTGTTGCGTTTTACAAGCCTACATTACTTAGAGCAGGGGTCGGCAACCTTTTGTTGCTCGCGGGCCAAAATAAAGGTGGCAAGTCATTGGCGTACCGCGCATATTTTTAGAAAAATAAAAACCGAACGAATGGCTGATAAATCACTTTTTTTCACACAAATCAGAAGTTTAATTTTTAGCAGCGCCCGAAGACGGACCATTTGAATATTTTCTGCGCCATTAAACCAATTGCACTTAGCATCAACTTTTCTGCGTTTTGTTGCCATTTGTCCAATTATAATTATAATATAGGCTTATTCAACGAGTAATTGGGAATTATATACTTGTTAGGTTATAATATAGTTCAGTCTACACGTGTCTCAAAATAAATTCTGTTACGTAAAGAATATAATTGTCAAAACGGCTGTTCGTTACTATAATTCAGTGAAGCGTTGTGGGCCGGATTATATTGCTCCGCGGGCCGGATCATATTGCTCCGCGGGCCGGATCTGGCCCGCGGTCCGTAGGTTGCCGACCCCTGACTTAGAGCTTACTTATGAATTGACAGACACGACACAAAATTATAGTGAGTCAGCATTACACCCTTTGGCATTCCGGTTGTTCCACTCGAGTATGGAAGAAACAAGACATCTTCACGTGGATCGATTTGAACATTCCTTGGAAAGGCTGTAATGGAGCAATTTCAACGCATAAATTAGATTAAATCTGGATTTTTAAAGTTCTAAATATATATCTTTGTTATATATACTCAATCCATTCAAGGTCAGTGATCCCAAAGTTATTCAATTAACGAAACAGCAAATATTGTCAAAAGTCTTCATGAATCTACAAATTAAGATCGGAAATGATGAATTCGGTAGTTTTTTGAATTGGGTAATTTAATTCAAAAATAGGTTGTTTCTGTTTCTAGTAGATTAAAATGAATAAATTGGATATAAAAAACATTTAAATCTGGATGCATGAGCATGCAACGTTCTTGCCTACTTTGAATCAAATCCATATCTAAGTCTATTTTGAACGTTCGATATCGTTGATTGAAAACCAACAACCAATTTCGTTTAATAGTCGCTATTCAACTTAAATAAAAAAATATTTCATTTGAACTCTCAAATAAAGTTACCGCTTCCATCTTCATCTCTTATAAGATCATCAAAACTCTCAACTCCTGCTATCTTTCCAATAGTGTATATTTTCTAGGAAAAAGCGCATATGATTCTGTTTTATTCGAGGCAAATAAAAAATGACTCGGTTGGCTATTGGCTCGATTGAGGCGACCCAATTTAATATGAAGTACAACATATAGAAAACTAATTCTAAAACTTCTCTCTGTTCATTCGTATATACATGATTTACACCCTATATATTCTATTCATACCTGCAAAGAAGAAGCAATCTCCGCCACATTTTTCACCTTTTCATAAGATGCAGAAACAGCGAATGCCATCGTTGGCTCAGAATGTTGAAATTGCCTTTTCATTTCATCTGTAATCAAAAATACCAAACATTTTGGCTAAGTAAAATATTATTTCGTGTTATTTATTAATATCACAATATCAACTGATAGTAAACTAGGTGCAATCTCGTCTTTAGTTCGTAAGTCACCTTCAGCACTAATTCAATATGAACCTATAAAAAAACTTCCCAATAAGATGGATGGATATGTAACACTACAAAAGTGCGTGTTGAAGGCGTGTGATATAGGTTGGTTTTTAATTTGAAGTATTCAAATTAACGTTCATAGCGCTAGTCTATTGGTAAGAAATAAAAATAATTTTACTTTGTGTATACAATGGGTTAGACGTAGTGATTGTAGCTCCACAAGCGGCAACAGCTAACATAACAATGATGTATTCTGGACTGTTTGAAGCACAAGTCGCTACAATATCACCCTTCTTCAATCCTCGCCTTGATAATGCACTTGCACATTTTATGGTGATATTTGCAACGTCGCCAAATGTTATTTCCCGCCCCGTTGGAGCATGTATCTGTAAACCACATTATTGTATATTACCATCCGTTTTAGAATGCAAATGTTATTAATAAGACCAAACCGTCATTATTAACAATATTTAATTTATGTAATGTTTTCTGATATTCATAATTGCTGCATTATACCCATACATTAACTCCTAAGTTTATTTAAACACATGAACTTATTCATTAGATGTAGAATCGGACTCATTTAACTTCCGTATTCTCCTCGAAATTTCTAAATCGATTTGTAAAAAAGTTGCACGGATCGACCATTTAATTTTAAAAGTCAAATATTTTTAAATATCAGATTATCACACATTAAACAATATTTGAAAATTGTGGTCCGTAGTGTGAGGGCCAAAATTGAATTATGTTTACTCACAATGGCTGTTCTGTCGCAGCGACGACGATACAACGATTTTAAAATATAATCCGTCAAAGAAACTTCAGGAATCACAATTTCTGGATATCTGCTTACAAGTGGCATGATACTATTTTTATTCTACCTCAGTTACTTTGAGAATAAATTTTAAACTGTTAGCGTTATGATTTCGAAATATACTGAATTGTGGCATTCGGCACCATATATATAGCTGTCAACTTTGTGATAAACTTTTTTAATCTACCTGACACTAATGCCAACACAGAATGAACCTTTTTTTGTATTTTGTTTGTAAGAATTCCAGCTACATTATTTTGTCAGAAACAATGCAATGGACCTTTCCCAGAGCATCGACTTTCTTGTTTACTTCGTGACATTGGCCAATCAGCAAGATGCAAAAAGTAACGTAACAATGCTCCCTTTTCGCATCCGCTCAGACACTTTTCTCACTCAGACAGATTTTCAAGCGTGGTCGTAAACATTACCTCGTTTTCGCGTTTTTGAACTCTATTCGTTAGTTTTCTGTTGTGTTTCGGAAACTTAAATATAAATCAGATAGTTCAATGATCACTCTGTCTATCTAGGAGTTTTAATTTAATTGCAGTAATGTAGAAAAATTAGTGTAGAAATAGGTGTGATAGACTAGGCTAAAATTTTTTACCGGAACTTTTAAAAAACAGATTGTTGTATGCGATGAATCATAATAATGGTTTGTAACACATACCCCATTTTACAGGCGCCAACTCGCAGAAGCACTTTTAAAATAGCCCCGAAAATTTTGCAATGGTAAAGTATAGAAGAATTTTTTCGGGGGTGAAAGGTCGGGGAAAGGTCCATAGCAGTTGACAAGCTGCAAAATTCATGCGCGGAGGTTTTTAAGGATAAATTGCAACAGTTAGCGGAAACACACACAGTCGTCAACTGGCTTGATCGAAGCTTAGTTAGATAGACCTCACTCAAATAACCTACTGAGCAACTATTAAGTGCAAATTAATAAATTTTCTACATCTTGAAAATCGATCATTATTAAACACGAAGTGTACACCACATCGTTTTGTTAAATTCTTGTTGTTGTCGGATTTTATCTTGTTGTCATTGTTGGGAAAAATTACTTTCTCTTTTTTAATCCTAACAGTTGTAATAAGAGCTTATAGCCTATAGAGCTTATAATTTTATTTTCCATATTGCCTCTCAGCCTTATTGAACTCGATATTTCACGAAAATTGTTGTATTTATTCCAATAAGAACAAAACACTTTCTGTTCCATACTGCATACCAGCACTGTAGGCTATTGCTTGGGCGCTCAGACCTTACCTTACCGGTACCGTATTAGTCGTACTAGCGACTTCTTTATTGTGTGATCATCGTTATTTCACTTAGCAGCTGGTTTGAAAAGGAGGCTTACAGTATAAGCGTAAATAAAATTGCAACGTACATATTTAATCTGTTCTATTGCAATAAAGCTGGCTCGACACTATGACATAAATGCTAGCAAGGCTGTAAGTCTAAACTGAACAAAGTTTTAATGTTTACTGTCAACCAGACCGCTTTTAGGGTTCATGCCGTTTGTAGGCATATGTAAGATTAATCATTGATGGCAGAAATGAATGACTCTTTGTGTGGTATGCAGATGCACGGTGCAGTTTCACAATCCTGTTCGAACATTTTCTGAAATTTGCCGTGACAGTGTATTTCCTAAGGCACCTGTGCAAAATTAGCAAACACTGGTGCACTTAATTCTGGATTTGGCCAGTTGTTTTTCTCGTTGTCATTAGGTAAGTTGCGGGCTGCTTAGTGTTTCCATCCCGCCTAAAGTTATAATTAATCTGACTACCGGCCTATCCACCACTCATCACATTTTGATCAATTCATTACCAGAACCTTAAAATGCAGTTGGGTGATAAATGGACATTCACTCTAATTCTTATCATTTACATATATTTAGGTTTGCCATATATATGAAACAAAAACCTGAACTTTCTATTCGGCATTTTGATAATTTGATGAATATACAGCTAACGCTAGATGTTAAATTGACGCATCAATTGTATAACGAGAATATCGGTCGGAGATCGAAGACTTATCGATCTTAGATAACTCGCTAATTATACGACATAATTAACCCAAAATCTATATGCTTCTGGTCCGAGGTAAGATGCATGCACATGCAAAATTTGGAGCAGATTCAACCACGCGTTCGTGAGATATCGCGTTCATCTAACAGACAAACAGACAAACATACAAACAGACAGACAGACAAACAGACAAATACCTATCAACATACTTACCGATCCTAAGATCGATAAGTAATAATTATGGCATTACTTCTCTTTCACTACTTTAGTGACGTAATTCGCAAATCAGTGGTTAATAGACTGCTTCAGTTAAGAAAAAACTTGTATTAATTCTGGATAAAAAAATACATATGACTGACATGCTGCATGATCGGGACATCTACGTCCACCGGGTGGGGCGACGGGACAGCTTATCAAAATCGAGACAGTCCCAGCCAAACCGGGGCGTATGATAAGTCTATATATATATTGTATGGATACAGAAAGTCAAGTGAGCAATCGTAGGTTGTAATCGTAATGAAAATTAAAAAAAAAGATTGGAAACACTGATGTAGTAAAACTTTGCACTTGCCTTCTGAATACAACTACAGCCAATAAATATCTATTATAAAATCATAAACTTCACCTTCAAGAACAGCTACTGCAAAGTGAGTCAAATTGATATGCTTGAAAGACTTATATATTGCGTTGTAAGATGATACAATATATTGAATCGGTATACTATAAGAAATAGATTTTAACAGGAATTCTTGTTCACGCTTGATTCGTAATAGGCCTAACTTTTAAAGCCATATAAGTTTCTGCCGATTATTACAAGGATCGTTACGAAAAGTTACTGATTAGTCGATTTTCAATGGTACGTGCATAAAGAAATAAGAGCCATAATCGGAAATAACATCGAAATTGGAAAAATATAAATTATTCATTCTCAAATCAATACTATATATTAATATGCATAGTAGAGTAAGACCTAAATCATAATTTGGATTTTTTTGCTTCTTCTCGCAAAACACGACGTAGAATCTTCCCTGTTGCACTTTTCGCAATGTAATCACGAAATTCTATTCCGCCATACAGATGTTTATATTTTGAAAGTTGGCCTTTGAAATAAAACAAAATGATTATTCATATGGAGATATGTGAAAAGCATGTATTTTAGTTTAGCAATTTTATGAATAAAGCATTACAAGCTCCAATTAGACATTGGTATTGGTCGCTACTATTTCGATATTGGCTGGCAACAGCGAAGATGATGTTATCCTTCAAGCTTTGTTACATTTAAATCTCACACAATTCATCTTTTCTTTGCATGTTTTTGTTTATTTCTAACGACCCAAATAAAGTTACACTTATAACTTTGTTCGTTCAAAACTGTACAGTGTGGAGATATAGACGTACATTGTATTATTGAATATATTGTAGTAAATGTTACTTTATCTATTTACCTGCGATATACTTATGGATCTCGTCCTTTGTTAAACTCGGATCTTTTGGAACAACATATGCTTTTGCAAGTTCTCCTGCTTGGAAATCTGGAATTCCAACAACTGCTGCATCAGCAATTTTAGGATGAGCAACTAGAACTTCTTCTAATTCAGCTGGGGCCACCTTTTAATGTATAGATAAAACGTGTAAAATAAAAATAAAAATACACACAATTCAATCTAATATCACTACACGTAAGTTGCGCCTATTTACTACCAAAGTGAACAAATTACCTGGAATCCTTTATATTTTATCAACTCTTTCAGTCGATCAATAATAAAAATCATTTCATTGTCGTCATAATATCCAATATCACCGGTGTGAAGCCATCCGTCTGAATCGATTGTCCTTGTAGTTGCAGTTGGGTTTTTGAAATAACCTTTCATTATCTACAATATGTTGTAAGCGCATTAAAAATGATGTCGAAAGAAAACAAACTGAATGCTTAATTCGGATGTTTTTAAGCATGACTAGTAAATAAGAAATCATTTTTCATACCTGAGGACCTTTAACACATAATTCTCCGTTTTTATATGCTCCTAGTTCCGCACCAGTTTCAATATCAATCACCTGTGGATAGAAAAAAAAGGTTCCAACGAAGCTAAAAAGTTGTGGTTCTTGCCTATAGAAATCCCACGAATTATATAGGTCAACTGTTATAAATTTGAATGCTGTGGTTCACGGACGGGACTTGGTATTCTCAAATATTTGTGCATTGACTCTGATATTGTTTTATTAAAAAAATTCAACACACAAATAATCGAAACGAAAAATAAAATACTGGGGAAACGTATAATTTGCAAGAAAAAATATCTCTCCTGCTACATCGTAGTAGATTAATTATAAATCGGTGTATTAAGTCACATCAACTTATTTATGCAACAACGAGAAAGCTTCTTTACTATGAATCTCCTTAATCCTTTCTAATACACTATTGACCTCCTACAGTTTGACTGTTATAGCGATAAGTAATCATGAGTGATGAAATATCCACTTGTCTTATAGCTTAACATCCATCTTATTATTGGTGTTATGAAACACGAGCTTTTTATCAGAACGTGCAAACTGAAACGTTGCTGCTTTTCGACTGCGGTATTCCGATACGAATAGTAATATTTTTTTTGTTCTTTCATTCTATTGATTATGCTTACGCTTCTTGATTATTACTTTCGTTTCTTTTGGCTCTTGGTAATTCTATATTTACTAAAGTATGTTGAAGAAATTTACCTTAATTTTTGTGTTTGCACATACACTGCCAACAGAGTTATATGGGGTTATTTGCAAATTCGCCATTGTAATAGGAACACACTCAGTCAATCCCCAGCCTGTCAAGTGTATATATAAGTTTAGTCAAATATCATCAAAGATTAAAATATAGGCCCACTGAGACGCAAGTATTATATTTATATTATTTGTTCTTCCATTTGGTATAATATCCTAAGCAAGGGCGGTAAAATATCAGTTTAAATATTTAAATAAATTGTAGTGTTTGCATCAGCCGTAGTGTTAAAAATTATACATCACTGTGTTGGATATAGCACAGCATAAAAAATAAGCGTTACCTTGTGAAACCGGGCAATTTAGCTTTGAAGCCAATATTGATGCGACTTCTCGGGGTAAAGGCGCAGCCCCGCTTGATATTGTTAACAGAGAAGAAAGATCGTATTTTTCCAACAAAGGAGATTTTGCAATTGCAAGTAGCATTGGAGGAACGCTGGAGAATCGTGTCACCTGCAAAAATAATGAGTTTCATTCCTATCCTATAGATATGGATATTTGACACATTGCAGGACAAACCGACGTTTAAGCAAACATCGCAGGTGAGGAAAAAGGTTACTTTTCACTTATTTAAAAGCTATACCTTATGTTTAAATTGGTTGGTTGTTTGCATTGTTGTTGCAGGTCAAAATCGCCAGGGCTTTTGATTTTTTAAATTAAAATGAAAATTTACCCAAGAACAATATGTTTCCATATGCACTCTGATCCCCAAGGCTCATCTTTTTACCCCAAATTTTGCATTTAGAAGCAATTTCACTCCACACAAATTTATCACTCGTGTCCATATACATCTGTGAGTTGTTTAATTAATATATCTGTTACTATAATTCTGGCTCACACAAATCAAATTTGTCTCAGTTTGAAAAATGAATTTGAAAATAAATATACTTATATCCGTAAATATATCATTATATTATTTAATTCTCTGACCACAAAAATTTAGCATATTATGCCATCGAATTTGGACTAGGAAATTTTATTTGCGTACCTTGTATTTCTCAATACACTGGAACCAATTTTCAAGATTGAATCTGACATCGAGAACATGTTTTAATCCTTGATCCAAAGCAACGAAAGCTACCAACAATCCATAAATATGAAACAATGGGAGAACAGAATATATACTGTCGGAATTAAATCCTGGATTTATCCTAGAACATTAAAAGATTGTGAATATTTTGACAAAATGTTAAATGCATTTGTTTTTTATATTTGCTCGTTACTGGCTGAAATTTATTAACGGTAATCAATAGTATGGTAAATTAACACAACACATGAAATCATTACAACCGGATAAAAACGAAGTTAGTTATAAATATACAATGAGAATATGACAAAATTGAAGAAACGTTAGCAAAAAAAACCGTCTTGATAACAAAGTTTTGAATTAATCCATCTATTCGATTTAATGATGTAAAAATTTGCCTTGTCGATAAGATTAAATAAAAATACGTGAGTCGTAACGTGCTAATTCGTAATATGGTTGTATGATTATATCCTTACTTGCACATTGTGATGCATGATATAAAGTTGTGATGAGTCAACATCACACCTTTTGGTAACCCAGTTGTTCCGCTTGAATATGGAAGAAACAAAATATCTTCACATGGATCTATTTGAACATTCCTGGGAAAAGCTGAAACGAAACAATTCAGAAAAGTAAATAAGAAAGCAAAGCTAAAATTGCAATAAAGAAGGATATAAATGCTTACTAAATTTTAATAGCTATTTATTCATACCAGTTCAAATTATCTTACATTTATGTCTCACTCACGGAAAACTGCAGGAAATTGTACTTACTCTCCTGCATAATATGCCATATTTCAATGTAACTTCTAGACCAGGAGTTCCCAAGCTTTTTTTAGAACGACCCCAAAGACAATTTTTAAGTGTCCAGTGCGACCCCAGGTCAATATATATATTTTTAATAATGAAACTTCTGAAGCTTCTTTCACTGGCCTTATGAGTTTGGTCATGTGGTGATATTAAGTAAAATAAGCTGAAACCAAACAGTGATGTCGCAATAAGCACCTACATTTTCTATAGCATCAGCATAGAGCGATGCCTATGGGCCTGTTTTACAGTACGCCATGGTACAAGCTGCTAAATTTAACATGATTTATCAAATCTCAGATGTTTTGTACATTCATCCTTCATCATACCTCAGCGACCCCACCGACCCCATGACCTGTTTGCGACCCCACCTACTTATCACTCCGATCCAATTTGGGGTCGCGACCCCTGGTTTGGGAACCCCTGTTCTACACCTTGTAAGATTTCGACGTATAGCAAACACTTAGTTAACATTAAAGAACACAAGCGAATTTGTGACTTACCACTTCCATTATCATTACTTATGAGATCATCAAAACTCTCAACTCCGGCAATCTTTCCAATGGTGTAAATTTTCTATACGAAAATACAGTTGAATTTTTTAAGTAAACCGCTTGAATGGAAGCATTTTTATTAAGCACTTTTTTATGAAGTATTTGTATTTAACAATTCAAAAACATTTGGCGATGAGTGGAGATTTCAAAAATTAGATTTTATTCCTTTTGATATTTCATTTATTGTGATGTCAAGATCATCTTTTGGTACTCGTGTAGTATGTGAACCAACATGACGGACACCAGAACGTAGTATGTGTATCAGGTTAGGGTTAGGCCATAATTTAAGGTACAAATACTACGGGAGTCACTTGGCTAGTCCCCGAACTTGTAATAAAACTAAAATAAGGAAAATTAGGATAAATTTATGTCCTAACATGGTACACATATTACGTTCCGGTGTCCGCCATCTTGGTGCACATACCACGGGAGCGCCCGTCTTCGTCATTGATGTAATAATATAACCGAGAACCCGAAACGAGTGTGGATTATGTATCACTGTAGAGTGTAGAGCTTGGTTCTACTGGTCACCATAGTGGGTCAGGTGACTACGCCTAATGGTATGAATCTAGTCTATACCATAACTATGTTCAATTTCTGTATTGTAATTATTACCTCCAATGACGGTACAACCGCCGCGACATTTTTCACACTTTCATATGCCCCGGGAATAACAAATGCCATTTTTGGCTCAGAATGCTGAAACTGATGTTTTATTTCATCTGTAAGCAAAAATATTAAAAAAAAACATAACAACGAGTGAATTGAGCGGAAGCGCAATATCACTAATATAGTCTTAGTTAACAGTGATGAAGGTGCCTACTGGTGCCATTTTTTTTCCGAGTTCTAACATTATGAGTTGGTGCTAAGATGTTAGTTATTTGTAAAACTATTGTTACTTCATGTTCATCCTGATTTCATATACAAAATATTTGTCACGGAAAATTTATCAATCTTACGTTCTGTATACATTGGATTGCACGTAGTGATTGTTGCACCACACGCAGCGGCAGCTAAAAGAACAATGACGTATTCCGGACTGTTGGAAGCGCATGTTGCTACAATATCACCCTTTTTCAATCCACGTCTAGCTAATGCACTTGCACATTTTACAGTCGTATTTGCAATTTCTCCAAAGGTGATTTCACGGGCAGTGGGTGCATCAACCTGTCAAAATATATAAACAAAATTCTTGCACATTTTCGTTTAATATATTGATCATATCCTAATACTTAGTCAAGTAGATTAAATGGTGGAAGCGGTGTTTGTATATTTAACCAATGCGAAGTAAGGTATAGAATTTCTTCTGTAATTCCATATTTAGAACGTACATTAACCAATAAATAAGACATACGTTTCATACTAATTCCCGTTTTCTTAGTAATCTACGTTATTTTTTTTTTTAATTTCACAATGAATCGTGAGTCAAGTAAAACTTTTTTGAACTTTCGGACTCTCCCTCGAATTGAGCAACCAAACATTTAAAAAAAGATTAGATCACCATTTAGACAGAATATTGACAATAATTTTATACTAGTCTTAAACAACAAAATCGAATCGGGGCTGAGCGTCTCTGTTTGAGCCATCTCTGTTTGCATGCACAAAACATTTTCTTTGCCCAACGCACTTTGGTATAAATGTGAACACAAATACACAGCATTTCTGTAACATTATAATATACTGTAAGGTTGAACAAAAGTTATACATATATATACTCACGATAGCTATTCTGTTGTAATGTTGATAAAGCGATTTGAAGATGTAATCCGTTAGAGAAACCTGAGGAATCACAACTTCAGGAAATCTGCTTATGAGCGGCATTTTGGTATCAATACTTCGTTTCTATCGCCTTGAAAATTGAATTAAGAAATTAGCTTGTTGTTTGAACTAATAACAGCTGTTTAAAGCACTTGTGTGACACGAAAATGTTCCTTCCGTATGTAATTCTTAAATATTTTTGACTATGTCTGTTATTGACGCATGCTCGAAACTTGAAGATGATTTTGAGATATTGTATGTGATCACGAGTAACGTAAAATACGTTACACAAGATGTAATATTCTTCCGATATAATTATGTAAATCTACCTACACTCTCTGCCTTTTAAATCTGAATGCGCACTGCAATTTCGTGAACCAGGTATATATAAAGTGAATGTTGATAATGGATGACTTCATTACAATATATACATACAGATAGAACGTCAAAATCCCGCTGCTATGAATGGATATCTAGAATAACCATGGCGATGTCTTGAGGTATAGTATACGTATAAGTCCGCTCATGAATCCTGTTTAACTCTCAATTCTGACTCAAAACGTTATAGGTTAAGATCCAATTGTCCCGCATTGCAAAATGACTGTGCGTGTCATATTAAACTATTGATTAGAACTTATCATGATGCACTTTATCTACCGACGCAGCTAAACTATAAGATTCTGGAATGTAAATACAACCTGAAATAACCGCACAGTCGCTACACGGATGGCAGGAGTATGTTCGATAAACCGTTAACGGCTTTCATAGGCAAATAAATTAATCATTGACTTATTGGTATGTAAAATGACCAAAGGCCCATCATAAGCTGTATTGATCCCATATCAACTTCACACATATGCCATGGATGGCCTAGAAGCAAGTCATCGCTGAAAGCTTCTTTTTGCACAAACCAATCTCATTAACCTGCATACAAGAATATTCAATCCAGTCAGCAAATTTTGGCTAATTATAGGTATTCGTAGATAAAGTAAATGCAAGTGCCGTTAACGTATGTATCAGAGCACGAAATTATAATTTTGAACTGAGTGGGTGTATGATTGTTTATGTATCTTTCAATGTTTCCGTATGACAAGCATGAAATACAATACGCATGAATGGAACGCAGTCGAAGAATAAATACTAAATACGCAAAGTTTTTTCTTGCTGCCATGATCGCGTTTCCTTTCCATTGACGCATCCTGGTAACAGTCTATCTAAAACTACATAAGGTAATAAAAAGCTTTGGATAATAGAGTGAATGTATATATAATGTCTTCTGCCTTGAGAAGTATGAAAAATCAAAAGTAATAAGGTGTATATAAACTTAAAAGATAGTAGTTTACACACACAGACAAGAAAATGAATTTCACCATGAATTTCAAAGATTTCAAAATTGTTAAAATATTGCATACGCAAGAATCAATAATATATTCCAATAAAAGTACTTAGGCTCCAAAATAGGCTCCAAAAGTGCATTTTGATTTATTTCATTTTAATGAGCACATATTTCTGCAATGCAAATAAGTAAATCAGAGACAAATTTTCGCCTGTTTTGCCATGTAAGTCGGGTCGAGATATATAGCAGCTATAAAGCTAAATACCATTCAAAAATTCCGGCAATGTACATATTTACAATGAGCTATCAAAGGTTTACCAACAGTTCATGCAGTTTGATACTGATGTCAGATGCAATTCAACAATTCGTTAATAATTTACCCGGCATACACTACTGAATATGATCAGTAAAATGAGGAACATCTATATAGAACTGAGAGAACGAGACTTAATATTTGCTACGGCTAGCACCGACCAATGCTAGATTAGGTCCACTGTCAACCTGCCATGTTTGTCTAGAGTTTATACGATCTGAGCTACCAGAAGCTTCATTTTGAATTACTAAACTATCTTAATAAAACTGAATATTAAAACTAGCAGTGTAGCTGGTTTTCTGAAATAATTATAAACAGGAATGGTCTGATTCTATGTGGAAAAGAAAGAAGAGTGTTGAAAGCACGATGCCGATAGAAAGTCGATATTCCGAAGTCGTAATTCCCGATATTTCTTTTTCTGATTACATTTTCAAATCTTTGCGTCGCTATGGAAATAGAGTCGCAATTGTAAGTAATATTCAGAGATATATTTGGATAAGTAGAACTTCAATGCACCTACGAATTCGAGCAAGATTTAAATTGATAGCGTCCAATTTCATTTGCCGTTTCTTGATTGCCGAGATTCGTCGAAATAGCGAGTTGAGAGTCAATTTTTCTTCACTTAGGTATAGTGCTGACTGCTGACATTGTTCACTTCTAACTATAAGCGGTTCTGAGGTGACAGTGGTGAATGCTAGCTACTCACACATTCGGATCTACTATAATTAAAAACGTCAATTTTCTCTCTTATTCCCATAAAATGTATTAGGTCACCAGTGTGGTATTTCAAAATAAAGCGTAACAATACTTTTTTGTAGATCGAGGCGGGCACAGGACGAAAACTAACATTTAAAGACATTGAAATCGAAGTGTTGAAGTGTGCAAGTGCGTTGTATAAGCATGGAGTAAGGAAAGGTGATATGGTGGCAACTTCGGCCTGGAACAGTCCGGAATATATCATCGTAATTTTGGCAGCTGCGGCTTGTGGCGCCACAATTACCACTTGCAATCCATTTTACACTGAAGGTAAACATGAGTTGAATCCAAAGTTATAGAATTTTTCACGTAAATAGCTTCGGCTGGCCGGACAGTGGCCCGCGGGCCGTATGTTGCATCCCTCTGCTGTAAAAAAATGATAATAAATATAAGAGTATTACATATATTCAAATTCGATTTTTCCCCAAATCTAATTATCACTAAGTTGTATTTTCAAGTAAGATATAATCAAAATATTCATTTATCAATAAAATATATTTTAATGAAATTAAATCATATTTTTAGATGAATTACGACATCAGTTGAGTGATTCTCAGCCTAAACTAGTCTTCACTGTAACAAGTTCGTACCAAAAAGTTAAAAACATTTCCTCGACGATATCATCAATTCAGGTAGTGTTCGACCGAATGATGCCATGAAGGTCAGATCTTTCATGGCTAATATAGCGTTGACGAAGTGATTGCTTCCTGATTGTTTTGCATGTTCGTCGTCATTCAAGGTCAAACACGTTAGCAATTTCAATAACGCTTTTGGCAAGAAATTATGAAACTCAGTCTTCTTTTAAATTGTTGAGTTTTCCTGAGATATCATCCTTGTTTTGCTTTATCTATGACCATACAACTTACTTTACGAATCCTAAAAGGCTCTTTTCACAATGAAAATTACGTTTAATGAGAATATTTTGAACTCTTCCTCTTGCAGAAAATATGCAACTTGGGCAAACTCGATGGGGCAGAAACTTATGAAGATCTTGTCAAGAATGAAGATGGAAAAGGTAAATTGCTACATTCCTTTGTAACACAATCACAATAATTCAGTTAGTGGTAATCTTCCTTACATCAATCTTATATTTATTCAAATTGTTATTTTTATTCCAAGCTGAAATATGCAAATGTGACAAATACATTAACATGATTTTTCCTAACTCCGAGTTGATGTTGAAATTTATTTATTTGAAGTCGTTTGAAAACCCAAAAAGTATATTTTATTGTAAAATATCATAAAATAGTAATATCCTATTACAATTAGAGCGCTTTCCTTTTCTAAAGCTAAGATAATAATGAACTACAAACTGACTCCCATCATATGAAACCGCAAGCAAAAGATCCAATTTTAAACTTCGACACATACTAAAATATGGATATTTGAAAAAAATTGTAAGGCTTCTTCCAAGTTTCTGAAACAAAATTACAAAATTATTTTCGAAAGATTCATTAAAATTAAATAATATTTTTTTTTTCAACAGATTTTCCAACTGACATCCAGATCGATCCGCGAGAAGATATATTGTTTTTGCCATACTCTAGTGGCACAACTGGGTTACCAAAAGGAGTTATGTTGACCCATCGAAATTTCGTTTCCAGCCTTGTCATCTTTAAGTAAGATATATTTCTTCTATATTTTAGAAACATTTTCACATTATCACAACATTATCCGCTCAACCATATTGCAACAATTCGGGAATAATCGAATCTACATCTGTGATGATTTATCAGACCCATTTGTATGAAAATTGATATAAAAGTGACAGGCTGCACAACTTGATACAAAAAGACAATGTCATACAAAAATTATTAATTACTAAAAATAAATGAAGAATATTCATTCACCCACGGTATTCATTCGTTAATCATCTCTATAACAGGGTTAAAACAGGACTTAGTCTAGATTGCATCTATACCGTTTTACCAATATTTCACATGACTGGATTGCTGATAACATTTAAAGCCTTAGATCAGGGCCAAAAGCATCTGCTGGACGTTCGATTTGATATTGAGAAATTCTTGGCTAATATAGAAAAATATAAGGTGAGCTAAAATATATGATGCCTTTATATGACATCTGTGTACATGACTGTTGATCAGTCAGCATTATATGTTTTGATAAACAAATATTTGAGTGTCTGATAAAACCATATTTCTTTAACTGAATTTCATTATTTTCTTTTTTAAATTTCAAATCTGCATTTGAAAGGCTAATCAAAATGGGTAACTCGACGGTCTAGCTTCAACTAATGAACACCAACACTTGTGCCATTCATATACCGAACACGTATCTGTTTGGATGACTAGACCAGTGGTTCTCAACCTTTTTTCTTTTGTGGTCCATCAATCTTTTATTGTAAGGGTAAGACCACAAGAAAAATCAAGATCTTTCTGCGAAAATGAACACTCGAAACGTTTATAAATAAAATGGGAATTACCTCTCAGTAGCAGAAAACAGCATCGTCATTGATTGCTGCCTCAATCAAAATTAACTATTGTGACATAAATAAAACTAGCAATTTTTAATAGTTCTGTGGCCCACCTCAAAATATTACTGTGGCCCAGCAATGGGCCATGGCCCACTGGTTAAGAACCAGTGGACTAGATGAATTAATTTTATGTTACAGGTAACATCGTTTATGAGCGTTCCTCCTATGCTCATGAAGATAGTGAAATCTTCTCTCATAAGCAAATATGATTTGTCATCTTTGCGAAACGTTGGTTGTGGTGCTGCTCCATTGCCAATGGACGTGGGCGAATCGGCTAAGAAAAAATTGAACTGCAATCTTAGCCAGGGTAAATATATGGTATTTCTGTAGTATGTGAACCAAGATGGCGGACACGGGAACGTAGTATGTGTACCAGGTTAGGGTTAGGACATAATTTTATTCCAATTTTTCTTATTTTATTTCTATTGCGAGTTTGGGGAGTAACCAAGAGACCTGAAATTATGGCCTAACCTTAATCTGGCACGCATACTACGTTCCCGTGTCCGCCATCTTGGTTCACATACTTCGGGAGTACCAAATATATACCTTCATAAAGCTGATGAAAGCTTTACGAGATCAATAGAATAAGTATATTTAACAATATCAAAGTGGATGTAATTGTTTTTTGATTATTTATTGTAAATAATGTTTGGTAAAGAATGTGACATTTGCTCTGTAAGTCAATCATCACATGCAACTAAAAGTATGAGAGTGAGCTCGCACTTGACATAGGTTCTGAACTACGGGTTAATCCTACCTGTTGGGACAAAAACTTTCTCTTTGTTTAGTGTGCAATCACTTTATCTTTTACGTATTGTCATCAAATTATTACTAGTCTCTTTTTTGTTGCTGTTGTTAATTTTGCTAATTTGAAAACGTTTGCTATACCAAGTTACAATTTAGCTTTGGTTTCCATATATTAGAGGATTGTTTCATTATTTGTTTCCATATTCCGCACACTTTCTTTTTAAATATGAAGTTGAAATTGTTTGAATGACAACTCAACAAAACGGATTTTTTTTTATCAAGGATTAGCGATAAATATATTGAATGCCAATATACCATAAAGTTTCTAATATATATATTCTGAAGTTTCAATTGTGTTCAATATTTTACTTCAGACTGTAATGAGTATTATGCCCATACCAACTTGATCTTTCACTACAGGTTGGGGTCTGACGGAAGCTGTGCCCGTTGTGATGACTCATGCATCTTATAGCCCGGTGAATTCAGTTGGAATCGTGTGTGCTAACACGCAACTCAAAGTATATTATTTATTGGTTGTTGTTGTTGTTATTTCTTGGATAAATATCACTTTTATCATTAGGCGATAGATTGATTGTTTTCACATCCTACCTTTAAAATCCATCTACAATTCTATTGTTCTTTTCGATGAACTTTTTTTGGGCTCTTCGATGACTTTATCTCCAATTTAGTTTTTCAAATTGCTTCAAGAAGGGCGTATCGTGGTGTGTGTACATTGGAAACAAAAAGTGGTCATGTGACTAATTATATAAAGTTTTTACCACACTTCACTATAATATTAATAAATAAATAGACTTTCACTACGTGAATGAGGTAATCAATTCTAGGATTAGAACAAATTGATAAATTCAAATCTTAAATTATTGCCTTTTATCAAAGCTATGTTGCTCTTTCATGAAAAAAATAATTAAATAGCTTTTTTAAAACACTTTGTTGTGTATGTTACGAGATGGAATTTTTATTAAATCATATAAAACATCACTTACAGGTAATCGACGTTAGTACTGGAAAAGAACTTGGACAAAATGAACATGGGGAACTGTGCGTGAAAGGGCCTCAGGTATGTCTAAAATTTGCTCGAAAACTTGCATTAAAATTAGGAATGATGACATACACTTCATCTGTAATAATTATGCATTTTTATTTTAACGTTTTCTTTGTACGATGAGTTTAATTCGGATTTAATTCTTTTTTTATTTGATTTTTTTCATTTCAGTATTTTATGGTATTGACGTTGACGACGTGGACGTAATTATTGTACTATTAATACCATTGTAAGGTTTAAAAAACATTTTTCTGAGATAATTTTTGGAATTTTCGTATGTTTACAAACAATTTGTTTAGCAATTGCAGTTTATTGTTACTGAAACCATTTAAATATCAGTAACATTAGCGCACAAAGTGCCTCATACATAGTTATATTGATCAAATTACCAAAATTGTCATTACCTAGAAATAATAACATTGTATTGTTACATCTCAACTTATTAAAACGATTTTTGCAATTTGATTTATATCATTCATCCGTACTTATGAGACGACTGTAAGCAAACTGTTATATTAACCATTCACATGTCAAAATAGTGACATCTTTACCGACTTTTTGAATACTGACTTTTTGTCTATAATAAGCAGGGCCGGATCATGTCTTTTAGAGGCCCTGAGCACTTGAGACTTTAGTGCCCTATAAATAAAAATAAGCAAAAATTTTTATCATCCCGACAAATATTGAAATTTGGATCGTCTGACCAACTCAGATAACTTTATTAAACACCGGTGCACTATTGAAAATTCGTTTAGGAAAATTTCTATGGTAAACCCTCAAATTAATTAGGATTGTGTAATTCTACAATTCGACGTTTAGGTGATGAAAGGATATTTCAAGAACCCATCATCAACTGCTGATACAATTGATGCAGATGGATGGCTTCATACTGGGGATGTCGGGTATTATGATGACAATGAATTGATTTATATTATTGATCGCATTAAAGAACTGATCAAATATAAAGGATTTCAGGTGAAACATGTATATTATATATAACAGATAAAATATATTAAATTCAGCAATTTATAAAAATCGGGCATCTAAAAGCCATTCGTCAACTGAAATTCTTTTACAAAAAATTTGTTTTCAAACTGACATTGTTGGCAAAAAATGTAAATTTCATTTTGTATACAGGTTGCCCCTGCTGAATTAGAAGCGACACTAGTTGCCCATCCTAAAATTTTCGAAGCAGTCGTTATTGGAGTTCCGGACCAAGAGGCAGGAGAACTTGCAAAAGCCTTTGTTGTTCCAAAAGATCCGAGTTTAACAAAAGATGAGATCCACGAATATGTAGCTGGTGAGAGCCTTTGCGATTCCGCATTTTTGCTCTTTACATTTGCGATTTAAATTTGATTACTATATGTTACGGCAACCATGCTATAGATTGGCAATGATAGTAATTCAGATTTGAAAATTATCTTTTCGCCAACAATTCTTCACAAAACAATACTAGTATCTATTCTAGAGTAATCGAGTTTGTAACAAATATCAGACATTTGAGCATTAAATGGGAACATTTTTTATTCGCAGTTCTGTAACTTTTTTCGTCTATCGTGGACGGTAATAAAAATGATTTTTTATTTACGTATTTTTAAAGGTAAATTGACAAAGTACAAGCACCTGCATGGTGGCATTGAATTTCGTGACAACATTGAAAAAACTCCCAGTGGGAAACTATTGAGACGAAAACTACGTCAGAGCATTGCCAAAAACTGATTATAGCAAGCTTCATGGGGTGAAAAGTATTATTTATAAATTCTCAGAAAAAAATGAGGCAATCCGTTATATCAAACTGCATTCTTTTATCATGCAATAACTAAATGTAGGGAGAAATACCTTTTAATTAATCCGAAATCCATTTAATCTCTTTATGATTGAAATCCTTAGCGCATCAGTTTATTATGGTTTGTCGAATGGAATAAATTTATGTCGATCAGTTCGTCAGTTTGAAGACAATTCTAAAGCTCATGTAAATTTTTTAGTAGAAATGCAAAAGAAAAAAAAGAATATGTTTTGGACACAGAGATAAGTATGTTCAAAAATAAAATATAAATTTGATTACAGTATTTAGTAGAATAGAGAGGCAACAGACAGCAAAAGTTTAAAAGTAGTGGCTTTGAAAATAAGTTCCCGCGAAATCCTCTTATTTTCTTGTGGGTTAATAAATTTGAATTCAGTTCGATAATTCTATTCTGCGCCATTTTCTTTTGATTTCTTTCTATATTGAAGTTAGACTATCATTAAATTTCTATGCCACATCACTGGTCGCATTTATAATATAAAAGTGATAATGCATAGAATTTCATAAGTTCTCATTTTCATAAAATATGTTTTACAATTTGTTACTTTCCGCCTAATTATGTTTATTGTTTGAAAAAATTTATGAAAATTTAATAATTTTTAAATAAAAATGGCATGATTCACAAAAATCTGATATTTTTAGTAGAGGAAACTTTTGAAGAAATTGAAGATTAGTGAAGTACTATTTAGTGGACAAGTTGACGTTCATGTAACAATTGTCGTTTTGCGCGGTTTCGTTACTATCATAAAGTACTATTCAGTTCACGAAAAGCGAAAGAGAATACAGTATAAAGAAGAAATCTTTAAATCCATCATTTTCCCAAAATTTTGACAAAAATTTATTTTCGAAGATTTTCAGTAGTTAAATATGGAAGTATCCCTTAAAAAGGAATTGTTTTTACAGTTTACATTTTTTCGCATGGATAGTCTTGGCCCCACATTTTTTACACAGAGTGTTGCTGTTTGCTAAAAAGCTACGATTGGAGTAATTTTATTGAGAAAACCATGGGAAAAATTATTTCGTGATCTTCACAGAAAGTTGTGTCTAAAAATAAACTCAAATCGTTTGAAAACGTAGATGAGATGTATCTGTTGAATACAGTAAAGAATGTACATGACGTTGTAACAAGCAGATTATAAACAATTTAGTTGGGTTTTCGATGTGTAACAGTGATATATATTAAATAGACCACTTGGCATTATTCGATGACGATGTTCCGTTTTATACCTCTGTGAGGTTTTTCTTGACGCATTTGTTAGAGATGATGAACCACAATGAGCTATTTGTGTATTATTCTGTTTTCACATGACACGTTTTGTCTGACTTTTACCTTTACTAAATAATAATTTCGCCATTTTGACGAAAACGTTTGAACTGCGGCAAAATAAACGATCATGGATATGGTTATAATTGAAAGTACATTTGACGCTGAAAATGAATAGCCTATACGGATAATAATAGTATTAGAGTCTATATGACGTTAAAAGTTGGCCTTATTGTGTAATTAGTATTTTGACCAATTAAAAGTGGCAATAAACATTTTCGTTTTTTTTCATTTATCCGTCACTTGTACGAGTTGAAACACTTACAAAATTTTAATGACTTATAATTTCAACCTCAAAACGGTTATTGTTGGGAGATTATTAACAGATTCTTTCTCGTAATAATCAACAAAGGTTATTTTCGAAATGTCTATGAGAACCAGGCTCTTGAAATAAATTAATATTTCAAAGTACAGACAAAAATCATTACGAGGCTTTAATTAAAATTTCTCTCATTTTAGAAATTCAGTGACTCATCTATAATGGGCAATTACAACGCTTTACGGACAATTTAAAACTTCTTTTTATCGATTAAGAGATTATAGTTATTCACAACGATGTGATGAAATCTATCAACGTTTCTGCAATTTCAAAGAAATTTTAACCAGTACTCTTTGGTACGTCTCGATTTGTGGTACCATTCATGTGAACCAATTTTCATAGTTCTGCCAAATTTCAGTGCGATTGCCCGTATTTATATCTGAAATATAGAAACTTGGTTTTAAAGTTCAATATGGTTGTGTAACAGGCAGCATAAAATTTGAAGTAGAAATGTTTATATTCATATCAAAGATCTGAACAATTCAAATTCTTTGTGTGAGCCAATTTAATTTTAATTTAATTCAGATTAGGAGTAACGACGTAGGAACGATTTTAGGATTAATGCGGATAAATGGCACTTTTGAATAGCATAAGCATCTTTCTTGCGTAACAAAAGAAATGAAAAATGACTATTTTTCGTCATTTTATAAGTGCTTACGATTGACTATTAATTTTTTATTTACAAACCAAAAGGTAATTTTATACATTGGATTGCATTTTGAAACAGTAGTATTATAGATAAACATAGTATACAATAGAATGTTGTAGTGTATCAGAATTATTCATAACTAACATTGAATAAAATATTTTTATGTATTGATATGTTTTAGTGTTAATAGTGCCTGTTGATTCGAACAAATCGATTTGTCTGAATATATGTTAGATGAGAGTGGGGTAAATGTACTCGCTTTATTGCAATAAAGTATTTTTATTCAATTTCTGTTCAATCTATATCAATTTTTCAAATAATATTGTGGATTTTAGTGAAGTGATAGACAAGTGATATAGCCAAGTTTTTTGTGTTGAGTTATATTTTCTCTTTAACATTGTGACACTGTATGTGTACACGACATTAAAATATATGTTTACGTTCAGAGCATGTTTACGTTCAGCGTACGCTAAAGTGCGGAGAAAACAAAATTTTTGTTTTGACTTTTTTGGACATAGAGTTTACGTTACACACTTGAACTATTAGAACTCAAGTAGCTATCACTTAGTGACATTAATTAGCCTTCGAAACTGTAGAGGCCCCATGTATAAAATAATAAATAACAGCGAGCAGAATACGTTCGATAATATCTTAATTGACAAGTTATGTAAATAAAAAAGTTTTGTTGTAAAGTTCAAAATGGGCGTAAATTTTTGTTAAAGAATTTATGTTATCTTGTTTTAAATGTATACCTATATAAACAACATTCACATATAAACAAAGATATTTAAAAAAAGGAATAGTAATGATAATGGGAATTAACGGTAACATTAACAACAATTCGATGAGGATTCGTGATTGTTCGTAAAAATGGTAATGGTAAAAATATCAGATGTACATTAAAAACATTTCATAAACGTCAAACAAAATTGTGAGATATAGACAGATTTTGGGTAAATACTTCAAATTTAATGATATAAGCGATGAGTCAATTGATTAAAATAATCAGCACCATTGTTTTTATGGATAGAAGTTGACGCTGTGGAAGCTCTATTATATAAGTGTCGAAATGAAGTCAATGGAATGCCTATATCTTTGTGCTATATGATGGACACTTGATATCGCTGTGACATGTTTTAAAATAAATAAATACAATTGTTTTCCGGTATTGGTTCAGAATAAAATTTTAAATTTGAATATTAGTCATCGAACTGTATATTTTCAAACAATGCACGTTGTCCTCCAATACGAAGCTGTAGTACTTTTTATAATACTCAATTATTTAATGATTACAGACACCTCACTCAATGTTGGTCTGATCCTGCGCCACAATATATATATATATATTACATTGATTTAAAATGGATATCTTAAATCGTGCACTTTCCAAATAAATCCAATACTTTGCATAGCAACATGTATGGCTTAAATGCCTCAATTGCACGAACTCAAATATCACACAAACTCAAATGCACGGAAACAAAATCTTAAGTTATCGAATACAAAAGGCTCGCTTGTTCGCACCATATTCGTACTGATCATTTATAAGGGCTTGGAATGAGACCACAACAATATATATTTAGACTTATATCAAAGTGGTTTGTTGGGAAAATCCTTTAGAGTTCTGAATAACTTTTTGAACTTATACAAAAGAGATCATACAGGGCGTCAACACCGCATCCTCCTGCTAATCCCTCAAAATCTTTCGGTGTTTATATCAATCAACGGATTACACCATTTACCGGACTGGCCGTATAGTAATAGTTGCTTTTATATACTGAAATGACATAAAGAACAGCAGTTGAGGTTTTAAAAACACACCACCAACAGGCTTCCAAGTATCGCGTGAGTACCTGAAATAAGATGACACGTAATTGTTCTGCGTAAGGAAGATATAAATGTCAAAAAAAAATGGAGAAAAGTTCATCGTGGTATTCAGCGGCAGTTTAAATGAACCTACTTTTGCATTATGTGTCGTCATTTTGGGTCACATATACATATATATTAAATTTGTTTGCTGCTCGAACTAAAATTAACGTTTTAGGACTTCCGATAGTTTGCCATTTTTATTTATTTTTTTCTTCATAATATATAGGTTGACGTTGTCGTATCGAGAAACCAGTACATACGCACTTTGAATGAGAAATTTCAGAATGAAGTTTACAATTTTTGCATGCAAGAAAAACCACGAAAAGTATGATAGAGAAATTATGTCTTGATCAAAGATGACGTGTAGAGGGTCAAGAACAATGTCGACCTAACATGCTGTGAGACAACAATTAACCGCAACAAAGGATCAACTTACGAAATATTTTATAAACGCCCATGGCGGACAGTTCGATGAAACTTTTGTTCCTAATCCTCGTTAAAAATAATTGAAAAATATCAACCTTGCCGAAATATTATACCATATAGATAGATTAGCACGGTCAACTAATAATATATGCTTAAGTTTTAGAGTAATCATATAAAAAAAATGAGACCTAGGTTTTATATACGATTACTAGTAATTGGAATATTTATCAGCTTCTTGTGTTTTGTGGAACAGGGATACACGTTGCGAATATATGATAAGAGGTTAGAAGGTAAGTCAAAATGCGATCACAACATACGTTTTAGTCAGTTAATGGTCGCGTGTGAATATTCTTTATTGTATGTTTTTTTTACTTTATCGAGGCCTTTTACGCAGTAAAATATACCGTTATCTTGAAATATTTTCTCCATTTTATTATGTAGTAATTATTATTTTATTTCAGTCTTCTCAATTTTATCAATATTCAGATTTAGAATTGAGAGTTACGGGAGGTTCCAATGTAAAAAGAGGAGAGTATCCATGGCAGGCGTTGATTTTAATCAAAAAGAAAAATCAAGCCACTGGTACATTGACTTTATGTGGCGGTACATTGATTAGCACAAAATGGGTTATAACTGCAGCACATTGCGTTGAGTGAGTACATACATATACGTTCTTCTTCTGTTGTACGCCATGTTATTATGCATATAACACGGCATAATATTTTAAGTGTATACCGCAGTGGCTCCGGAATTTTTCAATATCGTTACCCCCAAATCGAATTGCAGAAAGCTCAATTAACGCTTTTACAAAAATTCGATTTTAAACGATAATACTATATCCGATTCCGCCTTCCAATCGAATTTTAAGATGCTAAATCTGTGATTGCTTAGCATTTTAGCCTGGATACATTGTCAGGTAACATTTCTCATTGACTAGATGCGTACGTTACACGTCCGACTATTTCCCAGGCTGTCGAAAAGGACGGATTTTACAAAAGAAATTGCTGAGACAGTGAACGTCTGAACTACCTCCTGATCAATTTATAGGGATCAGTTTGGGAGCCATTGGTGTATACAGTAGCAATGATTAAATATTATATATACTAATATACAATAAATTATGTCCGACTGATTCGAGAAGGAGGATATAAAACACCCTCATGAATCCATAAATGGTTTCTGAAAAAAAAAAATGATAGTGAACTTGATGAAGACTATTTTGTCGAACTTTTGTCCTACAACCTCAAAAAGTTCCACATGTTAACAAGCAAGCAATTGCTTATTCAGCAACATCAAGCCCGACCGCTAAACAGTTCGAATTTTCCTCATAATTTCTGCAAAGAGTTCTTACGCGGGCCCGTAGGTATTCACAGGGATCCGCTTTTTCAAATATAAATCACATTTATCGCAAACAAAGACTTCTATTGCCATAACATGAGTGTATATGTTTAATTTGTTTATAGTCCAATATATGCATGAACTTAGATAATGTCAGAAGCTAAAATCGAACATTCGTGATTCGTGAATCATCCTTCCTACACCTTTCCCTAGCACTTAGCACGATACACCGTCAGATAAATTCTAAGTTGTAATGTGTTAGTTACACATTGTTTATTTTTAACTTTAATCCGTCCTAATGGGTTATTGTGTGGTAGAATTTTTTATCTCCGGAAGTTACTTTGCAATTTTCAATTTTAATTTTAGAAATTACGCCAAAATGAGAATATATTTTGGAGTATGGAATGTTACAAATCGTGTGGAAGTTGGAAGAAAATTATTAAGTGCAAAGAATGTAATTCCGCATCCTTGTTATGACGGTAAGTGGTCGATATATTACTTACTCTCATTGAGCTAATGTCGTCAGGAAAATAAAAAACTGAGGCGTCCCGTCAGCTGTGATCTGACTGTTAAAGGACCAATACTTCACGTACGACAGTCGCCCCGATAGTACATTGCCCTGTCGTTATTTGGGACGCATGATAAATTGTTTTCGCTTGCACACTCATTGTTTAACTGTCACTTAAAAATTTCTTGACTGTACTGATTCTGATCCCATATGTCACAAAACCTGCACGAGCGCCAATACGTCTGGTTACTCATGTCTAGTTTAAGTTAGTATTTGTCCACTTGCGGTGAAATAATTTTATTCTACTATGTCGCTCGCTTTGATCTTTAATGACATATCTGGATCGGGGTACCTCTGATAACTCGCGACCGCTTGAAACTTTAAACTGTTAACGTTTTGATCTGCGTACGATTGAGTCTTCAGATTATCTACGTTTAGTCGCATATTGTGCTGTCATCTTTGTTACAGCACATTAAGCTAATTTTATTCGAAAATTTGCGATATTAATTGCGATGGATTGTTGATCAATTATACTATGCGTAACGTTACCTTCGAATTGGCTGTATTGAGCATCTCTTGAAAATACCAAATTTAGCATAACCCATAACCTTTTACTCATTAAACGCATGGCGTCTGATATATCTGTATCTCAAACCCCAGCCACAGTCAGCAAAGTAACCTGCGATACACCCACCCCATTACAAACATTTTATAAGCACAAGAGAGCTATGCCCAAATATATGGACACGTTACCGATTCCAAGAAAAGCACCAACATTAAAAGACATCAGTTATAACAGTGAGTGCAAGCCCCGCTTTTACGAGACAGTTACGAGTTAGTTGAGTGTCACCGCGCTGTGTTACGGTACCGGAACTACCCTATCTTTAGAAGTTCCTGTCTTGTGACAGCGTGAATTGAAGTTGCAAGATGGTCCGACTCACAACTGTAGTAACACCAACGATCCGATTCACTGCTGTAATATAACACGAAGTACGGCGCTATTCGCCATTCCCCCAAACAAATCTTAGCAAAGCAAGGATTTCGTTACGAACCACCGACGTTCGATGACACGTGATCAAAATAACATAAAGAAGAGTGCCATAAAACAATGTGCATCCGCAGACGTCATAGCAAACAAAAACTAATCACACATAACTAACAGTTATATTTGAAATAAACAAAAGTAATAACTTTCAGAAAAAAATACCATCTTTAACCCCTGAAAATTTGGAAGAAATTGGTCCAATTATCAAAGAAAAAAGCGGTTTTGTAAAATATCCACTAGGTATCCTATTCTGTGTCAAAGAACAAGAACAACAAGGGAATTTCGTTACACACCACCGACGTTCGATGTGCACGTGATCAAAGAAACAAAAAGAAGAGTGCCAGCATAAAAACAAATCCATTACGTGTCAAAAGAACAAATTCCACAGTGCTATCAAGAATACTTGAAATAAATAAAAGTAATAGCCTTCTAAAAAAAAATTCATCATTAACCACTGAAAATTTTGAAGAAATTGGTCCAGTAATCAAAGGGAAAGGCGACTTTTTAAGTTTTCCACTAGGTGTCCAAAAATAATTCAAAACGATCGTTATGTCCACTGACGTGTCCAAAATCGATCGTTATGTCCACTAACGTGTCCAATAATGATCGCAATGAGCATGATAGAATATTATTACTGACGTCACAAATGGAAATCATTCATCTGTCAACTAACATTCTAAGGTCACCGATGGCATTTGCTGATAATAATCTTTAGCAGAGGAAAACAAAATGGCGATCTAGTTCATAGTCGACATGTTGCAAAAAGGTGTTTTTACTTTCATTTTACTATACCATGCCAAAGACTTCTTGCGTTTAATGATAATGACGGCGGTTTGTTTAGTGAGGTTATAGGCGAAAAGTATTAATAGCTAATCTAAAAATTCTGACAGACACAATTCTTTTCATCGCAGTAATTACTAGTATATATAAGTACTAGTATATCTTCAACCACCAAAATCCTCTCCTGCGTCTGCTGGCAGTTTTATATCCAAGTCCATTGCAGAACTGATAATATATATATGGGGTTGTAGTTTCCAGACAAGTAGTAGATTATCGATTATCACGAGCGCTGTTTCCTTCGGTTTTACCTAATGTTTCTTGACACAAACACTTTCAGTGTCACAAAACGGTAATACCTTGCCATAACTATACAATTATCGGTAATAACCCGTAATACGAGATTAAAAATTAAATTTAAATTGCAAAGTCATTGAGCCAAAACTAGAGTTAGAAGCGTGGGTTATCCGGTTCTGATCTTGCACAACAGACCACAACACATGTGATTACGGTTCCTGTGGTCGAAGTAATAACTTTGGGTTTTTGCTTTAGTATTTTAGATTATCAGAGTCAAAGATTATGGATGATTTGTTAAAAATAGTGTTTTATAAAAATTTGGCATTTCGTCGCAATAATTTGTGGCAAGGGATTTTGATAATATGTATTTTGAACGGTTATTTTCAGTCGGATGAAAGAAGGCTGAAATCAAAAAAATTATGATGTTTTGAAACAAAAGTTGGGTATAACCAGGCAGAAAATAATGACTGTTTTTGGGGCGATAAATAAAAATCATAGTTTGTTGAATAGAGACAACAATGCTCAAATCTATGGACACGTAGATTGAATGAATACGCCAGTGATTCTCAAACTTCTTTGTATTGTGACGCCCTTCAAAATATGCTCAAGTTGCGACTCCCTAACAAAAATACTTGACACCTTTCTTTGAAAGATCTTTTTCGAAAACATTGTTTTTAAACGATCGTACAAAACTTGGGGGATGGGTGGGTGTACTCTTTTTACAAATGGTATTGAATCTTGTGGGTGAATTCTGAAAAAGTTGCAAGCATTTACTTTATTCGAAGAAATTCAGAAACTACTTGAGAATCTTCTTTTTATAATTTACTTTACAGTATAATTTTTTACGCAACACAAAACAGGTACAATTTTGCAAAAGGAGAAGAGTTTTGCGACGCCATAGCAAAATTGTAACGACGTCGCGACGCCCACTTTGAGAACCACGGGAATACGCCAATAACACTATTTTCAACGGCGTTCCCCCAGACGACCAACAAATAATATTTGTTCGTTTCCTATTCGGTTAAATACCCGCAAAATCTTGGGAACGGAGAAGTGTGCGGTATTGCAGTGAAAATTTATATGGTTCGCAAACTTGCCATTTTTTTTACTTGCCATAAAAATAAACGAAATATGCCGCGCTTTGGTCAAGAAATACCTACGTGAAATGAAGTATCTGACATTATTCTATTTGGTGGCAGTATGAGCCGGAATCGCTTATATGTCATTGTTTTTTTACTCGTTGTCATATTCGTGCTTTTCAATCTCTATTTTATTGCATTGGTCTGCCTAAATTGTTTAAACTTTGACAAACGAGGCTGACGAACATGACATGCCAGATGCACATCGGTACCGTAATGGGGAAGGCGTAGCAACGAGATCGCCGTTGACCAGCACGGATTGACATACGTGGCAGAAGCGGTTGTGCTTAATTGATAAAATAAGTGTTCTCTTGAATTATAATAAAAAAAAGCAAAAAATTGGGTGAAATATATGGTTCAATGGGACTCAGAGTCTGTTGCGTATCTATACGTAAAATGGCGCCCAAGGTAAAGTTTAAAAATGCGCTCCCATGATCATGGGTTAACAATTTTTATCAACAGCTTTTGTTGAAATGAGATACTTCTACGTTAAATTATAAATAAAATACAGGTCTCAATTGTTTATAATACAAAATTATTTTATTGAAATATTTTACAACTGAAACTTGGCACCGAGCCATGGCTGTCATACCCGTACGCCACTGTTAGATTGTCATAATTTATAATTTTCAAAAGGCATATTATCAACGGTATATACGGGAGAATAAGAGCGATCCAAAATTTTGGGCTTGAATTGGCTTTCATGCCTACTGATTTATACTCAGAATTCGGAAGGCTTTCTATCCTCGCAAGCCAACCCCTGATCGCGGCGTGCGGATGGCGAAGTAGATCTGTAATAGTTTTACTAACTTTTTATTGTATACATTTCTGTTATTAACTAAACCTTTCCATCTTTAGCTATATTAAAAAGCGATCGCTTTTGAATTTCGCATAGTTGAAGGTGAAAGTTATTACTTTTTCATTATTTGACGTCCATTTGTTCAGCCTGAATCTTGCTGTTTATTTATAACTAAGTTCATAAATAGTAAGTGCTTCATGAGCAGCGTATTTTTATGGTGTCGATGTTGCTTGTTTATTTACATAACTGCCCTGTTGTCCTGCGATACTGTCCGTGCGCCCAACTTCAGTATATATATATTATATAGGTTTATAAAAATTCCCCAATTTTTGTTATTGACGGTGACACTGGATTCGTCACCATGTTGTTTATTTTGATACAAAGTTAAGATGAATTTCAACATTGCCGCAACAACCAAAGTATTTACATCAATTTGGTGTAAGGCAAAAATTGTTCGATAAACGTTGTCATTCCCGAGGTAATCCGAGGCAAGTTCATCATTATAGATACAAGCGTAATTGCTCCAAATGTTCGTATTTTTTGTCATATAAAGAAAAACGTTGATGCTAGAGTGTAAGTGTAAAACATATAATATCTCCTGCTTTGTTAGACATGCTAATATAGTTTTAACCGTCGTTTTTCGTCAGACTTTTCTCTAAATAACATTTTTACGGTGCTCCCGAAGTATGCGAACCAAGATGGCGGACATCTGAACGTAACATGGGTAACAGGTTAGGGTTAGGCTATAATTTTTTTCCCAATTTTCCTCATTTTAGTCCTATTATCAGTTCGAAGACTAGCCAAGAGCCTCCCGTAGTATTTATACCTAAAATTATGGCCTAACCCTAACCTAGTACACATATTACATTCCGATGTCCGACATCTTGGTTCGCATACTTCGGGAGCCCCATTTTTACTCTGTACCAATACCTTTGTATCAATCTCATTCTAAATATCATCATATTTTGCTTAGGATCTCGGGAAGCAGCATTCTCTGGCTCCAACTTGGCTCTTATAGAATTGAATAAACCCATTTTCAGCAGAAAATCAATTTGCCTGGATTACGATTGGTCTCGTGACTGGGCAGACTTGTCGTTGGGTAGATCTTTAGGAGGCTGTATTGCTACTGGATATGGTGTCACAGGTATGCCAGAAAATTAAATGAATTTTCAATATTTGCTCTTGAACTCGTTTTATAACCAAGTAGATTCGTGCGGAGGGAAAGTCATGGCACGTAAGTGGCGACTGAGCGCAAGAAGTTTATTAAGGGTTTGCTGAAACCATCGAAAACTATTTATTGGGACGATACTCAAAACAGTTCGGTGACAGATAGTAAAGAAATCAAAATTTTTAATATCCCCATTTTGTATTTATGCATTTGTATAGATATCAGTGAATAGCAACTAAACACTAGGCATTAGAATATGCCAGCAATTTTTTTTTTATGAATCAACGATTTCTAAGAAAAAGCTGTTGATATATTTATTTTAATTCTGTTAGCAACGGGAAAAGACGCAGAAATATTACAGAAAGTTGCATTTTCTACTGTGTCAATGAAAACGTGTGCAAGTTATGGAGGAATGTCAAGAAATAGTGAAATATTGTGCGCTTCTGATGATAAAGTTACTGGAAGAGACACTTGCAAAGTAAGTTAGAATATGGAAATAATGAATGAAATTTACTGGTAAACACCATAGAATTTACGTGACAACAACTGAAGCTTTTCTATGTTAGGTTAAGTAATGCCATTTCTATAGAAATATATAATCGCTAATCGCATTTCGTCAAAATTTTACGTGAGATGCCACGTAATCACTTTGACATGAAGACATTGTGGGCTGAACTTGACCGGATTTTGACAAAAACGTGATGTTGAGTTTATTTTGATATTTCTTCATCCTATTTATTGTCGCGTGTCTCTGTTTTCTGTTTATAATATGAAGAAATACTTGACACTCATTCATTTTTCCATGTAATTTGCATCAGAAAAGAAACTGCCCTGTTAAATATGTGCCAATGATACACGTATTATCGAATATGTATTATCTACTATTCAAGTTTAATCAATGTAAACGACATATACGAAATGATTACCGTAATTCGTCATGTTTGCTGTGTATATCTTTAACCTCTTTGTTTGTAGTCCGCATATTTCATCAATGACAATTTTTTGGAATTGTTTATGCTATCACAGATCACCAAAAGAGCCCGATTACGAAAATAAAATCGTTATTCTTGTTTATTGATAAATATCGTTGATCACAATGATGTGGCTGAAGTGCCATGCCGACACCACTCAAACTTTTATACTACAAGACAAATGATTGTTTCTCATCAATCCCAATTTGTTTTTTTCCTAATCTTCTTTTAGAGGAAAGAATATTCTATTTATCAAGAATTTCATTCAATATTACAATTCGATATGTGCTCTATATTGATTGCAACAAATTTATGGTCATTTTTCATAATAAATAAATGAAACAGTAATTTATATATTAGTCAAAAACTGAAAACGGGATATTGTCACTCATAACCAAATTATGTAAGACTATTGTTGCCCAATTTGAGCTTTTTCTGAACTGTTGTCAACTAGTCTATTAATTCGGACTCTATCGGATGGACGCTGAAACACTTTGATTCTCTGTTTGTGATATACGTTCAAATCTTTCTGGCAGAGTTTTAACGTCGTATTGATAACATTTCAAACATGAAAAACGATATACCATAGCAGATAACTGGTTTTGGATTTGACATCGTAAATATCATATCTAGCATGAGTTAGGCTACTTGAACTGATGGATGCAATCAAGGAGGAAAAATTCGTTTGTCATCGAATTAGAGGCGCATTTTCACGTAATTCGCTATTATGACAGCACATGACTGCGTCATAACGCACATTGAGTTTAAATCCGGTTACGATCAATTCGCCACATTTCTCACGCTGGCGTGACGATGTGACAATGGCAATCATTAGCTGAATCTTTATATACAAAACCGAAGAAAAGCAATTCAACTGATTATACTATTTCCGGCTTAGTGATTTGGTATATGAATCAAGCATTGAATTTGTTAGTGCTGTTGCGATTTTTTCCCATTTCCTATGATTGTATTTATAACATATATTAGAAATATCCTATTTAACATTTACCGCAACCAAAAAATGTTTAAATTTTGAAACAATTACATTTACCGGAGTAGGTTGGGAAACCGCTTCTGAATAATTATGAATTGGAAATTGAAGGAGTTTTATTGTTCTCGTCTCAACAGTTGAATAATTTGATTTTAAATTACCGCACCGATTACACAGCGGTGGCACGATGGAGAAAGCTCGAATGGTAAACGAAAAGTAGGAAACAATCGCAACGAAGAAGAACAACATCTGTCAGAAATAACAATTGATCAAGATATACCGCCAAATACATAGAGTTATATTTAGTTTGTTACGCTACTTCCTAAAGTCACTGGTTCCATCAGACGCGATATAAACCATATAGTAGGTAACTCATATATGGAATAAGTCGGCGTTGAACTTTAACATAAAGGATAGAGATAAAAAAAAATCATATATGTGACGAAAAGGACCTAAATGTTAAACTCACATAAACATATAGCACTGAAAATATATTGACTGGTTTACGTAAAATTAAATGTATACTGAACAGAATAACGTGTTTGGTCTGACTATTAACGTATTGGCATAATATGTAGTACAACATATCGACTTTTCTTAATTTCGTATAAAACACCACACATAATATTCAATACATCTTTTAAAACTGATACTGAAAATTAATACAATACTATTCATTTATGGTTGATGTAAAATTTAATTGAGCTACACCTTTTGATTTCAAATAATCCTTGTTTTGTGTTTATGAATCGTTTCTGTAACATATAGTTATATATACTCTATAATCAGAAGGAGATATCACGTAATCGCACGCACAAAGTTGTAATTAAGTGATTACAACAAAAATTCAAATCATGATATTTGTCATGTTCCATTTTTAATGACTTACCGATCTTTGTGCTGAATATACCACCAAACGTTTACAAAATATGCGAAACATAACCGGACAACGGACAATACGCGCCCGTGTTTCTTCATCTCTTATAAAAAAAAAACTGCTGTTCAAAAACCGGTTATACCGATTTGTGTAATTTTGAAGATGCAGAAAGCTATATTTATCCGCCGCGCATCAACAATATTCCATTTTATTTCTAGTAAATTTGATGTATGAATTTTGCGTATATCAATGTAAAAATGAATGCTTTTCAAGAAGATTAAATAGATCCGGGCAATTTGAGAACCGATGCACATGCCATATATGAAAATTTCACGTTTACATCTTTGTTGTTTACTATATATTATCAATTGTTGAAATTTATGATTTAAAGGGTGATAGTTCTGAAATTTGATATTTATATCATAAATACTTTAACATTCAGGGTGACATGGGTGGTCCACTAGCTTGTCCTACGTCACGATCTGGATGTAACGGATATTACTTAGCTGCGGTAACATTAGCCGGATCTTCAAAATGCGGAGAAGAAGGAAAACCCGGAATTTATGCAGCCCTAGCTCCAAACTTGAAATGGATAAGATCAGGTATATGAAGAATGCGACATTTGTTGGAATTTTTCATTGATGTTTGTCATATTAGTATGAAGTTGTTGTCTATAATCTCTAAGTATTGTAATTGGGGACAAACTGATTTACGCAAGATTTTATAACAATACAAATAAATACAATAATAAATGAAGAATACCTGCTCAGTTTTTAAACATCAACTTTACTCTAGTGACAGTTTTATGATAACCCGATACTAATATTTTCATTTTTGTTTCAGTGATGAGCCAAAGAATTCGACGAAATACCCAGCCAAAAACGCAGGCTTACAATTGCGTCAAGCACATTTTGAAGCATAACAACAGTCATTTAGGATCATCATCATCTATTGTGACGAGTGTTCCAGAATATCTCGTTTTGAGAGATCTCAACGTCAATGGTATTTGAATAATGAGACACAATTGTCATATTCTACTGTCATTTCGTATTAAAAATAAACAATGCTTAATCCGAACTTCGTTTTGTGAACCACAAGGATTGAGCTTCATCGGTGAATTCAGTGAAAACTGACACTTCGACAAAAATGACAAATTTAGTCATTGCTTTTAAAAGGTCTTCAACGATCAACAATCAATCATAGAAGTTCCTTCGCTCCAGTTTCAATGATATGACAAAATCGTAAACATTTCTCAAATAATACGCTGCTCAGTTTGACCAAATTGTCGATTTATGTTCTATTTTGGATGGTTTAACCATGCAGCCGTTTGTTATTTTACGATTGATAAAATCGAAACATAAAAAACGTCAAAAAATAACTGACAATTTTTATTGCATCGAACAATTTCCTCTATTAATGAATATCGTATATATTTGAAAAAGTGTTTGCTACATCAAAAAGGAAAATATTTTGGACGTAAATTTTCATTGACGTTCCATAAGAAATACAAACGAATTTTCTATAGTGTAGGCTACCTTTTTTGAAAAAATGTCTGTTTATATTAGAATTGATGTACATTCTTCTATTACGAAAAGGCATATTTTCCACTAAATCTCAAAGCGATTGAGAGATTTTTATCAAGCTAACTTACCGAATTCAAAAAAATAAAAGTATGAATAGCCATGTTTAACAATTCGGAGTTTTTGTGTAAAAAATGGAAGAATTATATCTGACATTGTGTAAGTTACTGATACAAATCGTGAATATCATTCATTTATTGGATAATCATTTGGAAAATTAATTTGAAAGTTATAGAATACATTCCTGCGCACATTGTTTTCGCAATAAATTGTAAATGCATACTTTATGCTGTTAATGATTTGTTAAACAGGCACAAGTGTAAAAACAGATAATATGAAATGACTCAGTATAATGGAATGAAGTATATAAACAAAAGTAAGGAGACAAAAACTAGTATATATATCGTAATGTTCCATCTTAAATGTTCGAGGCAAAAGTTGGAGTAAATTAAGATTTTATTTGGAAAAGGGCTAATAATTGTAACGAGGATTGTGAGTCAACACAGCCTCAGTTGTAAAAAATTATCTCTTTTACAGATATATATTTAATAAAAAAATAATGTACAGATTGTACAAGTGATTTTATTCCACTCTCATTTAACAATCTTAAATCAAATTTTCAATCGAAACATCAATGTCAACTGAAATATGTAAATAGAAAACTTTATTTTGAAGAGTCAAATCATGAGAGAAATCACGAATCAATAATGTTGACATTGTATTAGAAGTGTAAAGCCAACGAGGCGGTTCAATCATATCCACGACAAGATCAGGATCTTATATGAAATTGGGCATATATGTTTCATTCTTTAAATATCTACCACCTAAGTGTGTGCCCATGACTTCCTATATATAGGTTTATATTCCTAAACTAAAAAAATCACACACAAGTCGTAAGCAGACAAATTAAATTAATGCATGGAAATTAAGTAACGTTAATCGTTTTTTACAGTGTTTGATGTCTTCTCCTAAATATCTACAATAAGATGAGCTACTGAATTAAATTAAGCAAAATGATATTGGTTCAATTTCATTGCTTCTCCGATAAGAAGTAATATTTCTCTCCAGCTTATGATCGAGTTTCAGTTTGTCTAGACTAGAGTCTCTAGCTAGACCACCGGTTCTCAACCAGTGGGTCATGGCTCACTGCTGGCCACAGAAACATTTTCAAGTCGGCCACAAACCTATCAAAAATTGGAAGATTCATCGATAAAGTTTGTCTGGTTGTAATTAAATTTTGCTTGCAGTAGCAAGAAATGATGCTGCTGATGTTTGTTGGAGAGTGGTCATTCAAATTATTAAAGTGAAAGTGTCTATATTGCGGGTAGAATTGTTTGTTTTTTGTAGTTTTACTCTGGCATGAAAATTAAAAAAATTTGCATTAGAAATAGGCCACGACGGTAAAAAGTTTGAGAACCACTGGTCCAGACTCAAGAGTTTTCTGGTCCTTTATATTTTGTCTCATGATTGCCCACTAACGACTACTAGAGTTCCATTAATTGCAACGCCAGATTGTATAAGTTGGATGCGTTATAAATTTTCCAGTCCATTTCGGTTAGCTTTAAATGTCAGGATTTTATTTTGCTCGCTGCTACCGTCGAACTTGAATAACAAAAGAATTTCGTTGAATATAATGTTGATTGTAGTCCGCGCCATTGTTTGTTGGAAAATGCTGCGAGGTAAATAAATATTTTCTTTTCTGTGTTGACATCGATTCATTTTAGGGAGGGAGAAGAATTTCGTTTTGTTTGTATTGAGCTTCTTTATTTACTCAATGACAATAGCAGATGATGGATAGCGAATACATTCCAAAACTTAAAATTCCTAAATAACCATTGGTTTCTCATTTACCACAAATGAAAGGGATTATGAATATATATAAATATTTGTTTTTTGTGATTCTGCACTTTGATCATTTCGGCCGGGGCGTCGAATTTAAGCACTTATTGTATATTACAATTATTATGATCAAGAACGAATAAAATAGTCAGAACGAAAAAAAAACTTAGCATTTGATAGATTGAGTAGACGAAAATTTCGTCTTGTTCTAGCTACTGGCAGAAGGCGTTGGCGCTCTCAGTTTAATTTGTAAACAAAAACCAAATACCGTTGACGATTCAACGATGTGATGTAATTTGTGTGAATAAATGTATCCAGTATTAATTTGAGGCTATAAATTCATAAATTGTGTTTGAAGAGAATATTTACAGCCAGTAACAATACAATGTATATATATATTTGTAATCTAGTTGATATTTGCACAATGTAAATCTGCGTTTCGTGGACGTTGAATTTAGATAACGGCATATTAAAATTTATATTTTTCCGTTAAGTGAAGAGCTTAACAGAGAATATGACAGAGCTTAATAGAATAAATTACAAAATATTTTACTCAACGCAAGACTATATGAATAAGCTCATGCAGAGGGAAGAATACATCAAAGAGTTCTGAAGAATTGAAAAATTTTTCGTTAGATTAGTCTCTCAATTCCGTATTTAGACATTTGGTGAAGTGATTGGGCTAGTAACAGATCAAAAATTAACCTAAAAATCAACAATCTTGTCTATAGTCGATATGTTAACCCTAAAGTTTAAAACATCGCCCTTGAACGTCGCATTGTCCAGTGATTTATACCAAGCGGCATAGCACAACCTCAATGGATATCAGACATTCGAATCGTAGTCGATTGTGTATACCTTTCGCTTCTTACCAACTGTAAATTTACTCAATATTATTCGAAACAAGTGTGGTATTTAGTGCACGTCAAAAATCATTGGCGACAGGCTTTAAAAACCGTCTGCTTAAAAAGTAGTTGATGCATATCGAATCTTCATGTATTCCATAGTAATAAAGTAGTGCTTCTAAACTACGCTTACGTGAGTTTCTCTATATAGACTTTGGAACTATTTTTGTGCTGTTCTATTTTCTATTTCGACTTTTTATAAATTCATTTTCATATTCAATTCCCACAAAATACCAATAACGTTTGTTAGCTCTCGTATCACTTTGATGCTATCTCATTCAAGTATTATTGTGGGAGCGCCACATACGAATCTGAAGTAGAAAATAGATAAAGCACCAGCAGTTCAATACACTATATCCAGTATTTCAAATTCCTGTCACTGTTACTGTTACGTCATAATTGTAATTAAATTTTGATTTTGCTAAATTCACTTTTTCGAAAGATATTGCGGTATATTTTTTGTTTCAGCTATAGCCTGGATATATGTATAAATGGCATTACTTGCAGGGAAGCGAAATGGGAAAATCTCATTCAAAAATCTTGTAAGATCGATTATCAGAGCCAGTCGATGGAAGATATCAATAGTTGGCGCAAAAGATGGAACAAGTTCTGAAGATTTGGCGAACAAAACATGGTTTGAACTTTATATAATATAGTTCTGCTTTATTTGCTAAAGCAAGCAAAATATAATTTGGATGACTATTACGTTTCTAGTTTTCTTTTATCAAAATAAGGCTTTATAAAAAAATTCATATTCGCCTTCTTCGTTCAAGGTACGAAGACAAAGACACATTGCATTTCAACGTGAACGCTTTCAAAGCAGGAAATTCTAGTAACGCTGGATTATCAAAAAGAGCAAAATTTATTCTGATGAAAAATGCGTGGGAAAGAACAGAAGAAGAACTCGAACTCATTCATACAGTCGTCGACCAAATGAAGGTTAGTCAAATTTAGTTTGATTTATGGCGTTGTAAGGTTCTCAATGTTTCAAACGTCAAAAACAGGTTTATTTTTTAAATTTGGGTGCTCCCGAAGTATTCGTACCAAGATGGCGCACAGCCTGAACATAGTATGTGAACCAGCCTAGGGTTGTTCAGGTTGTGCGTCATCTGTATAATTTGAATTATTAATTCTCGATGATTGCCAGATGTTTCCCTCTTTTCGCTTTTTGCAATGCTTTCCACACACGATATATGAGTAAAATGGTTTCCTTAGCATTAAGGTTCGAAGTTAAAGTTACTTTATAGACATAATCAGACCTGATGAATTGAAAAGTTTTATGTTCAATATCTACTTTTAACTTGACCAAAGTTCTAATGTATTAAAAAGCAATTGCAGAGGAATAAGTAAACAAATTTTTCCACATTTGATTGGTACTAAGAAATAAAAATGTTCGTTGCTTTCTCATAGAACTAGTTTGTATTTTCTTCTTCCAGTGTTTTGAAAAATATCCTCCTATGGTACGGCGAGAGCTTACACGAGTGATGCATTTTGAAACATTTGAAGACGGCCGCGTGATGCTGCAAGAGGGTCATCAAGGATTTTCGATGTATTTTATTGTTGCTGGAAGTGTCATTGTTCAGGTAGTACCAAGCTTTTCTGAGCTTTTCTGGGACGAGTTTGATTTGAGAACAGGCCAGGTTTGAAATTTTGCTTAAATTGGCAACAAGAATGACCTTATCAATTGTCTTTTATTAGAGAAAATCAAATAGGCTGAAAATACATCGTAATCCGTTTCATTGTTTGGGTTATTCCATTATTCAGTAAATGAATAATTTTGGGGTTTAGGCTTGTATTTTCAAGTCGAGTTGAGTTTCTTAAGCCACTTCTATTTTGGTGTACATTTGCCACGGTTTCTATTCTTAAATTTTACAAAATTCTTCCAAATCGGAAATTCGAATAAAAAAATTAAGGTGAGCCAAGAAGATGGTCGAACGCACGAAAAGAGGACGCAGACGGTTGGTGAAATTTCAGCAGGATCTTCATTTGGAGAATTAGCTCTGATTCAAGATTGCACCAGAACAGCAACTATTGTATGTAAAGGTGAATATATTTTTAATATGGGCATGCCATCAAGCATTTTAAACACCCTCGCTAACACTGAATAAAGCTTGTGGAATTGCAATTTTGGATGTTACATTGGAGAGAACACGATCATGAACGACATCATTACTGAAGTGGATCACCACCTTACATAGTTCACATACCATTTGGGTGGTAGCAGCTAAATTCATAGCCATGCATCTGGGTTTTAAATAAGTAACGTAAATATAGGTTTTTGAATCTTACCAACGAATATTCAAAAAAAAAACTGTAATCGTACTTGTAATGTGTAATACTTTCATTCAGGAACGTCTCAGTTTCTGAGAGTTGATAAACCTGATTTCGACATGGTTTTAAGACGAAGTTACGAGAAGGAATGGGATGACCGCCTGCAAGTTCTATTATCAATTCCATTCTTCAAGTAAATAAATTACTGTTAAATTCCTATTCTAATATCCCATAAATAATTTTACCAGAAAAAAATTGTATCTTGTATCCGAATTCCAACCCTTGGACAATTGAGGATTTTCAACAAATTTCCACTCAGTAACTTCACTAATTTGCAATATTAGCACATTTACAGCCTACATTGATTCTTATTTTCATTTGCTCAAAATAAATAATAAAATGTGATTATCGTGTCCTAGATTTTCCTAGCAATCGCCACGTCTCATCCACCCTTTTAAGTTTTATAAAAATGTTTTTCTCGATAAATCTCGAATTAAGTAAAACAAATTATTTACCAGGCAATGGAACGATTTCGATATGAGAAATTTGAACTTGAACTGTAGAATTGAAGAATTTTCGTCAGGTTCTGTTATTGTTGGAAATACGAGTGAAGTTTCAGAAAACGTATACTTCGTCGTGTTTGGAGTTTGCAAATTAATCAGAGTAAGTATATGATTCATTATATCATAAGTTAACGATATAGTTTTCAATCTGTTGTGAAACAAAATTTGGCCGTAGCATAAGCTCTCTTACGTCTGAATGCATGCTTATTACTAGCGTCGATTGAGGTAAATGTATAAAATAAGCAATTATTGATATCGGTCGAAATGGTATAAAAACATGATATATGTATATATGATTCAAACACTAATGCATTTGTAATGGGCATGAAATATTTCATAAATGATTTTGATTGAGTCTGTTGTAAAAGCAGTTATTCTAATAATAAATGTAGCGCACTTACCAATTTATTTCTAGCAACTGCCTTTATGATCTCGTGAAGATAAAATACCTCGCCATTGGGTTTTTCCAGAAATTATCTTCCGCATCTCTATATTTAAAACCAGTTATGCTTTATGGCTTCGGAACTCTAATGCGGTTCTTGAAACTCAATATATTTTATTATAATACCAACCTACTGCTAAATATTAAAATACAAGCTACTTCCACAATTGCTCTTCAATGTTTATTATGAAACTAGGTTTTGAGCGGAATAACGGGATAAGGTTTTACATTCTTTGCTTTTCTTAGCTTACTGAACTCATAAACCTATTATTTTGTATATTCTTATAATATGACGTTGTAAACATCTCTACCTAATAAAAATAGCATGAAGGAATATTTAGTAATGAATAGAACAATTTTCATGTTTATTATTTTGTACATTACTTTTTGTGTCAATTTCGTGATGTACATATAAATTGTTAGGCCTACTGACTGTAAAGCAGCGGACTGTGAAGTACATGCATTCGAGATATAATTGTAAATCCTAGGTAGATTAAATGATGACTTCTTCACAGTATCTTGCTGTTAATGGACGGTAATGAAACTTTGTTTTTTTTAATCCTCCATATACAATCTTTTCCAACCAAAATTTCATAATCCAGCAATTTTTTTTGTAATAACAAGTAATTGGACGAGCCAAAAAAGGGTCGCAATCGATATAATCAGCAGCATTTTACCAGAATGTAATATATGTTTGGTTATGTTTTTATTTTGACCAGTCTCATAGAATCAGTTAACGGTTTCAACTTTTGATTTATTACCACGCAATTTGCTTAAAAAAGAAAGCTTATATCTACCGCATGCTAGATAAATGGAAACCAAATTAAGTGGCGCGGTTTTTCGATTTCAAAATAAACGATACAAAGAATTATAAGACAATTTATCTCTCGTTTTTACGATAGCTTTAAAATTGGCGCCAAAGTTAAATCAAATTCATTATTGGTAAAATTGACCTCGTCACGATCATGCGGTTTTGTAAACATCAAATTTCTCTATTCTCTAGTTTCTCTATAGCAAATTGGAACAATGGTAAGAGGCAAATATATAACGGACGTAATGTACAACTTAGCGTTCCACCACATCACCCAGAGTATGAAAATTTGTGTGTCTGCCATTATAATTTACTGCGCAATTTAATTTAATTTAATGATGCAAAATTGCGAGATTAATTCTAACGGACCCATATAAACAATTATATTGTTCATTCTAATTGGCGGCGCAAATATCTCTAACAAATACGTTTATTGTGCTTGTTTTCTATTTGTCATTCTTTTTATACGTTCCAATTGTTACTGACTAAAAAGTGCTCATCGGTAAATATTTCATCATTTTAATCACGAGGATGGCTATAGGCCACCTTTAAAATTACCCAAACCAAATTCCAATGCTGGAACACTTTTACTTCATTTAATCTAGTTGAAGTGATAAATATCCTGCCCATCCCGGACTCGTAAATCCGCCAAAATCCTACTTATTGACATTAACAGTATAAAATGTGAAACAAAAATCTACGACTTTTAAATAAATAATATAAATTGGGTTAATTTTCATTGTAAAAAAATAAACCTGACTCGACTTGGAAAAAAGAGTAGTGAATGCGATATCAGATGTAATTTGATACGCATTTATCCTCTGAATTCGACTTTATCTAACCGAAATAAGCAACTTACTTGAAACAGCTTCGTGATCCGTATATGTGAATCAAAACTGCTTCTATCGACATAATGAGCATCATATATTTCATCGTATGTATATTTGGTCAAGATTTTATTTTCATCAATCTGATAGAAAATTGCTTAATGTTGTTAGATCTTTATTTAGTACGACAAAATTTTCCCCAAAACTATATCTATTGCATAGTCAATAATTGGGAACCAAATTTAGTGTCACGGTTTTTCTATTTCAAAATAAACTCTAAACTGAATTTTGAGACGATATATCTCTCGTTTTAAAATTGGCGCCAACGTGAAATCAAGTTCAAAATTGGTTAAAGCGAAAAGTTATTTTTGTACGCTTTTACCAAAACATGGTAGTCGAATTGAACATTAGCTAAGCTTATCGCTATACGATAACAATCTAACTGTGTCTCAAGTTAATCCTAAACTTAGTAAATCGCGAGCGATAATCAAATAAAATCGGTCATGTTTTTTGTTGCGGTGACAAAATGACAACAAATTTTAACACGAGATACTGTGACGTCAAACTAGCGAGATCGGGTAGGTTGATAATGTAGTTGTTTCGGGGACTATAAAAAATTATGAATACCAGCAGAATGATGCTATAATATGTTTATTTTTGGAAAAAAGTTCACCACGTGTTTACAACTTTAACGCAATATTATCGTGGTAACCATCTCGAGATGCCTTAATTATCTCAAGATATATCATTATTTTAAAGAAATTAATTAAAAATTGTCATACTTGAATTAATCATATTCCGAAAAGATATTCTGATGACCATCCGCGGTGGGTAAAAATACGATGTATGATTTAGAATTTAGATATTAACGTATTACAACATTACAGCCTTATTAACTTTTTAATGAGTCACGTATTTTTCGTGTATACGAAAACGATCATAACACCTATGTATGCATTCAAATATTCACTATATAATAATAATAGGCATCGTCGTCACTTCCATATATAATACGTCCTGTGACTCTGACGAATATTTGCTTCCTGTTGCCTGTTAAAAGAATTTTACCTAGATTTAATAGAAATAACTTATAGGCTACAACTCTGCTTTCATTGTTTCCTTATTCGGAGCTTCACTATCTGAAAAGTAGTACATTGTGATTGAAATTATTGATTTCCTGTACAATATATACTCAACTTGAAACTGCATCAGTATTTGAATAAACACTGATATGATTAAATGTAAAAAGTATTAACTTTTTCCAAAATGACACATTTCCAATCAAAATTTCAAATTGATTAAGGATCATACGTACACGAAGTATTTAGGGTAAGCAAAAAATTGAATCTAAAATATATAACTTAATTTTTACAGCAAGTCAAAGTACTTCTAACATTTCACGATGGTAAAACTATCATCACATTACCAAACAAATCTTCCAGACTCAGCAGCAATAATACCAAAGCAAGCTATGAAACCACGAAAATACAAACTAGATTCTTAGAAATAGGTAAGTATGAGAAAATAATATAAAATGTACACTGTACGGTTATACATATCACTACTTGCTATTGCCAATCGGATTTAAAAAACAATTTGTCATAATTTATATGAAATCTGCAAATAAAAATATTCATCTGCTACTGCCTCTTTTTTCTAACTGAAATCACTTATTAGGCACATATGCCCGAGAAGAATAAATTTGCCTAAAAAATACGGAATGCTTTACTTTCCAGAACATGAAGTACCTTTAAGAGTTTCGTTTTAGTCAGGCTGTTTTGACATGAATTATAGACAATAATTGCTTATAGGAAACGTCAGTGCTAAGCCATATCCAAATGATATCGAATTTTGTGACGTAACAATAGCAGTTCAATACAATGAAGAATCTCCAAAATCTTTCATAAATTAAAAAAAATGAATAAGCAACTATAATATATCCTCTCTTATTATATATACTTTAATTTAATTTTGTGCATTGATTACTTTACAAGTGTGCCATTTCTACTAAGTCTATGAAACGATTTTCCTTGTATTCTTCAGGTCTCATTGAACATGGCGATTATTTTGGCGTTGGAGAAAACATGTCTGGTGCTTATGTAATTGCATCAGGAAGAGTTGAATGCCTTGTGATTCCAAGGCACGTTATTTTATCTCTGGAACGCCTGGGTAAATGAATTAAAATATCACCAATGTATTTGAATTGACCTCATTGTTTTACAAGCTGTTATATATTCTATATTTAAAGATACTACGAGTGAGAAAGTCATTAGAAAAGTAGGAGCAGTGAAAGAAATGCTCAAACACACTAAGTCAAGAATGCTGTCTGAAGAAGAAGCTTATGACAAATGGATGGTCAACTTAGGATGGAAAAATTACAAGAAAAAGGTGGGTGATAGTTCAAATCAAAATTGCATTTTTTCAATTTCGGATCTCCACTCGCTAGATACTTTACCGTTGAATAATTTAACTGGAAATATATGTATGCTTGTAATGTTGTGCATCAACATCAAATATATTGCAAAAAGTTTTCAAAATATAAAAGTCAGATGCAAATAGCAATCAATCGAACATGCAAACAAAATCAGTACTATGTTTTGATGGCTTTTAGAAGTTACTAAAATAATAAATGTACCTATAAATTTTCACAAATTTATTGAATAATTCTTTTGATGTCTATCACAGCCTTCTTCTGACGACAGAGACCACGACGCGAATGCAGAACATACTTGTTCTAACGTTCAATTTATCAATAGCTATCGCCCATACACGTAATCGGCTAACAATGTTATTTTTCTGTATTTATAGATTGCCTCTGAAATATTGTCTTTGCGTGGAATTGAGTATAAGCGACAAACAGGAAAGCCATCGGGACTTCCGAAATTGCAAGAAAGAAAGAAAATCGAACCAAACCTTCATCATAAGAGAAATATCGTCTTGAATACACAAAAAAAGAAAATGGCTTCAAGCCTTGACGAATTACGGTAGTTCAATACAGCACGAAGTTCACTTAAAGAATTCTTTGTTTTATGTGGTAGTTATTGTATATATTTATATATACGCCAGTGTTCCATCCCTTTTCTTATGTTTTGAATGTAATATTAATAAAAGTTAATATTTTGCTTTAAATGGTGTAGTTTGTGAATTTTGAAATATACGTCAATAAACTCTTTATTTTATACCTACCATGCAAATGAAGTCATCGTAATTGCTCATATCTCAAGTGATTTCGAAAAGTGTACTAAGATGTATTATAAATTTTAAACAAGCGTTTGTTTCGGGATTGGTCAAAACAAGGTCACAAGTCTTCATTGGAACAATTACTAATAACAAACTTACAAGCAGTCTAGAAATCGGGGTTACATGAGTATTATTCTCATGGAGTAACATTCCAAAAAAAAAAAATTAGTGCAACATGGCAAAAATTGAGTAACAAAACTCGTATTATGAGGAATTAGTTTATAAGCGAAAATTGAATGGAAATAAGTTGAAACTACGCTTGAATTTGGATTGCCCCAAAGCCCCTTCTGAGATAACGAAGATAAAATGTTATGTAATGCGCCTGGCATATATTCCATTAATTGAAACATTCTTTTTGAAATATAAAAATGGGTGTCGTAACTGTAAGATCCGTTTGTTTTTTGTTTGTAAGGACGTCGACTATGTTGGCGACTATTCTGCAAAATTTCAAGCGGGACTTTATTAATTTTACTATATGCCAAATCTAACAAGGCGCTATATTGAAGGTGTCATACCAATGTTCTAGTGACTGAACATTTTTTATCAATCCAAAGAGTTTCTAAGTATACGATAAACGCCCGCTTATGTAAATATATGTTTCGAAGAATGGATGAGGTTATGTTATCTCTCGTAAAATCGACAAATCTTTTTGACTAACAAGACAATCTCTCTCTTATGCTTCGATAATCGTTGAAAATACTAACAACGAAAGATTGCCTCAGGGTAATCTATCGCTTTGACGTCATAGCGGCTGCAACGTCATGACAAAAGATAATAAAATAACCAGAGAAATGCTATTTTTAGACGCGGCGGAATCTATTTTGAGCTTTCAGCCAAATTTAGATTGCGTTGAATCTAATTTTGTTCACCTCATATCACGTGTCGATCAACATCAATGTCATTTGCCATGTTTTTATTATGAAAATGCGATTATAAAATGTAAAAATGTTGTCTTCTCACGACCTGAGTAAGAAGTATATAAAAGTTCCACTCTTGTTGAAACGGGCTTTATTTGCGACAACCCCTTGCGATATTGGTATCTGTATTCTTTCTAAAGTTGAAGTACATATATGTGTATGCTTCTATATTTGAATCAAAGAGTAAACCTTCTCTGGATAGAATGTTATCAAGTTTGGAAGCATCGAGCAACAATATTTCGTCGATTCCCATGAACTATACTGGGTCCATGAGTGCACTACTTTTCGATGACTCGATGGAGAAAATGGACGTCGAAAAAACGTCCTCAGATGTAACGAGGTATCTAGAAGAATACATTGAGTCCAGTTTTAATTTTGCAGAAACGACCTCTTCCTTTTCAGCAAGCCCCTGTTCAGATCACACTTCTGTATCAAGAACGTCGTCAGATGAAGGTAGTTCAAATAAAATGACGCCAAGTTATACAGTATCAACATGTTCGGATGTTTTTTTGCCAACTGATTCTAAAGACTGTAATTTCCAGCTGAACAACATAATTAACACTAGTACAGATGAGTTCCCGTATGAGGACGTTCTCTCATTAGAAAATGCGCTCGAGGAAGCCGTTGGAGATTCGTTGGAAAATGTTGGTAGCGTGAAAATTGAATCGAACATGATTCAAAATTTATCGTCTCATACATCAATAAGCGGGCAAAATTTTACGATGCCACAACCACCTAACTCAAACCCGCCTATAAGTAATGCGTTTCCAAAAGTATCTCACCGAGTAGTAATCAGTCCGACTACAACATTAGTTCTGTCCGATGACGTTATGCGTAAGAAACATCGCCCTCTTTCAACTAACAGCAAATCGACCTCTAAAATGGTAACATCAACCAGCAATCAACTACATCCTTCCATGGTGCAAAACAGGCCAATTTCATCGAGTTCTGGAAAAATCTCACCCGTAGCAATCAATGTAGGAAGTAACGATCATGCAATAACTTCACTTCAGTCGATGACGGCAAGCAACCAGAGCCCTCAGTCTGTGGAAACTTCTGACCATTTGGTAAGATGAATACATATAAGATATTGTGATCTTCCACCAACCAGTGTTGATCTTAATTAGATAGAGTAGTGAGCGTCAATTTAGTTTAGATCTAAACACGTTCAGGCAACAATAACATCTATTCAAACATACCATATTGCAGTTAGCAGAACAAGACGATCAGCAGAATGACGAGAATGTTGAGTGGTCTACCCCAAGGAAAAGCATCCAAGCAATACAAAAGAATCCACTTCCACCTGAAGGTTATAAGATAACAAGATATCCATTGAAAAGTCAGACGGATAATAGAGAAGAAAACGTATGTTCAGCAATATTTCACCTTCGATATAATAAAGCTTGTATTATTGAAAAATCCATCCAAATATAATCAATGGTGATCTATTATTGTACTATTATGAGATAATTATTTTAAATCTTGACAAATTGCATTTGATTCGATTAGGTATATAAGGTTTGTGTTACCAAATAGTACTTGGAAGTATTAATATGATTATATTTATTTAGACCTGAGTACGAATTATATAACAGTTCTCCCCCTTTCGAAACCGGTTTTATTCGCGACACTACCTTGCTATACTGATATCTGTATAATTAATTACCAATGTTGAATTACATGCTTCTATATTTGATTCAAGAAGTCCCGAAAGAATGTTCTTAAGTTTGGAAGCATCGAGTAGCAATATTCTGTCGATTTCCCTCAACTATAATGGTTGTATGAATGCACTATACTTCTCGAAGTCTTGTCCAAACATTTGAAATTAATTACATCTGCAACATGCTATGGACATTTGTATGAAATAGTATTACATTTAGAAAATACAAGATGAAACGACTGATATCATAAATGAACTACGACATCAGCTTCAAAGGGCCAGGATGGAGGTTGATCATCGTCTGAAAGAAGTTGAAGAATGGAGATTATCTGCTCAACAAATATTTGATGCAGCAAGAAAAATTCGGGCTCAAATGGAATTAGAAAAGGTATTGGAAATTTGTCCCAGCCTTGGCATAACGAATTTTTGCATTTGGTAATTGGCCAAATATAAATTTCTATTTGGAAGCGTTGTTCAAAAAGATTGCTATTGTGAGATTTATATAAATTATCTGTCCACCATTGTAAAATTCACAAGCATTTTTCCCGGCACAAAAACTGATAATTTAGATATGAGGGACGAAAAAAAGCAAACAAATTTTTTCAGTATAATGACAAAAATATTCTTGCAATCATTTTAACGTTTTAAAAATATTTTCTAAATCAATTATGCAAGCATTTGTCCCATAACTCAACATTTTGCAAAGTGCATACAATAAATTGCATTTTATATATTTTAATGTTGCGCAAAAGTATTTACAAATAAAACAAATTAATTTCAAAGTATAAAACTTTGTGTGCTATTTAAATTTTCAAGATATCCGCCATTTTGTTTTTCCCAGTGAAGTCTATAAAAATAGCAACAATCTAAAAATAAAATCAAGTTTAAAATTAGATTAATCCGAAAGGTATCGCAAACTTGATGAACTCTATTGCTTCATCGTAAAAATGGTTGTGAAATACCGCGTGTCGTTAATCATCGAGCTCAGATGTAAAATACCCTGGAGCATATTTTCGTTCGTCGTCACAAAAACTAGAGAATTTGTCCACGATTAGTAATGTTTGAGCAAAACTTTCTGATGACGATTGTTTTTTATGAAAATGTTGACGAAATACAAACTCTTAGCTAAGTTCAAAATTTTAGCGACAAACACAAATTAAAAATGATATACGGTATATGAAACATTATGCGGATGGCGCAGTAAGAAATTCACGAATCTCACCCCGGCGTTTAAATCAATCAAAGCAGGAAAAAGTAATGTATTAATAAGGGGGTGAAATTGGATCAAGATTTCCATACAATGTCACGTTGTAAAAATGTCTAATCTACTTAAATTTACAATTTATGCAGTCTCGAGCTGATCGTGCAGAATCGAAGATTGCCCAACTCACTGCACACTTCAGATCAAAAGCTGCAGCAAAAGCGAGAGCAAAGTCCATCGGATCTGAGAAATCTGGAACATCCGGCAATGTAAATCAATCTTCAAAATCCCCAAATACTGCAGACGCGTCTGGATCAAAAACATCCGGGTCCCCAGATCCGATTATATTAAGTAAGTGTGTCATTGTCTGGACGTGAGAAAGTGAAAAATAATTAAAAGTGGTAATTCTTGTAAGTAACCACACTACCTTGGCCTAACGTTATCTTCTTCCTGGAAGTCGGAATTACTGTTGAGCACAAATCATTGCTTCGTGGTCAATTCACATAACTTATTCAAAACCTAAATGTCAATTGCTACTGGCTTAAAAGGTCCAACCAAACAGATTCTCCATCCATGCCTGTTTGTAGTAACATGGGGGCCTTGTATAGTTTAGTACCACATCCACTTCTAGTTGGCCTGGCTCAACAATTTTTGCATATGTCAATCCTTATCGGCGGCGCAGATGCCATTTCGGGCGATCGTAATTATACTTTGGCAATCCCTATGACGTGATGGTGACGTCGTAGTGACGTAATTTTTGGATTTTTGGCATAGTCAGGTGAGGGTTAGGAATACCATATACAAAAATCGTTATGCTACGCCCACTGGAAGTACTTGTGGTACTAAACTATACTAGACCCGTAACACCTTCATTTTCTTTACTTGCTAAAGAGCAATTTTTGATTTGTTCTTTGAATAACCAACATAATTGGAATAATGTGGTGGGCTCAAAACTGGAGCGTAATAATAGGGAACGATATAAATTGCATCAAATATATATATATATATATGAACTAAACAACATAACGTGACTTTTAGGTCGAAAAAGACGACGAACAGTTCCCGAACTCGATGATGTTACAAAATCACTAGCTTCTTGGTTGATGTCGCAACCATCAGACGCAAAAAAGAAACCGGCCACGTCTGCACATCCCAGATCAGTTTCAGAAAGCGTATTTGGCTTTCAAAAACCAAAAGATGAGTTAGTGTATTCACCACAAATCAACAGCGGTGTGAGACTAGCCTTGAGGGCAAAGGTGTGTTCTGCAAGAGCGGATACACTGAACACAGCTCAGGATCTTATAAAACAGACAAAACTGCTTTTGGTCGATCTCCCAACAATACCTGAAAGTTCTTCTAGCGCAAGTATCCCGGGATTATTTGAAAGCAGAATAACGATGAGAAATAGGTGGAGTAGTGTTGACAGCGTTCACTCGGCAACGACATGTTCGACAACGCCATCGAGCGGAAGCGCAAGAGTGCCAATGTCTCATTCTTTGTCAGAGTCATCACTACAAATTAAGAAATCATAATACAATAACGATAATGGAGTGATAAAATTATATTTTTCTTTATTTCATTTATATTGAATATTATAAATATTGTTTATTGGTACTATTATTATATTTAATTTTAACTTTCATTACCAATATAATGAAAATGTTTACAAAATGGTGATAACCAATTGAAAAGCATCTGTGGAATGCTTCATATGTCGATAAAAATTCATTTTTTTCTTAATGCAAAAAATAAATTATTTTTATTAAACTCAAATATGTTTATTCCAATAGTGTTCTGCGTAATGTAGTATAATATCTTTAGCTCATCGCCTATTGTTCCAGTGGTTACAGTCAAATTTACCCTCAAATCCACATACTTAATCTTATTTATCTAGACGTTTTCCTGTTTATTACATCTCTATGGTATGTATTCTAACATGTATACGATACCACACTACTAATTGTTGTGGCCACAGATTCTATTTTTCTGTTCTGGTATGTGGTTGCCAATAAATTTCACTTTCATTGTTTTTGTTTGTTAGATCACATGTACTGCATGTCACGTTTTTCTGGTTAGAACTTCAGCAAGTTCTGTCATTACATTAAAGCCAATCGCCCAAATATAGATGCCATACATCATGGAATTTCTTTATCCACCGTCAAAGTGGATCAAATTCTCTATTTTGTGCCATGATACAATTCAAAATAAATTGAATGATCTAATTTTTATGTCCCTACTATTGTGTTTTACCCCCTCCATTTGAAATAATGTGCATACCGCAGAGATCTGTGTTTAAAACGTCCTTAAAGATGATGAGATAAAGGTGAGCGGTCCATAATAAAAATAAAAGTATAATAAGAGAGCAATGCTCAAACGTATGGACACAAAAGCCAAAACAAAGTAGTATGGAATCTTTTACAGTGCCGGTAGTCCTCCTCATGAGAAAACTCCAGACTTCGTTCGACAACCAGATCGCTGAAATACGATTTCGGAACCGCCACACAGTGCGCAATTTTTAATTTTGATGACGTCACAAAAGTAAAACAAATCCCATAGTACCCACAGAAGTTTTTGAAATACATAAAAAAGAAACAATCTTCTAGCGACAAAAACAATTTTTAATAAACGACTGAAAATTTCGAAGAAATTAGTCCAGTGGTTAAAGGGAAGATTGCGATTTTTTCACAACAACAACAGGAATGCCAACAACAACATTGTGATAACAAACACATTAACACAACACAGGAATTTCATAATACCATGATCACAAGAGAGTTTTTCAAGACTGTTAGCGTCCTACTTATTTCAAATAGGCGCCACTGTTTAGCTTTTAGGCAACGCGAAACAAAAATTTCGAAATACATTTTTACTCAACCCTGTGCGATTGTCGCTGATCGTTTATCAATGTAATTTTATTGTAATTTAATTTATCAATGCAATTGATTTTCCGTTAAAATAGCATCAAAACCCTTTTCTGTAATTCACATTGATTTTCTGATCAGCGTTGTTTTATTGTAATTCATCTTGAAGAGTTGACATGCTAACGAGCAAAGCAAATACCAGCCATCCGTTTTCAGCCGAAGTATAAATTTTTTACAATAAAATTTTTTTCAAATTGTCCGACATCGGAAATACGAAATAATAATTTCATTGTATAATTTGAGACGTTCGGTAAATCTTAAAATGCTGGTAGTTTTTGGGGTTATCACCTCACAAACAAAAAACTATTCGTTGATATTATTCCTGACATGATGAATCGCTCAGGGAACGTGCTGTGATAAATCACATCAGAGCTTTAAATATTTGCAAAAGCTAAATATTTAATGCGTTCGATGTGTTAGCTACAAAAATAACAGCAGAAAATTAAATTTTCTTTCGTCCTTGCATAGTCGAAATTGAATTTATTTAATTTTCGGTCCCCTAACGCAATTTAGGCATGGCTTTTAAACGATTAAATTATTGCATATTTTCCAAGTAAAATATGCATTGTAGTATGTAGTAACTTGAATTATACTGTAAAATAATCATCAATCAGAAACGTTCACTAAAATTCAATACAACTAAAAAGCCGAACATCATTTGATGTAAACTCGATGAAAGATCCGATCAATGTTGTGTTCCATATATGTTATTTCTTATACGGCCCGTAACACAAGTTCAAGCTGAGTATCTGCCGATTCGAAAAATCAAATCAAATATGTGAACCTTTTGATAGACGTTTCGCAGCCGATTAACAAACAGAACTTAAACATATTCATACTGATACCATAAATAGACATTCAAAGCGATATTTCTATAAGACTAAAATATAGTACTTTTTGATAAATCCGGCTCCGGCCCGCGGAGCAATAGAATCTGGCCCGCGACGCTTCGCTGAATTATAGTAACAAAGCAGCTGTTTTGACGATTATATTCTTTACGAAACCGAATTTATTGTGAGACACGTGTAGACTTAATTATATTATAACCTAACAAGTATAATATTCACAATCACTCGTTTAATGAGCCTATAATGTAATAATTATGATCAGACAAATGGCAACAATACGAGGAAAAGATGATGCTATGTACAAATGGTTTAACGGCGCAGAAAATATTCAAATGGTTAATCTTCGCGCGCTGAGAAATAGGTGCCACCCGTTCGGTTTTTAACTTTCTAAAAATATGTGCGGCCCGCCAATGACTGCAACCTTACAGTTTGACCCGCGAGTGACGAAAGGTTGCCGACCCCTGCTGTAGAGTAATCTGGTGTCGAGGGTTTCATTTTGTGACGATCAATAGACCATGTTGTAGAACATTTTTGAGAATTGGAAATAATATTATCCGTTAATCAAGGTTTACATTTTACGCCAGAGATCTTCGGTTTATCGCAATATCACAAAATAAACATTCAATTAACAGCGTATTGCTGGCATATACTGTACATATTAAATTGGTCATTATTACTGCAATAGCTTAGGTGTTTCAAGAATATAACAGCCCGGAAGTTTCTATACATTCGAGTATCTTTTGTTTATTTCTGGTCCAAGCCTCGTTTTAACTAAGTTCGTGTTTTTTGTAGTTTATTTTTGTGTGTGTGCTGGAGCGGGCATATGATATTTCACATGTTTTAAACTTTTTTAAAGGTTTTGCTCGCCCTCCAGAATTCTCCATTTTGAATTTGAGTATCCGAATAAACTATCTATCTATCTTAGTATACAGTTACATTTGAATTTCATTGCATTTGACAACAATTTTTACATCCTATTATACCGTCGCTAAATATGTTTGTCAGAATGATCAATAACTTCATCTCCCGTTGGGAGCAGTTATAATTCATTCCCAGTTTTGCTACGGACTAAAATCGAGTTAGTGGACCGAACTGTCAAAACACGTTCAGAAGTTGGATTTAAATTTGATGACGCAATTCAAGACTGAGAAATAACCTTATCAGCGTAATGAGAACATGAATAATTAAATTGAGCAATTGATATCAATCAATCAATGAATGTTTGCTGAATTTGAATTGAACGAAAGTATAGAATCAGATAGATCACGTGTTTTGATGTTTTTCGAGCTAAATAGTGAATATTTTTACTGTTATTGCAACCTAATGCGAAAAAATCAGCTTGCCGTTTAATCTCTGTTATGTAGTTGTTTTTGTATGATAATTCGGGTTTGCACCGTTACGCTATATGATAACTTCAGTATATTTGTTCATAACTGGCAAGGTGTCAGATATCCTAGGGTGCTGACAAACGACGACCTTTTTCTGAAACAAGAAACTTATCGTTAAGTGACTACTAGTACACAGTCTTGCTTGGGACAAAAGAGCTATTACTTCATAAAAGCTTCGGTATATAACCAGTGCCGCAGTTAAACAAAATGCTACCGGATTGCAACCAAAATGGGGTTTCCTGAGTATAGCCAAAATCAATAGAACCACATCTGTGCCCCTTTTTAGTCTCTGGCGATTGTCACATAAAATTTCTTTGTTTCCGGTCACTTATTTTGAAACATTGATATAGGTCGCAAATTTTTGCAAACACTCCATTTGGAACATTACAAAGTCTGAGTGAAAACAAGTCGAAAGACTAAAACGTCTTGAATTTGAAAACTTCTAATTTTTAACAAAGCGAATCTGAAATGAAGACAATGCAAAATCGCCTAATAACAATCAATTCACATGCCTTTGTGGTTTGAAAATTGGCCTTGCAATTTTATTGTACGTTGTTACAGTCGGCATGTAATCCAGTTAGGATAAGGTGTATAATTTGCTTTTAATACAGACGAAATCACATCCACACCATGCGAACAAATGTATGTCTTTCAGCTTTTCGAGATTTCAGCGGGGTTGAAATATACCGCCACCCCAATTGACTATGAATTTGTCCAGCCGGAAGTTGAAGATTCATACTCGCTCGGAGGTTAGCTGTATTGTTTGAAATATGACAAAAAATTACCACATATATACATTACCTTATACAATGCAAATAAAATAAATTTAACGTAGTTGGAATGATTGAGTTGTTCCAACTCTGAATTATTTGAAAAAATTGATAACCATATTAGCAGCACCGACCATGCTGGAAGGGATTAGTTGATTTGTATCGGCGATATGTCACGGTCCTATCGCTGTTGTGACGCATCTTGCGCGGTCTTCTGATTGATTTTTGAAGGAGAATATACGCAAACTCAACATTTTTTTAAGCTCAAGCGGATCCAATTTATTATATAAGTGCTTCCAGTGGGGGTAATAACATCAGCCGAGGAGAAGCCTCCGTACTACGCACTTAGAAAAAAATTCGTAGATATATCATATATACATGATTGTCTGGGTTGCAGTATTGCGATATGTTTTCTAATTTTTTATTGAAAAGGGAGTCATTGAAGGTTTTGTATAGAAAGCGTATGCTCTAATTAATTCCCGTACAATAAAAAGTGAGATTGTGTTCGCCAAGAGATTAGATTTGTATTTTAGTCACAGTTTTAAAGAATGTACTAGGGAGCGATCTCAAAATTAGTGAGTGCCTATTATTTTCATTCCGCACCTGCATATTTGAATATATATTACAACTTTTTCCAGTACGGCTGGACGGCTTTAATTATTGTTTTTTTTTTTCTTGATGTAAATACATTTATTCATAAGGGGGTTTGAAAATAGGAACTTTGATTAGAATGCATTTCATTCATATATGTTATTACACGCATTAAGCAGATTTTACTTTTGGGAATATAATCCTGAAACCGACATATTGAAATCGACTTTTAATGAAATGAGGAAATGTTAATCGCTATTAAATACTGAGGTAGAGAACAAAGCCACGGGCGCTGTCATTAAATATATATATATATGGTTGCAATTTCTGGACTTCCATATTGGAATATTGCTCTTTCAATACGAAGCGACGTTCAAGTTCTTGTCAAACGTAAGTTAAAGGTATTCGGGAAAGCGCAAATCAGTTTTTCTTAAAAGTGCTTGCTATCGTGCTGAACATTTGCTTTGCTAATACCAGCAGGGTTTTTAAACTTGGAAGTGGAACTGACACCAGTTTTCACTAGGCAAGACAGAGTAGTTTTGCATTTTCGGTTACAAATAAATATTTATTTGGCCGTTTTTAATCTTTTTTTTCGGTCATCGCGATTTAGTTGGAAATACTGAATCCTAAAGTTGCTATTGCATGTGCTTCCATACATCTGTCTCTGACAGTGCACAAGACATTATAATGTCACAAAACATGGTAGTATCGAAATCATTCGCCGGATGCAAAAGTACGAGATAAATTGATCCGGTTTTTTTAATTAGCAATTCGGACATTTATATAATTATATCTAAAATTAACTTGAACCGATCGCATGCATTTTTGTAGATATAAATAAATAAGCTTTCGCAGGTCGCATGCTGATGTGCAAGCTTGGTGTATGCAATTTTTATTATTAACTTATGCTTATTCCAATATGTTATCGGAAATCGTTGATTACAAAAGCAGGGAGTAAAGCACGCATTCATTCTAACACCAGTTTCATAAAATATTTTGTTTGATCGATTCTTAACATATCTCGATTGTGTGCTATAATTTTATAACATACGATAATGCAGCCGTAATTTGTAGTTGAGGTGAGTATATTTTAGTATAAAAGAGCGCTGTATTTAAAGTCATTATATATATTCTGTCGCAGCTGCGTATAATGCGTCTTTAGTTGTAGTAAATCGCCGTGTATTTGCGAATTATTCATACACCTGTTAAACATTATGTAAATATATTGCGAACGCATAAGCTGGCACATAACACGGGTTGTAACATAATTACCCGACAACAGTGATTGGAAGACAATATGATTTGGTGGTATATTCGACATTGCTGAAGCTGATTTTGGACAAACGTTTTAATTAAAACCTTTCTGGTAAAAACGGTTTGGAGATTTACATTCGTTTTACACATACACTTACTTGTTATTTTCAGATTTTTAATAGATCAGTATTGTACAGTTCATGAAAAACAGAAATATGACAAAAACACTGTTATTGTTTTTGGTTTTGTTTGGACTGGAATATTTCGTTGATTCGAAAAGTATTGTGAGTGATGACGAAGCAGCTGCAGAGAGCGACATCGAAAAAAGGCAGCATTGGTCTTATGGGTTTGCGCCAGGCGGTAAAAGAAGCTTTCCCCAAATCGCTGAACGTCAACACTGGTCATATGGATTTGCTCCGGGTGGTAGACGGGAAGAAATACCCACAGACGTAGAAAAGAGGCAACATTGGTCGTATGGATTTGCACCAGGAGGAAAAAGAGAATTCAAGGACATGCCTAATATGCCTGAACTTAGTGAATTTGAAAAAAGACAACACTGGTCTTACGGTTTTGCTCCTGGTGGAAAGAGAGAATTTAACGATCAGAAAAGAACAGCTTGGCCCGTAGATATCCCGTTAAATGCTGAAGAAAAACGAAGTGTCTGGAATTATGGATGGGCTCCAAACGCAGAAAGAGAAATTGACCCAGGATATTTTATTCGACAATTGCTAATCGCGGTAAGTTTAGACTCGAAAATCCTACAAAAAAATTAGAAAGAAATTTAGAAGTCTAGCCGAGATTTTCGACTGGTCTATTTTAAATCTACTCGGGCAAAAACAGATAGTCCTTCACCTTACCATGGTCATCTTAATCCTTTCCTACGCGTTAATTCTCCGAATCGAAATTTAGTATCAGACACAATCCATATTGTAAAGATAAATTTGCAAAGTTTTGAAAAATCATTTCTCAACTACTACTGCAATGATGTTTATTACTTCCATTAGAGAGAGGGAAAGATTTTTTTTATTTCGTCAACCAAAATAAATTAACAGTCATCGTAATAATAGAAATAATAACAATAAATTAATTTGGTATTAACAGGAGGGAGTGATACGACCGGGCGGTCATCAAAGCTTTCCCCCCCCCCTCTCCTTTTCACGCTACTATGTTTAAGATTCACAATTATTCATACTTATAATTATATTACAAATAACGCGGAATCGACGGCAAAACATTGACCTTTGCTATTCAATGACATGTGAAGCAATAGATCATTAGTCTTATCGAGAAATTTGCGCGGTTCAAAAATTTTACATACGGGGGCGAAAAGTTTTACCCTGTGACAAGAACATGTTGCGATATGGCAAGTACAGAATCGGCATATAACGCATCGTTTGAAATCAAGAACGGTAAATTGTTTATTATATTATCAAAAGAAGATAGTAGTTACAAAAGTTGCGTCAAACTTCTTTTCACTAAAACTCAGAGTACAACAGCTTTTGATAAAATGGTAAATCAGTAAATTATCCAAAGTTCTGTCATGAACTCCTTTGGGACTTTGCTTCGCGTTTGTCCTCATTTAGTGCGCATGGACGAATTATATGTCATACCGTTAAGTATTAATTGAGATTACGGACCGATATGAAAAACTTGAAATATATTCTCAAACAACTCGGTTATTTGACCGGAAAAGAATCCTATACGTTGATATCGCCTAGGGATAGGCAATAGGATAATACATTGATAGAATACATAATATATGAGATTCGGGGACATTTTGATATTTTTGTATATATTCCCTTGTGTAACAAAGTTAGTTTAACGGGTATAAAAAGTATACTAAGGGCGAAATATTATATACGCGGTATATTAAATACCATGTTACATGAAAATTATGGTCAAGTACCAGACATGATATCGCTCCCATTTCAACTTTCCGCTTCGGAGTACTCCGACAATAAATGCTTTGCAAATCACCTCATCCGTATTTACGATTAATCAATACCTGAACTTGATCCCTATGTTTAATGAGCGTAAGTATTGATTAAAAACTCGGTCATTTATTATTAAAATGAACATTTTGTAAAATGATTTCGGTGATTCAAAAGACGTATTTGTATTAGTTCCACTTACATTTTACCAGAGGTTCAATGTAATATAGGTATTTTAATTTGATATCAACTAAACTTTCTTTTGTACAAAAAAACGACATTTTAATGCCATTTTGGTCATATGCAGCTAATTAGATAATGTTGCGATCATCAATTTATATCATTCATTTACATGCGGGTGCACTGTAGTTCATTTAGTATTCATATTGACAATTCTCTATAGGCATTCTGGCTTGAATTTAGCAGATGCTAGAAATGTATTGGGCAAACTCAACTACGGCTCGCCGTGGCATTTCGTGCGACCCCGTAAACCTAGAAAAAGTTGCGACAATTCTTTACAAGAACCAATTTGCGTCAGTTCATGATTTTACTTTGTTATCTAATATATTTCTTGAAAAATTCTTTAATTTGGGATATTTTACATGTTATATTTTAACTGAATGTAACTATATAATATGATCTTTTGAAGAAATGAGTTTTTTTTTTTCAATATTGTTGCCCTTTGCAAAACAAAAAAGATTTTCTGAATGCGGCCTTTGCAAAATAACTTTCACCACCCCTGGATTAGAATATATATATAAAATTGTTGAATTTAATAGCCATAGACCACAGAATCATCACATGCAATAATAAAATCTCTAACCTTATTTGAATTTAGAAATCCATGATGGAATAAGAAGAACAAGGAAACAAAGAAAAATTGAAGAATAATGTAAACGCTGAATTAAACTCGTATAAAAAGTAACCAAGATGAAGTCATTTATGGCGTAGTTGTGTATGGCCGAGGACATTTGTGATGCGACCTGAACAGCAATATATAACGTCTGATTTTTTGTGTTTAAAATTGTACTATTTTTCAATAACCACTCGATTGCAGTTTTTGTTTGTTATTTATAATGTAAGTTGGGACGCCGAGTTACTGACTTCTCACTGCAACAGAGCCTCGTTGTATCGTCTTCAGAAAAACCTCTCCTGTTAGTTAACGGTTGCATTTAAGATTCTAATACTTGTACTCCCACCATCATGTCAGGCTATCAGACAATAAAAGATAGTACGACCCCAAAATGAAAAATGGTGATATATATGTTCCGTATAAAAGAGCTACATTTCATAAATCATTATTCATGTTGTCCCAACGATCCGAGCATTTTTTATATGTCCTGAATAATCTGAGTACATAACCTTGCAACCCGATATACAATAGTGAGGTTGGGATTATAAACTAGGGAGGATAGAAACAGAATGACACATAGAGAAAATTATTAACGCAATTGAATTTAACAAGAGTTTGACATAGTTTAGTGATTAATCGGCATAAAAGTAGTTTTCGTTTTGAAGTCGATTGAAAGCGTATGAAATCAAATATATACAGCAAATAAATCTAAACTAAAAGTTTTCTCGAGATCAAGCGGTTTGTGAGCAGGTGCAATAACCAGCGTATGGGTAAATAAAAAAAATGTAGGTTAGTGTTCTCCACCCAATCTTTTTTCTTGTGTGGCCTATAATCAGTTTGGGTAAAAGCGGTATGGCCCAGCGGCATCCTGTTAGAATTGGCTACACCCGTTGGTTCTCGAACTTTCATAATCAGTGGCCCGATTCCGAAGACTCTCAACACTTGCGGTCCCTGCTCCTCTATGAAAACACCTAGTTTCAATTTTAACGCGTTTCCATTAGTAATTTTATGCTCCACAATAAATAGCAAACAAACAAAAGCAAATAAAGAAGTGAATTACAGTAAAAAAAAATAACAAAAACGCAGTCAATTTACTTCAAATTAATGTGGTTATGGCGAATGGTACGTCGCGCAGGTCTGTTCGTGAACCCACAGAACCGTCTCGTGCCCCAATTCGGAGGGCCGATGGCCCAGTTTAAAAAACCCTGAGCTTTCCATTGTCCCTCTCTTCTCAACCACCAAGAATTTATCTAAATCTCAATTTAGAGTATACTTCATCAAATTTGCTTTTTGACATTTTCTAGCAGTCACAAATGAAGCTTTCCGCGCGAATTGTTGCCTAATTGCCTAATACTTCTGTACAGCTGCTGTGAAACTGATTTCTGCCCAGCAGTACTGTTGTACATGAAGACAACAATCAGAAACATCATTGTTGTGGAACAATGCTAATGAATAATGCTTGCTAAGTGTGCGTGCTGTGCGGTGCTAAGTGTGCGGTCAGGAAAGATAATTGTTGATACAAATAGTAGTCATTTTCACGGGTCGTTATTTTGATTTTTTCCAAACGCAGTTAAAGATATCTTGCTGATTAGACCACGGTACGAAAATGTAAGTACGTAAAAGTAAAGTATGTAAAAGTAAATCGAAGCTGGGAGAAACGTTGAAATTGCCCACTTGGAAACGACTACATGGCCCAAGGATACATTGGTGTTGATGGTGGATTGTCAGTCGGCAAAACTTAGCGTGGCAACTAGTGCTCGTCAATTTGTGCCCAGGGATGGTTGCTTATGAATACAGGTGCCGGTGGTAGCAGCTCAAAAAGGTTCCATTACATTTGAACCCACGTACATTTGAACCCATGACAATTGCACCTGTATGCTATTGCACCTATGGATTTTTTTTGTTTCACGGATAGTTAAACCCAGACTAACCCTCAGTGGCGGCGCGTCCATATGGCCAACCGGGGCAATGCCCCGGTTGTTTTTTCGGTATAATAAAACATATTCGAAAAATACCTCAATATCGGTTGCACAGACTGTCTACACTAGCCATATTCTCCCGACATGGTTCATTTTTCGCTCGCAAAGCCTTCGCCGAACGTCGACGGGGCGACGCCGATTTTGCCCCGGTTGCTCGTTGTATATCGTATTCTCTCTTTTATCTTCCACTCGCCGCGTTTGTCTCGTTTGTTTTCTGTTTTTTTTACTAAATCACCGGGGCCGATCGGTGCTAGCCCCGAAATTATGACGACACACAGCCGACGTTTCTTACAACAACGTGTTGACATATTCACGCATTCCTTCTCGTTCGTTGGTTGCTTGAAGAGTTGATAGTTTCCTCGCCTTCGTTTTTGTCCTTATCTTTGCATTACCTTTCCTTTCTTCATAGTAACGTTTTAACCCTTATTTTAGGTTTTGTCTGCTTTCTCGAAGTTTCTGTTAATATGTCATTGTATTTATCTGGGTAAATATTGCCTTTCCTTTTGAAAGAGGTTTCAAAATAAACTATGTCTATATTTATTTATCCCTTGACTTGGACCGGTTTTAAAGACACTTTCTTATCGTTAAAAATTGTCGCTTTTGCCGATTGGTTGTTACCGATAGAATAGTTTTTATACTCATAAAATGATGGGAGAACTTACAGCGCTCATCCTGTCCCCGTAGATGGGGGTGACTTGGTCCCGCAGTAGCTTGCCCCGGTTGTCAAAATGACCACGCGCCGCCACTGCTAACCCTAACCCATGGGTTTTAGCACCCGAATATAGATTAAACCCGTGGATATACGCATGGGTTCAAATGTACGGTCACCGCTCAAAAAGTATGCCAAATTGAAGGAAAGTTATTCTATTTATTTTTGCGAATGTTAGAAGGTAAGATCGGTTAGAGCTGTGATCATTGACAATGGAAGACTTATGTTGTAAAAGTATATCACATTTTTTCAGATGTTCACGATTTGAATACCGATAATTACAGCAGAACCCCTCCATGCTCGAGCCCATACAACAGTCATCATACTTGCTGTATAATTGTGCATGAATCATTTGGTTGAAATACAAGCCACCTTGCTTAAGAAGACTTGTATCTAAATGATGGGAACTTTTCATTCCTATTTAGAGGAAGTTACGGACAGAAGTTTTATTTGATTGAAATAGCAAGCACATCACTAACGAACACCACAAGCGGAAGATCTGTATCTGATTTCTGTGAACCTCTCAGTCCCAATTATAAAAAATCACAATCGGCAGTTTGTGGTCAAATATAGACTTTTGCTATGCTATCCTTGATCTAAGTATACCCAAGCAAAGATAGAGGACATTGCTTCACTCAATTATAGATTACGCCAATGCCCAGTGATTCTTTTTCTAAGGTGCAAGTAACAAAATCACTGCACTATCTCAATATCTTATAACTGTAGGAAATGTTTGCATGCATTTTATGGAACCTTTAGGTCCTTTAAGTTAGTCACGCTTTATGATTTTACATTGTCCATCTTTACTGTGACGTAATAAGTAACTTCTTTCCCCGCGCTTTACGGCCTTCCAGAATTTTCCTTGCCACGAGGTAGACGCTCAATGCGCTTTGCGTATTAGGAAGGATTCTGTGCGATTAAAATATTTTATTAATGATAGGTTTTCCTGATTTTTGTGTGGTTAGCCTTATGGTATACGTTAGTTACATAATGGTTATCAGGTGGATATTTTGATACTTATAATATTTTTTAATTTCTTCATATATTAGCTCTCCTCTTATACCAGTACGGGTACCGGTAACCATTGAAATTTCTACTAAGATCGCTTACTTTTTATTACCGTAACGATCTGGCCTACACTGGCTAACGTCAATCAACCCGAACGAAAATAGGTGCAAGGAGTCGGAATCCGAGAGTATCTGCTACATTAATAGTTGATTCAAAAATCGTTCAGAGTGGAGAGCGATAGCTTATTGCCCTTAACCTACGTTCGCTATTATTTTCAATGACCAGGCCGTTTTATCTTTTCCTCTTTATTATGTACATTATATAGATGTAATAGTTTGTTTGTATTCCTCATTAGACCTTATCAATTTTTCGTAAGTGTCTCCTAAATTGCATTTGCTGTAAATATTTTTGATTTACTGTTTGCCTTATATTGCTTTTAGTTGCATATTCCGCCAAACTTACCTTCCTATATTTTTTCTGTGCTTTTATCTTGCTTTCCTCGCGTTTTTATTAGTTGTTAGTAATTATTCCGTGAAAGTTACATTTTCTGTTTTACTGTGTCATAATCGCATACATTTCGAATGTCGCTGTAATTGTATCAGTTGTGACTTATTCCTAGGATTTATTCATTTTATCCCTCATTTAATTATATTTATTCTAACCTGTAGCGCTGTAGGTGTCGCTGCTTGAAGACCTTCTTAGGTCCCTCGCGACTCCGGTCACGCAAAAACATGATTAGTACTGTAATTTATTCATTATGTCACTTTATGTTTGAACGTGTTTTTTTGTGATGACAAAATAAACGATTGATTGATTGATTGATTAGCCGAATAGCCTTTGAAGGGTTGCTGTAATTATTTGCATCGTTATATCTTTACGGTTATATTGATCATTGTATTAATTTGTATTCTAGCCCACTAATGGCTGTTCTTTGAGTCCTTGTCGAAAACAGTCAATTTATCACTAACACCGACACTACACTAATACTGTAATAGACTGTTATCACTGACGTCAACATTAGACGTGTTTAAACAAGATAATAAAGTTTCTTTCAACACAAGTCTACGGGATTGTTTGTGCACAGGTTGCAGTGTGTGTTGGTCAGTTGGTGCATAGATTGAAGACATTATTTGGGGACCCAAGGGACAGGACGCGTCTCAAGTTACCCTGGATATTGGAGTCGCCGTGGGACACATTAGGTACCGTACCCTACGCGTACTTATCCCACAATAACAATTCAGCATTCTACACCCTTGGGAATAGTAATTGTTCTTGTTATGGGTGCCATTCCCAGCTAAGAATACTCAATGGATTTTCAACTTGTGTGTGAAATATAATTTGTTAAAAATATGCATAAATACAATAACACAATAGTAGTAGTTTTTCCTCTGTTGCCGTTATTCTCAGTTCCCGAAGCTTGATTTTTCTGCTTAGTGAACCAGTAGTCTGGTAGTGTTATTACTTGTGAACAATAATGAAAACTCCTCGAGTCTTACCTTATAACAGGGGTCGGCAACCTTTTGTCGTTTACGGGCCAAAATAAAGGTTGCAAGACATTGGCGGGCCGCACATATTTCTAAAAAGTTGAAAACCGAACGAATGATACTTTTTATAATAAAAATTAAGCAATGATACATCTCTCGAATAGCATAAAGATTTATTTCCTCATTCGAACCATTTGCATTTGACAGTAACTTTTCTGCGTTTTGTTGCCATTTGTCGAATTAAAATTAAATTATGGGCTCAATAAACGAGTACTTGTGAATTTTATACTTGTTAGATTATAATATAATCTACACTTGTCTTATAATAAACTCTGTTACGTACAGAATATAATCTTCAAAACACCTGTTTTGTTACTATAATTCAGTGAGTCGTCGCGGGCCGGATTATAGTACCGGCCCGCGGTCCGTAGGTTGCCGACCCCTGCCTTATAACTTAATAAACGAATACTCTTCTTGTATCATCCTTTATGAGCTACCTGTATCAATAGTATCCAAGTTATTGATCTCATGACGTCCCGTTCAGGTATTCACATATGACTGTATGGATGCCTACGGTACATCGTACACGTTATTTATGAATCCAGCAACGAAACACCATTACATTGCGTTTTATTCACAAGAAACATTGCAAGTCAGGCCTAGACGCGTTAACGTTCAGAGCAAGAAATCGCAGACGTGTCAAAGGTCATGAATGTCCCTAAGTAAGTTAATGTGTATGGGATTAGCTAGCCAGTTATTTGTTCCAAATGCATCGAATAGAACAGAGGTTTCTCAACTTTTTTCCTGTTAAGTACCCCCGGGTCATGAAAATAATCAACCCGAACCCCCAATAATCAGACACAAAACAAAGTTGTAGTATACAGTATTGAGTAACAATTTTGAATCTGTGATTTAAAGCAGTGGTTCCCAACCGCTGCTCCGCGGACCGGCATCGAACGCTTTTTTTCGGTCCGCGAGAAATTTTGTTGGTTTTCAGCCGCCTCAATCGCTTTTGCTTTACCGAACCCCGAATGACGACGTTGCGTTTGTTTATTACGCAATTTCTCTTTCGCCGACATAATGCTGTTTGCGACTTTGCGGTATTAATGACCCGACGACGCCGTGGCGCCAAGTAATCACACTTTTCGGTTCCGATTAAGCGCTAAATCGTCGGTCAAATCTCGCGAGATTCAGAAACCCGAAGATCGGCATCAGTGTTTTTCTGTTCTGCATGCTTTTTCTTCTTAATATGAACTATTTCTTTGTTTAAACCAGAAAATAGTCATGGACGGTATATTATTCCGGTACTTCGCCTTGACATTCAGTAAAATATAATCTTGTTGCAACCCTGCAGGTCACGAGACGCACAACAGAAGCATGAGCCGCAGAGATCTTTTCCAAGTGATGCACAGCAGGATGGTGAACCTAGTGCCAAGTTACCGACGACTTTGTCATATTAACGCAAATTCATTTTGTTTGATGCGTCGATTTACTGCAGAAGGATTAATATGAGATCAGTTGACCAACGAAGCATTTTGGTATTTTTTAACAGGAATTTACGATCGTTCCCAGATAGCACAACTACGTTGGAGGAGAATAGGTCTTCTTCGGGACCAAGTTTGATCGACTCGTTTCAATTTTTGGCCGGCGCATTTTTTGTTTTTGGACACGAAGTGGACATAACGATCGTTTCAATATTATGTTGTTGTTGTTCTTGTTGTTGTTCTTGTTCTTTGACACGTTTTTAAAAAGTCGCTTTTCTCTTCGAATACTGGACCAATTGCTTTGAAATTTTCAGTGGTTGAAGATAAAATTTTTCTCTAGAAGGCTATTACTTTTATTTATTTTAAAATTTCCTGTGGAATTCGAGAGATTCGTTTTTTGTGTTCAAAGAAGTGATCAGAATAAAAAATAGTGACACCTTGTGGCGATTGTGCGAAGGCATATCAACTGAGAAGCGATCGTAATTCTTGCTCCGCTAAGAGTTGTTTATGGGGAATCGAGATGTTTGGGGTTACCGGTACCCGCAATGCAACAATGCAACGGTTTGCGATAACTTCTTAGCTAGTTGACTATTACTACAGCTTCGCTTGGTGACCATATATTTGTTGACTGCGGTATTTACTGTTATCAATTGGTATTTCAAATTATTTCTCAATAAACTCTAAAGGTTTTTGGGGTTAAGTTAATCTACCGGTACAGGTACTGTTATTGCTCGGTGTTCAATCAATCAATCAATGTTCACTTTCCATATATTTCAGTATTTGTAGACTGTGGTTCCCGTGTTAAGCGAAAGTGATACCGGTACCGGTACGATAGCTGGGAAAGCTATGACAGCCCCTGTGGCCTGTACGGCACGTACCGGTACCGTTTACAGGTTTACGTACCGTCTTACCGATACCGGTACCGTAGTCCGTTACGGTACCGTACGTACCGGTACAGCTGTACAGGTACGATATCGGTAGACTAGTACAGTATTACTGTACTAGTTGCATTAATTTGTTTAGAGTGTGTGCCTGCATTGAAATTAAGTTTTTGTAATGAGCCAGCATGTCTGCACAGCTGCTATGCCTTTCTAATTTTTCGCTGTTTCAGACTTTACAAAAAGGATAAGATTTACATAATTATCCCGATGGAGAGGAAGGCCTATAGAACGGCTTAACCATATTGCAAACCACAGCCTCTTGTCTGGTTACCGGTAAGGTACCATTCCAAGTCTGGTATGGCTGTATGGGATTAGTTAGTTATTTGTTTTCGGAAGCATGGATTTGATTAGTTTAAGTGGCCAGCATATCACTCATCTTTTTGCTTTTTTGTTACAGTTCTGCTGTAAACAACATAAATATGCCAAGAAAGAAGCATTATAACCTTTCCAATAGTGTTCAACATGTTCTGAAATATGGTGGCCGAGGTCTTACCAATACAAAGAATATTTGCTGGGTTAACAGTGTGTTACAAATATTGGTTCGGCTTCCACTTCATGTACAACATGATTTTCGCTTGTGCTCAATAACACAAGAATGTAATTTCTGCAAGCTGATATCTCTAAGACGCAGAATGCTATATTCACCAGCTAAAGCAACAAGACGTATTTCAGCATATGAATTTTCTCTGTTTGTTCACGATTTCCATGCTAGGCCATTTGAAATGTTTGATGCTGCTGAATTTCTGAGCATGATTTTATCTAAGATTACAGATGACCAAATTAGGTACCATAATGAAGTTGCTAATACCCTCCGTTCTATGTGCCTTTTCTCAGCATCCATTTTTGAACGGTGTTGCTGTGGTGAATATTCTCGTATCCTCAGTGCAATGACATTTAACATTTTCAATTTCAATCAGGGAGAAAATTTCCAAGACATTTTAAATCATCAAGAAGAAATATGTCACAAATGCAATTCTCTCAAATGTGTTAATTATTCATATAGAACATTGCCTTCTGTTTTATTTATTGCAATTTGCAGAGTTGATCATGAGCATAAAAAAATGTTAATACGCTGCGGTATTTTTCTAATCTCGAATTAGAAGGAAACAAATATAAACTTCTTGGTGTTGTATCTCACGAAGGATCGACTATTCAGTCTGGTCATTATGTTTCATACTGTTTATCTGGAAATGAGTTCTTCAAATACTGTGATTCGGTTGTAACCTGGTCTGGCACAGAAAATGTAGAATGTCGGTCAGATGCATGTACACTGTGTTTTGTGAAAACTGATGTGCTATTGGATCCATTGATTTATGATACACCTCCAACATCACAAATTCATGATTACTTGGTATCAAACACATACTCCCTTTCAGACTGTTCATTTGCTGCTTCGCAACAGTGCCTTTCTGGAGAGTATGCCGAAAATGTGGCAAGCAACTCAAATCAAGGGAAATATTTCAAGATGTTTGATGCTCCTGAGAAGTCACTGACAGACGTTTCCTCAGACCATTCCTTTGACTCTTCTCTGCTACCTGTTGATGAGAATAGTGGATGTGCGACAAACAATTCAGACAACAATATAACGACTGTAGAAATTTTATTTCAAACATGTGACACTATGAAAAGACATCGACGTCAACACAATATTCAAAAAGCTGGAACAATTAAAACAAAAAAGGCATTGTATTATCAGAAAAATGCTGGAACTATTAGAAAAAAGCAAGCAATCTATGATGCTAATAATGCTGGGACCATTAGAAAAAAACGAACGTTGTATAATGTGGTCAATGCTGGTGCCATTAGAAAAAAGCAAGCAATCTATGATGCTAATAATGCTAGGACCATTAAAAAAAAACAAGCATTGTATAATGTGGTCAATGCTGGTGCCATTAGAAAAAAGCAAGCGTTGTATAATATGATCAATGCTGGGACTATTAGAAAAAAACAAGCAATCTATGATGCTAATAATGCTAGAACCATTAAAAAAAAACAAGCATTGTATAATGTGGTCAATGCTGGTGCCATTAGAAAAAAGCAAGCATTGTATAATGTGGTCAATGCTGGTGCCATTAGAAAAAAGCAAGCAATCTATGATGCTAATAATGCTGGGACCATTAGAAAAAAACAAGCCTTGTATAATATGATCAATGCTGGGACTATTAGAAAAAAACAAGCATTGTACAATGACATTAATGTTGCTACAATCAGACAAAAACAAACGAAATATAATCACAGGAATGCTCTCAAAATTAGGAAAAAAAGAATAGAATATTATCGTCAAAAGAAATGGCCACAGAAACAGATGTTTTACAATTTTGCCAAGCTTGATAACCTATGTTTCATCCAGGAGAAGTATCGCTATGTGAACGCAAGAAATCTCAACCTACATAGACAAACACTTCGTTCATTACCTTACACAAACTTGGAATTTAGGAGAAGGGTATTGTACACCCACAAACATTTAAAACTAATTCATCTCAAACAAAGAAAGTTTACTTCTGACTTCAATTCTGGACAAAAACAGTATCAACTTGCTAAAGTCGTTAATAAATCCTATTTGGCAGCTTTTCAGCATGCCCGTCAAGCATTGCTACAAGGACCAGTATACGTTTGTGTTTGTTGTGCACGGCTACTTTTCAAAAAGGCTGTAAAACAAGTTAATATGGTCCGCTTCAAGAACCTTGAAAAAGTGGACCAATGTCTTTCCAGCATGGAATCCTTTGATGGAGTTGAATGGATATGTTCATATTGTGTAACATATTTAAACAAGGGCAAAATGCCGCCAATGGCTATTGCTAATTCATTGTCTCTAGATGCCATACCTGACGAGTTATCTTGTTTGTCAACAATTGATGAGCATTTGCTGAAATTGCAAATTCCTTTTGCAAAAATAGGAAACCTTGTGATGGGACAAAAAAGGATTAAAGGTCCTGTAATTAATGTGCCTTCAAAGGTTCAAAAAACAGTGTCGGTACTTCCCAGATGTGTCAATGACAATCATTTTCACCCGATTCAGTTGAAAAGAAGGTTAAAATACACGGGATATTATAAGTTCCGCATGTCCAATATATACAATGTTTTAAAGGGTCTTACATGGCTCAAAGTACACAATGATCTCTATAGAAAAATTGAGCTTAATGGTAACATTAACGTTCATGAAATAGACCCTTTTGCACACAATGATAATATTGATTCTCCTGGTTCTGAAATTGGAGAAATGAATGAAAATTATATTCGGGGTTCCAATCCTGTTCCAATTGGAAATAGATTGCTAAACAATTCTGCTTCAGCCAGCCGTGTACAATTAGTTATTGAAGACCCAGTGGATGTATGCAAATCAGAATCACCAGTTACATCAGGTGATGAAATGGAGGTGCAAGGTGGGTGTGTCTTAGACAGTTGCATGCAACCTGTGAATGGGCCTTTGGCTGCTGCGGACACAGTCATCCACAGAATGGCGGATTCTTTACACAGCACTATTATAATTGCACCTGCCGAGGCGAATGCGCCTACAAATTTTTTTGATCCCATATAAGTAAGACACAAGAAGAAGAGAGCTTTCCGAAGTTTTTTCCTTTCGGGTGTGGAGGTTATCACTCAGCAAGAGAGATGCCATGCTCTTTCACGAACTATATAAATTGCAGATTAAGAAATGTGGATGGAAGGTTTCGGGATTTGACCTACCTTTTTTGGTGCCAATATGTGAAAGAAATTCTTCAGATTCGTGGGGTACAATCTGTTTATTTGCGGCAGATGCTCACCAGAGGTGTTTATACAAAACAGCATATTCATGAAAAAGGTGGTTTGGAAAACCTTATTAATTCCGATGCTGCATTCAATGCATACAAAACTATCAGAGGTACTCCTGCATATTGGCAGAACAAGAAAAAGGATGTTTTTGCAATGGTCAGACAATTAGGGAAACCTCATATATTTTTCACTCTTAGTGCAGCCGAAACAAGGTGGTCAGAGCTTTGGCAAATATTACATCGTGCAAAGTTCAAAAAAGATCTGTCTGAAGAATCTGCCCTCGGTTTATCATATACGGAAAAAATGAAACTCATACAAGATGACCCAGTTACCACAGCTTTGTATTTTCATCATCGTGTTACAGAGGTCCTCAAGTTTGTCAAATCGCCATGTAAACCATTGCTTTGCGCAGTTAAAGACCATTTTTATCGAGTTGAATTTCAGGCAAGAGGCTCGCCACATGTCCATGGCTTAATATGGTTAGACATCGGCAATAACGATAATGATACCATTGTCCAATACACAGAGAAGATTATCAGTTGCTCTATTCCTGATGCACAAAATGATCCTGAACTATACAAGCTCGTCACTGCACTACAAGTACATCATCACACATCTACCTGTTTGAAAGGCAATAATGCCGGTACTTGTAGATTTTTCTATCCAAGATTACCTTTGCCACAAACAATGCTTTTATCAGGCATACCCGATTCCACCTCCGATGCAGATATCAGAAAATTCAGAAGAATTAGGAATAAACTCCAGGAAAAGCTGTGTGACCTACTACAAAATTCTAATGATACTGAAGTTTCATTTACAGATTTTTTAAAATTATGTGACGTTGACGAAGAAACGTATATAAATGCCATAAAAACATCTATTAAAGGCGAAGCAGCAATTTTTTTAGGTAGAAAGACATCAGAGGCTTTTGTTAATAATTATAATCCGAATATTCTCAGGCTACATCAAGCTAACATGGATATTCAATTTATTGTTGATGAGTATGCTTGTGCTAATTACGTATTATCTTATATAAATAAGAATGAAAGTGGTATGTCAAAACTACTGAACGAACTAAATGAAGAAGCCAAAACTTCCGGAAGCACAATGAAGGAGCGTTTGCGATCTTTAGGCAATTGTTGGACACATCACAGAGAGGTGTCAGCACAAGAAGCTGCGTATCGCGCTCTGAGCATCCCTTTGGCAGCTTCATCAAGGATAACTAAATTCATTCCCACGTCTCCGATGCAGAAAAGGTATGCTTGTTTAAAGCAAAACTGGTCTGAACTTCCTGAAACTGAAAATGTATTGAAAAATGGTGTCATTGAATACTACATATGTCGGCCAATTGAATTGGAAAATACCTCGCTTGCAGAATTTGTTGCCAATTATGATATTATGCCTGGTACAATATCTGGTGACATCACAGAAACAGAAGAAGGGGAAAATTTTAACCACAATTCAAACAATCGTGCTAAACAACGTTCAAATATTTTGCAGATGAAAGAAAACATGGGATGCCTCAGAAAACGTAGGAAGGAAGCAGTTTTGAAGTACTTTCGCCATTACAAGACTGCTGCTGAAGAATCCTTTGCACTTTGTATCCTTTTTGTTCTTTGGCGAAATGAGTCTGTTGATTTGGGCAATACCAACATGCTTTGTGACAAGAGAAAAACGACCATTTTGCAGCAGTTGCGTCATTTCGAAGAAAATGCTTCGTTCGAACATCTCGTGAATAACATTTTGAATGAACTACCGGAGGATCAACTTGAGGAACATTTTGAATATGAAGAGACAACAGATGAGAAAGATATCAACAATCACATATCAACTCGACTGATGTCTGCACCTCGAATTCTTCATGCAAAGGAAGACATTTTGATTTCTTTGCGTAAATTAAATATTTTACAAAGAGAGTTTTTCGATGATGTTCTTGCACATTTAAAAATTCCGGAAAATGAGAGAAAATCGAAGTATGTTTTTCTTTCTGGTGGCGCAGGGACAGGAAAATCATTCGCTCTTCAAGTGCTTACACAGGCTATCGATTATACTCTTATGCAGAGGGCAAATGTGGATCCGGAAGAAATCAGGTGGCTTGTGGTTGCACCTACTGGTTGTGCAGCTTTTAATGTTAACGGCTCAACTATACATTCAGCCTTTGGCATCCCAATGTTAGGAAGTACCAGGTCATATTGCAAACTTTCAAATGATAAATTGAACAGCTATATGCGAAAATATTTCTATTTACAAGTCTTGTTCATCGACGAAATTAGCATGGTTGGTGCTACATTGTTCTCATGGATTGACCAGCGACTGCGAGAAATAAAAAAAAGTAATATTCCGTTTGGGAACGTTTCAGTTATAGTTATAGGTGACTTATTTCAACTTCCACCTGTAATGGATTCATGGATTTTCTGTACTCCAACTATTCATGGAGAAGCAGGTTGCTTGTCCACTAGTATATGGTCGAAATTTTCCCTGATCGAATTGACGGATATATTAAGGCAAAAAAATGATCTTGAATTTTGCCAGATTTGCAACAGAGTGAGAGAAGGAAAGCAAACTCAAAATGACATTGACTTCTTTAACAAGAAACTTCACACAGTATGTCAGCAGGAAGATACTATTTGTACACTGCTTTTTAAAGAAAATGCATTTGTCGATCAGTATAATGCCCAAAAATTAGCATCACTTGATAGTGAAGTTGTAGAGTTTTTTCAGTTGATGTTTCAGCAGATACTATGGAGAAGTGTGACATACCTTCTTCCTTGCCTCTTTCTAGAACAGCAGGTCTTTCCAGATGTCTTCAACTAAAGGTTGGTTGTCCAGTTATGGTCACATGCAATGTTGATACCAAATGTGGTCTTACAAACGGAGTACGGGGAGTCGTGCAACATTTAGAAAATACTAACAGTATGGTCGTGTGGGTAAAATTTGATGATCCAGCTGTCGGAAATACTATTCGAAATAAAACCCGTTTGCAGAGACCAGACAACTTCTCTGTGCCTATTGTGCATTTGAAATGCAATTTTTTATACAAGAAAAAAACTGTAAGTCGTCGACAAATACCATTACGTTTGTGTTTTGCTTTGACAGTTCATAAAGCGCAGGGGCAGACACTTGATGGGGCAATCATATCGATGGATGGTAAGAGACGCACAGTTGAAAATGGTCTTTTTTATGTTGCGATAACCAGAATAAGATCAAGCAATCATTTGCACTTAAAGAATTTCAACGAAAGTTACATCAGAATCAGTGCACAAGTGTCACAAGAAATGAAAAGACTTCGGAGCAAACTATATGATTATTGTGAAACACCATTACGAATAAAGACACACAAAAAAGAAATTTCAATTTCATACTTGAATATCTCATCTCTTAGAAAACACATTAATGATTTGAAATCTGACTTCAATTTATTAGATTCAACAGTTCTATGCATTGCAGAAACCTGGCTTAGGCCATCGGATTCTGGTCCAAATTACTACTTGGAAAATTTCAACATTTTAGAAAGACTTGATGGACTTATTCAGACAAATGGAAAAGGATTGCTTCTTTATTCAAAAAGTAATATCAGATATTCAATATACAACTCTGGAAATGACGAAATTCAGTGGATCATGGCCAATATAGATGATCTAATTTGCTGTTTCGTATATTTCCCACCAGGAACTGCTTTGTATATGATGTCTGATTTGTTCTTATCATGGTTTAATTCTCAAACAGTACCGGATTTAATCATTGGTGATTTCAACAAGTCAACTGCAGAAATGGAAGTGTTATCATCAAAATACTCCTTGCTGTGTTTGACAGAAAGCAAGACTACTAGAGGTTCAAGGGATATCGATCACATTTTCTGGAGGAAATCTGATCACATGTCAGTATCTGCACAAGTTTACAATGTGTTCTACTCTGATCATGATGCAGTTTCAGTGCGTGTGGAAAAAAGGGAAAACTCAATGCCCCTTTGCAATGTGGAACTACCAACAGGTAAGGATAATATGATTTGTGATACAGAAGTATTTTAAATGTGTTTTTTTCATATTGTTGAGGAAAATAAAATGACACTGTTGCAATGAGAAATATACTTTTGTCATCTCCCACATAAAACCCAACCTTTATATGTGACAATCTCATCTAATAAATGTAAAGTATTATTTCGCAGTGAGAAATTTTTTTTTTATTTTTTTTTTATCAAAATCCAACTATACCCCAGTTTGTCTTATGTATTGTGTACATTTTTTATGATGCTGTAATCTGTTTAGTTTTATCAAATATAATTTATTATTATTCACTTCATTTTAAAATCAATACATTGTTATTTGCAGATGTGATAATTTGATAGCTGCTGAGCGTGAAACCATTCCTACAATTGTGAGCTGATGTGAAGAACCCCACCACCAAACATATAAGCTTGAAATTCTTATTAGAGTTAGCTCGTCAAGTGCAATATTTTTCATGTTATATGTGTGAGAGCTATTATTGACATATTCTAATAAGTGGGAGTGGAGAATGTACTAGCATTGTCAATGTCTGATATTTTTCATGGTTTGAATACAATGTCTTCAGTCTCATATTAAACTTTGAGTTATAACACCAATGGTTCTTACCAATGAACAACTTCATAAAACATGCTGTTTTCGTGAGTCCTGTTTTGAATGATTGAGTTCATTTAAATTTATAGTGTAACATCAAAAACTGGCTGATGTAAGTATCGCTGGATTTATTTCAAAGATACTTAGGACAGATGAATTTTTCTGTGGGTAATCTGATCATATGTCAGCATCTGCACAAGTTTATAATGTCCTCCACTATTTTAATGAGTCAATGACGTAGGTATGTGCCAAATCATATCAAGTTTATTTACATGTTTACTCTTACTGCATTTGCAGTCAAATTAACTTATTCCATTTTTTTGTACGCTTGCACAGCTGCAATGTTTATGCTCATCTTTTAGCCTTTTTTCATTACAGTTCTGCGGTAAACAACATCAATATGCTAATAAAGAAGCATTACAATCTTTCCAATAGTGTTCAACATGTTATGAAATATGGTGGTCGCGGTTTCATCAATGCAAAAAATATTTGCCGGTTTAACAGCGTGATGCAATTATTGCAAATAGTTTTCGTGTCCATATATTTGAGCATTGCTCTCTTGTTATTCATGCGAATTGTTTTCAAGTGTTTCCTTTTTATCTAGAAGCATAAGTTGTCCACAGTCGTTTGTCGCAATAAATAGTCGTGCTGTCCAAACTTATCGAATTAGAATTAGGCCTACTGTGTTTCCGTTTTGACAGCTGAATTTTTTTAGTCTACTTGGTAGAATAATTTTTACCTCTCAATCTTATTCATTCAATCTCCAACGACCAAGCATCATGTCAATACAGGATACCAGGGCAACACCGCAGCACGTCTTCAAACGTGAGTATATATATATTTCGTGAACCTCACATATCATGAGTGGTTCCTATTCAATGAATATTGTTTTGCGAATGTCTACCCAAACGCAGTACGACACACAAAAACTGAGGCGCAGTTCTTACCACTTCATGGCAGTTCTTGCCACGAACGAACCGCGGCAGCTCTTGCCATGGTTTTATAGCGCTCTTCAGTAAGCAGTATTAACGGTATATTCACAAATTAATGTACCAGATTTTAATTGATCTATAGCAACTAACCCCCAAATGTACCCCATTTCATGTTAAAAATATGAAATCAAAGCATCCTTCTGTAATTCTACTTTACAACTTTTACCCTATCTATAAACTCTTCTTTACTTCAATGTCTTGTGTCATTATAGATCTTTTCCTTTTAATTATTTTTTGACCTATATCATTAATTTCAGCATTGTGTATTGTATTTTTCGATATATTTCCACTTTATTAGAGGGTGCCAAATCTTTAAACTTCCAGTTAGTAACATGGGGAGATAATATAGCAACTAACCCCCAAATGTACCCCATTTCATGTTAAAAATATGAAAACAAAGTTAATTTTTCCCAAAATTCGAACAAAGACTTTCGTAGTAATCAAATTACACCAGTTTTAAGAACATAACATGTTCCACCCAGTCATTATAAAATTAAAATTTATATTCTCAAGACCTTTGGCACTGATTGAAATAATTATCTCTAAGTTCCCATCCGTACGATCTACAGATCATGTGGAATTATATCTACTTAAACCATAACCCCAAATCCATCAAAACTGTACCCATAAGAAAAACGTTCCAACTTACCATATATTTGTCACCATAAGGGACAGCCCTATCTTTACGGCTCACCTGCCGCGGTTACGGCAGCAAAATTTTACCTGCCATTGGTTTTCAATTTGCTGCCGCGGTAACGGCAGCTCGACATTGGTTTGTAGCAGCTAAAAAGTCAGTCGCCATAGGTTTGGCCGTAGCGGCCATGGTATGGAAATACCGCCATGGTTTTGCGGCAGCTGCAGACGCCACAGAATACTTAAAACTGCACTTGCAAAAACTAGCCACCTTCCATTTCCGGTTACCATGGTTATCCCGCCAGTCGTGCCTGGAATCGTTTTCTCTCGTTACCACGAGCGATACTGGAAACACCAAGTCGCTTAAATTTAGTTAATAGTCGGCTTCTGTTAGTAAATATTGTTCGGCTTTTTTTTTATCTTAGTATATATGATTCAATGTTAAACTCCCTCACAGGTGATTCTCTGCTAAATAATAATTACTTGTTTATTGCGTCTCCCTTCAACCTGAAATACACTTTTATTTTACATCACTGTTTGTACACTTTCTATTTTCGGTAAGTGGAAAAAATAAACTACTGAATGACTGAATAAATTGTCTAACTCAAAAGACTTGTTCAATTTTATATAATTTAGATTATCAGCATTTATCTTATTGACCCTGGATCCACATTCCAACAAAATTAATCTATATTTTCCCCATTGGCGGACAAATCGATCTATTTTTATGGGATATCATTGATGACTGAGTTTTTCAGAAGATTGAGACAGACTTTAAATCACTCGACTCATGAAATATACTAGTTAGCGTTTTTCATTTCACTGAAATTACAGTGGAAAATAGAAAATATGTAAAAATGAAAAGTAACAAAAAGAAAGAATAGAATAAAAAGCACGTCTAATTCCGTACTTATTTGGCTTGCGATAGTCAAATACCCATCTAAAGTCAAGTTGTAGGAGACGTCATTCTTGAACTTTTGTGACTGATTGTTGGTCAAACAATTTTGCAGAAAAACTCAATTTAAAACTAAGTTGACACAAAGGCGTTATCAAACTTAATGCATAAAGGCAGAAATGAAAGACATATTCTTAACTTATGACTGGAACTCATTCGTTGAACGCATTATAAATTGCCGACCATGGCATAAAAAAATCAGACGCTCGAAGCACGAATATGGCATGACCAGACCACCCTTGTTCATCGAGTATATGAAATTAAATCTAACTAATCTTGTGTTAAGATGAAATCAAATTATCAATGTCGGATATTATTTTCTGTGTTTCTTCAAGTGAAACTTCGCCATTAAAAGATTTCGATTTTGCTTCTGGATTGTGAAAGCTACTATTTTTGACATCGCGAAGTAAAGCTGTTTCTTCTGCTCTAGAGTCAGACACGTCTTCAGTCATGCTACTATTCAGAAAGCGGGTGTGGATAACATGATCTCGAAGTGAATTCCTGCGCACTGGGGCTTGAGAAAATCGCTTGACTTTTTCCATAACGCTACCGGTCGAAGCATCTCCATTATTTTCACATACAGATAGGGGTCGAGCAGGCGCAACTCGGTACATTTCGGGCATTTCGCAAGGTACACAGGAACTGCTTGAAATGGATGATGACGAACCGTTGTTGGAATGATGGGATCTAGGTAAATTGTTAGAGGGCGGAAGGTAAGGGCGTGATAAGACGGGTCTTGTTTGTGATTGAGTCGTAGGGATGTCATTTGTAGTTTGTTGTTGTGAACGATACATATCGCGCCAGTCACCTTCTTCCGGAAAGTAATGATTCTGTGAGTTCTGACTTTGATAATATGAGGGAGAATACATTTGTTGTTTCGAGTATTGTGCTGTTGGATAAGACTGTCCATATGTTGGATATTCATGTTGATTGTAAGATTCGCAAGAATACATGGATGATTGATCCCCTGTGTCCAAAACTATACGAAGTGGCTGAGTTTCACTAATGGTCTCTAAACCACAATTGTCGAAATTACCAGCCCCGTATCTTCCAGGCAACGAATTTGTAGTTGGAACGAATTGCTGTTGATCTGCATAATTGTGATTTGAGAGTGCAGTATTATCGCTAGTTTCGCTTCCGGCATCACTGTATATGAAACTGTCATGTTCCCCATGGATATCTGTGAAGAAAAGGGAAATTTAGGATCAAATACCTCATAAGATAAGTTTATTGGTTAGTTGTGATATATCAATCGGGGGTAATTATTATTATTTTAATCGGTCATTAGGATAAGAACATTTATTTAGAAATAACTGAGCCCAATCTTTGTTTATTGATAAAATATGTAAATAAACTATACGCGTGTATAACCTAATTCATATACGACAATATTTTTCAAATACACTGGGCTGAAATACATCTGGCTTAACTACTTAAGAGTAATGTGAAGTGACGTGGTACTATATCATATTATGCATGTTTTTTTTCTAAATACCAACTGCCGTTACTTACCACAATGTGCTACAACAGGCATCCAACATTCATCTGAATGACCATATTTTCTACACGAGATGGTACATCTTGGTCCCAATTCATTCAGATACCCACTGCAGTATTGTAAGTTACTTTCAGATGGAGTTTGTGTTCCTTGAATATCTGGAAGTGAATCAGTTTGTATCAGAATAGACGAAGATGGATGAGACACGTATGACTTGAAGTATGTAAATGAAATGATGGATATTCATTTTATAATTGCTTACCCTTTTCTCCACCGTAACTATCGCTGTCTTTATCACTTTCCCCCTTTCCGCTGTCTCTATCGGTGTGTGTTGTTGTAACAGGTTGGAGTTGATTTACGCCGTTCTAAAGCAAATAATAGAATTATGACAGCAATGTTGGATGCCTACGAATAAGAATAATTGAAAAAAAAATGTGAATACTCGTAAAGAAAATAAATCATTTGTCTCTTTGTAGATTTACGTATCGCATCGGAGCTCTTCAATATTTAGTTCTTTTTTTTGATTACCTATAAAATTATTACCTTTTTAGAATATGAAAATGTACTGAATGTTGGTCCTCCTCTTTCAGTTGTTGCATATTTTGTATCCGTGGAAGTATTTTTCTCCAATTTTCCATTTGCGAGTGTCATAGATCTGCATAAAAACACAATATTTTCATACGCTATAGACAACGGGCAATTCAGTTACCGTATATCAGAAAAAAGGTCTACGAATATTCGGTTGTTAAAGCAACGTCTCGAACTCAAAGTGAAAGAATTGTATGATTTTTTGACATGTACCTGCTTCGGTTGATTTCCATTGCTCGGCCGAAGTGAATGTCTTTTGTTGTGGTTACTCCTGGGGTTGACACTACCACTACCTCATCAACACTGCCAATTTGTGACATGCTACTTTTGCTTGCACAGTTAACAGCGCGTCCGGACTTTGTTTCAGCAGCACGGCAGTTATAAGTACGAATTTCCTGAATAGAATAACATTGTATTTTCACTATAAATATGTTTTTTTTATTTTCAAGCCTATGCCTAAATTACGAGATATGAAATGATTTTTATGTAAGTTAACCGATACATATATTCATTATTCTTATAGCTTTTAAAATAAATAGACCATAATTATATTCCCAATTTTAATCGTCTGGATGGTGAAAACTATAGCATTTTGCGTTACCTTATTTTCTTTTCTGCATTTGATGACAATACAAGCCAAAACAAGAAGAAGTATGACGGTGGCTGATGCCAAAGTCGCAAGAACGATTACGGTAATTTTACTCGACTCTCTCGCTTCGTCTGAATCAGCATAGTTAGGTATGATAGATGCAAGAGGAACATCAGTAACTTTTATAATCAATCGTGTCTGCGCTTCTTGTGGAGGATTTCCCTTGTCTCGTGCCTGCAATTTTTAACATATTAGTATTATTACCAAATTATGAAAATTCTACATGTCAAAATGTAATGAAACATGAAATAGGCAACAATGTGCCTATAGCCTAAGATCTCAGCTAATTTTCAGGAGTGTATGGGTTTTATAGAACAGAAATTAGCCTTGAACTGTAATTATAGTTTTAGAGTCAACTGACCTTAATTACAAGAGTATGTTCTCCCAGGAGTTCTGTAAGCTTATTGCTTGAATTCAACCTTAAACTCCCTGTCACAGGATCGATCAAAAATTTAAATGGCGGTTTGGCGCCATCTTCTAATGCAATAGAATACCAAACTTTGGCGTTATTCCCTGCGTCGCGGTCGATAGTCTGAAACAAATAAGGGTCAATCATTATAAGTTCCTCAAAGGTGAAGTTAAAATATTATATGTGTATAAGTTGCAAATATACAAACGTTGAAACGTATTGATATATAATTGAAAATTATTTCAAATTTTTGTCATATGACAAACATCTGCACCTAAGGCAATTTAATACCTTGATTCTTATGATAGGGTGATCCTCCAAAATTGTTGCATATGCTGTCATGTTTTCAACTCCTGGGTTTGTAAATTCAGGTTTATGGTCGTTGACATCAGTCACTTTCACAAGGAGAGTAAGGTTGGTCTTGTGTGGCGGTTCGCCCATGTCTTGAGCGGTCACAATGAGCTGTTAGTATAATATAATAACGATTAGTTATATAGTATTGTCGATATATGATTAGTGATACATATATGGTCCGATTTATGTTCTACTTTGAAGTAGGCTCACAAATAGGGCAATGTAAAAGAGGGTTCGTGTATAACGTATTCAACCAACTAATGCAGAACAGTATTCAGTATTTACCCTCCAAAGTCTCTTCATTTCGTAGTCAAGCCTTCCAACTAAGGTCAGTTTCCCAGATTTTGAGTCGATGGCAAAAACTGCTCCGCCTCCAGTAAGAGAATAGCGAACTTGGCCGTTTCTGGAATCGGCGAACTTTCCATCCTGAAAAATAATTATAATTCTTAGAATTCAAAGTATTGATCGTGCTGTTGGCACTTGAAGATTTACGGTAACCTTTTACTTTAGATGCTATAAATAGCGGTTATGGCGCATATTATCATACCACATACACATGAAAAACACATTGGCCAAATTAAAATTAATAGAAACCGTGCAGTACAAACCTTGGTTTTTATCAGAGCTGGTGTATTTAATGAGTCTTCGTCGTACGCAGTCACTGTGGTGATATAACTTCCAATTTGAGTATTTTCAGAGAGGGTGAAGGATTTCTGACTTGATCTGAACTGCGGCTTGTGATCGTTTGCATCCAATATAACAACTGACACGTTTTTCTCTGAGCATCTGTAGAAGATTGTCAAATTTATCCAATATTTTTTAATATGTTGAAACTTCAGGTTACATAATATATATATATAATTAGGTAACTTTAGATGACTTGAAAACTTACTTTTTTGGATTTCCGTTGTCACAAGCTGTAATTTTGATGGTGTATCGATCTTGTGTCTCTCTATCCATCCTCGCATTCGTTGCGATTAAGTTGCCCGACTTCAGAATAAAGTTGTCGCTAACAAAAGATCCTGGTGGTTTTCGAGATATTTGGCGGGAACCAGCGGCTTGTAATCCGGCTAAGCCAGAATGGGTAGATCGGTCAATTTCTGTTGTTAACTTCAAGGTTACTCGTCCGCTTTCTCCACTGTCAGCGTCGGTTGCACTAACATGTGCTACATATGTCCCAAGTTGTGCGTCTTCTGGTACATAAGCTGTTTATAAATTATATTTAGGAGATTAATTCAACAAGTTCACTATTACACGTTAGATGAAAGTAAGAAGTGTATATCAGACTCTAATGCTAAAACACGGTGATTGATTGATTTCATATTTTAAAACTTGGATTTTATCTGACGTGGGGGTTATATATTTTTACATAATCAAATCTACCTGCTTTGTCTTCTCCTTTTAAAATGATGTTAACGTGAATTCTTGGTGGATTATCATTAACATCCACTATTTGAATCATCAAAACAGTTTTTCCAGTTTTGCTTCCTCCGTCTTCTTTTGTCGCCTGATCTCTTGCACCAATCACAATTCGAAGACTGTTGATTGTAAATAGCATTATTGTTGGGTAAACGAATAAACTAGGAATCGGAATTAAGATTATAAAGATTAATAACATACTTTTTTCTAACTTCTCTGTCTAATGGTTGAAGCAATTTTACTGCTCCTGTTTCTGGTTCCACTGTGATGAGATTTTGTACAGTAACAGAATTTCCTGCTTTAGGGATGAAGTAGCGAACTTTTCCAAAGCGACCAGAATCAGCATCGCGAGCAACGACTGTGGTTATAACGTGACCAGCTGGAAGGTTCTCCCTAAGCTCCAAGTTATAGACCTAAAATGAAAAAAAATTGATTCGATGTTAGAATGATAATTGTCAAATATGTTTTATTTCGCATATACGAGCATGCAAGAGCAACTGAGATATTTGTGTGACTGGTATATTACCGATTTGTATGAAAACTACTTGATTTACTCACCCTACTGGTTGAGCTGGTTGGTACGGAATTTAAATGTAATACTTTTACATACGTATATTTCACAACACAATTTCTCACCGATTCGTCAAACTTCGGGTAATTATCATTTGCATCAAGTACGTTGATTCGAAGAAAAACTTGACTCGATCTTGGAGCAGGAGATCCCCTATCTTTTGCTGTCAAAGTCAAGTCGAAGGTGGTCGTGTCTTCATAATCTACAAAGGTTATTAATTTGAGCGTCTTATTATAAAGAACACGAGTCAATCGGCATACCAGAAAGGTTTTTTCAAAGCAAGAATTCTATTCCCTAAAGTTACTTTTGTTTGACACATGATTGAGCGTTTTGAGGACGTCTTATTTACGCATCACATTCGATCAAAACAAAATTTGTGCTATAGGGGACATGAACTTCTCATCGTCAAATTCACGCTCATGAAAGTCGCCATATAACCATTTTCATATTTGGGACTTTCAATTATGCATGAGGTAAATGGCAGACTCCATGCGAATAATATGACGAAGGTTGATTCAACTAACGGTAATAGACACAAATGACAAATTAAGTGAGCTAAGCCGATTTTCTCTGACTAACACAACCAGCTAATCTCAACTATCAAAAGAATGCCATACACCCGTGAAGACCTATGCTATCTGTGATCTATTTTCTCTGAAACGTCTTCTACAGTACGTTTATGCACATTGGCGCTTTTGAATTTAATTAAGTTATTTGTCCATACCTAGACTCGATACGATGACCAGTTCCAAGTGAGCTGCTCCAGTATCGTCCTTGTATTGATTCAGTCCAAAATGATCGTTTCGTGATATAGAATAATGTATCATCGCATTTTCATCTAAATAAAAAAGCAAAATATTATATTTCTGTACTGACATAGTAATAATGCATAATATTTGGAACAAATAATACTTATATCTTCGTCGCTCGCCAAATATTGATCCAAGCTGATTTTAGTTAGTTCAGGTGTATCTTCGCTTATGTTGAGAGAGAAAATGCGATCGCCCCCAGTTTTTGGAAATTTAGGGGCGTGGTCATTGACGTCAGTTACAACCAGCTCAAAATCCTGTAGCCGAAAGTGGGCTTGGGGCATCATTGCAGTCTGTAATGAATAAATAAAACTATATTTCCCCTGTGTATTGCTCAGATAAATACCAACAAGCACATGGGTTACATAAATGAAGGTATCTCGTGGTTTTGTATCTCCAGCGTTGGAAGAGTTTCAATTTAATATGGGAGATTTTGAAATTCTAGAATGACGAAATACAGTTGTTTTTCTGTCTTGTACATGTAGATATTAAAATAGTTTCTACAAGATCAATACCTGAAGCAGTATGACGCATTCTAGTTCCGGGTCATTTCCACATTCAGTTTCTCGATCTACTGGTTGATTAACAGTTATAACTCCCGTTTGTCGATTGATTTTCAGCCATTTTCCATCGGATGCAATTTCTTTATGTCCGGCTATCATTCTTTGTCCAAGTATTTCAAAAGTTCTTCCAGTTAGTTCTGCTGCTCTGACACTGAACAGTTCAGCCAATTTTGCTACCACCGTTCCAGGCTCTTGCTCTTCCGGAAAGTCTATTCTGTATTTTCCACTTCCAGGTTGAGAGGCACGAAGTCTTGGAATGCAAACAACTAAAACTACAGCATAAGCTAGAACGCTCCTACATCTCGTCAGGCCAAATGACCTCATACTTTCCACCTAAAAATAAAAGTGAAAGATCTTCCTTGTTACTCAAGAACTTGACTTGATTACTTGAGAATTATAATCGCATGAGGCGAAGAAATCTATTGTGTAAGTCTATACCCAATTTATTCGCGTAAAAGTACTTTGCTAATGTCACAGCGGGAGTCGATTTATTCGATTATTCCGGTTCGTTAAATGTATTCAAGCGCGAGAGCAATATCAAAGTTTTGAACCAATACCGTGTCACATTTTTATAATCTCTTTAAGGCGGATAATTGGTGCGATAGTATCGGCCAGCGGGATAGAAATGTTAGGAGCCGATACTAGCGGGAAGCAGACACGGGACGCAGACATAAGTTTCATTTTTTAAATATGATACATTCCACAAAACGATGGAATGTATGATCAATTCGAAAAACGTACGATACTGAAAATCACATTCATATTCACAATCATATTCATTATACATGATAACAACCCTAATTTGTCCTCCACAGTCCTGTAGTCCTGTTTTGGGATGCAATTCATAAAAAAAAACGACTGGAAACGTGTAGCCAATGCCTATTACTATTCTGAACTATTCTCGTTTTCTTATACACTCCTTCTATTAAACAAAGGAGGACAAATTATACCCGAATCAACATTGCCAGACCACATGAGATAAATAATGCATAAAAACTATGTCGCTACTTCGTGCTATCACAGGACTTGTCTTGGCAATCTGGCATCCATACTCAATCGATGCGATGTACTGGTGAGAAAACCAATTAATTAAGGCTGAATTAAAACAATGAGGAGGCATCGATCAACCACTCTATTGTAATATTGAAACTTTACTGTTAAAAACGTGGTGTGAAATTTGCGAAAGTTGTATGTTAACAACATGCCTGAACATTTTACATCACAATTTATTTCTTTGCGATATTTTAAGATAATTCGAACGAAAAAATGGAGATCTTAGTTCGATATGGAATTACTCCAAGACCATGCCTGACAACAAATCGATTGATCCCGAAGTCAAGTTTTCGTGTTCATTTCAGACTTTTTGACAAATGATATTAAACCATCGATTTTTAAGAAAACGTATAGTTGATCGAGTTCAAAAATTCGGATTAAGCTCTTGTACCCTTTAACTTTGCATACAGGCAGATTGAAAATGACTAAAAATCTCGAACTGTCTTTTCCACATTTTTCATAGTTCGTTATCTGTCTTTATAATCATATAAATTAATAAAATTATTCCTGACTTGCCCTGCATTACTGACCAACTTCAAGTGAAGAAACGATGGTTTAGTAAATGAAATATTATAAACTAATTTGTAAGACGGCGGTTTGAAAACGAACACCTCCAACACGCGCAAGTATATTAATATTGTGTGAATTCAAATTTCCACCTTGCTCAAAAACAAACACAAAAGAACTAATTATTTAATTACTCTGCTAATTTATTATTGAGATTATGAAACGCGCTATAATTTAAAACTGACACGCGCCGCTTAGCACGTTAACTTGAAGGCGTCTGTTCGCCCACCTTTTATTGCATTGTTAGTTTGCTGGTAATTATATTAATTGCTATATTGTCCCTGCTTTTTTCAAGTTCAATATGACGATAAATCGTTCCAGCTCAATAAAATAAAATTAGCATGCGGCATACCGCTTTTGCAATGTATTAATATTAGAATGAGCACAAAAAGTCAGTTATCTACAACAAGTAATATTGCTGTATAACAAACGAATAATCTTTTCGTTTTTACAATTTTGTAGGTACCATCAAACTGTCTTATGCTGTTGGGTTGTTTCAACAAAGGTAGAAAACGTAGGAATATATCGCATTTTCATTTCAGATCTCTTTTAATTGTTTCGTTTTATATTTTGAGATTCAGAATCTTTTTGCATTTCTATCCATTGTTGGAACATAAGAATTTACCGCATATCCCAATACTGTTCTGGTGTTTTATTATAAACTGAAGTACATTATGCAAAATGAAGTTTCGGAATTGCTCCAGAATTAATTCCGTTTTCGCTTAAAGGCAATTTGTAACTTTTAAAACTTTTACACGTGCCATGGAGGTCAACAGTGAGTCCCGCATTACGTCAATTTATGGGTTTACAACGCTAACTCGTTAGATCACACTTAATTGGAAACGAAAATAATCAAATAATTTTTCAAACTTATTCCGAATATTTATTTTATGTTTGAGTATGATATGACATGTAATCACGATGACGTGACATTCAGTAGCCAATGCGATCGATGCGTAAGATTCTGCGTTCAATATTACAATGTACTCTATATATTCTAGGCCCTTGTTCTTTGTATAACTTATAAAAGAAAGTTGTTCCTGTTTTAATAGGCTTGAAAGGGCGCATTGAGTTTCAGATAAAAATGTTCGATCTACGGCCTGACCACTGTGGTGCTTTAAAACATTGTACAAGTATGAATTTTTGCTAGAACAAGTTGCAAAGGAGCAGTGTTTGGCCAGATATGTAATTAAAATCCTGTATCGCCTTTATCGTTGTTTCACGACATGTCACTCACAAAACCTCTCGGGACAAAAATCTGTGACATATCGCAGAAGTGTACGTCACCCGACCTTATTTTATTAGATTATAACTCAATATCAGAAGTCTGCTTGATATCGAATATAGAAATTAGGACACGTACTGAATTAGTTTCCACCAAATTTCCCTTTAACTAAGTCTTCAATCTCAAATTTAATTATAGCGCCAGTATGTAAGATGAATATCAGTCCCTCAACAGTTCGGCTGTCAATTATTTAAGTAACGATACTCTTTGCCTAGAAATAGCTGTAACCGAATAATTCTAAATTTCACATTTTTTTTTTGTGTGCTCAATTTCGACTAATATAAATGGATCACTTTAAATGTAAAATGTCATTCAATACGTATCAGCAGTATTTTATGTTTGATATGAACCAAAATATTTGTACATTGTTAGTTATAGTAATTTCATTAAAATTCTATTAATTAAAATACACATAGCCTATGTTTTGTACAATTGACATCCTTTAAATACTTCAACTCATTGACACGACAATCCAAATTATCTTAGTATGGCATACTTCCCTACTTATTACCACGAAATCGTTTTCTTAACAGCATCATGAGTAACTTATTCCTTTTTACTGTCTTATTAATTACATTTTTCAAGTGATCTCGTCGAGGGGCTTTTAAGTATCGTTCGAAAAACTAAATTAAAAACGTTATGTACGCGGCAGCTCTTGAAATTGTTAAGCATGTCTTACGCAAACAGAACAGATATATTACGTGTTGTTTCACGGGGTTGCATACTTGTTGATTTGGCGATTTTCCACAATATACCAGGTAAGATTCCAAATGACATTATTCTGAATGAACGATTATATCGCTATTTGAATTTCTTTCTTTAATTAGGTATACATCTAGCAATAATGCACGAAACACTATGAAATGACTCTAAAGTCTGAACACTAAGTGTAAAAAAACAATACAATTATATGCCTAAACTGTAGTCTTTAAACGCAGAAAAGAAATATAAACTCATTTTATTTCTATTTATATATCTAACTCTCCATCACTGATACACTGTAACTTTGAAAAGCTTGTAAACTTAAGCATCCTGTTTTAATACAACTACCGTTTCAACGAAAAAGATTACAATAGATTGAAAGTGTTACAAATATCTTGATTACATTTGAAGGGGTTTCTTCTTTTTTTCATTGCATCTTATCACTCTTCTTCCTTTAATGCTTGCCATAATCCGCATTTAGAGATATAATGCAACATTAGCGCATCAATAATGTCGGATTTTATCAAGCATAGATAAGAGGTTTAATCGGATCAAGGGCGGACTCCCGCGAACAAGACGAAAGATTCACCATTGTCTTGGTTTTAATGATAGATTGATAGCGGGATTTGCTATTCAAGTTCTCATCCGATACTTCGCTCCAATTTATTCTGATACAAGAATAATAGCCCACAGCTGTATAGTACAGAAAGTGTGAGTAAATTAAAATAATCGCAGAGACTCACTTTTGCTTAATATTTTAATTGTTATTGTTATACGCTGTGCTAATTTGTTAATGTTGAATATATCAAAAGATGTAGAGCGTAAGTAATATCTAGGATGTGAAGTTATGATTGCCTTTGTGATGCAATAAAGAAAATTCATAATACCACATTATCTAAAAATTGCTCGGTCAACTACGTGCATGCCCTGAATAAACGAAATACCACATACTAAGATTTTCTATTTTTTGTCCCAGATTAATATATATATTATTATCAAAATATATCAAATATTTCCCACAAATTGGTAGTTGCTACAAACATTCTCAATCCGGATTCATACGCATGGAATGTACGGATTAGTATTGCGATACTAGAACAGCTCTCTTGAAGGAAGTGGTTCGGATCATCCCTTCGAGTAGGGAGAACGCCCTTATGCCGGTCAGCAAATGTATGGTCATAGTAAGCAAAACAGATGTGTGAGTAATCCAGTAATTGATATATTTTCCAATAGCCATATAATATGATTTAGTACTTCCTTCATTATCAAATTGCTTCCCAAGATTGCACGGTTGCAAATCTGTTAGTCAATTTCAAATATAGTTTCTTAGTGCGTGTTGCCAATATTGCCAAATCGATGGCTAAGAAGCAAATCTTGTCATTGCTTTAAATTGGTTTATTTATTTCAAAATATAGTACCCGTGGTTGAAAAGCATATAGGTATACGGAATAAACGGTGACAGTTATGGTATTTAAGATTAGAAAATAGACATATCTTGTTGATGATTACCAACTAATTCAATTGACTAAACATACTATGCAAATATGAAGATTAAACTCGGAAGTTGTATACTTTGACCGAGTAATGCGGTATGATTATTTCCAATTTTGGAAAGAGATATTGACGGAAAATTAGCCCCTTTTCAAATAAAGTTGAATCTATGTAAAAGGCTGATCTCTAAGTATAACATTGAGTACACAACCTCAATTTCACGGACATTTAGGTTATACGCACGTTCCGTGAACAATTACTCATTTGTAATGCTCCAATTGCGTGAACAGGCGTGTAATGATGCATCTCTGCAGCATTACAGCATTAAGAAGGAAATGGAAACGATTTGGAATCAATTTTATACAAATTAACCTTGTTCCTATGAAATTATTCTACACCAATGCTTTGAAAATATATAGAAGAACTCATATTTTCTTGCTTTTAGTTCTTTCGAACAAACATATCACGACATGTAATATCATACATTACATTACACCAGGCAAAGTACAATTGAAGATTAAAAAATTATCGGACGCATAAGTTGGAGCAACTGTTGAAAACTTCGTTTATATTTTGCCACTTTCCACGATTTATCCCTCTTGTTCTTATACTTGATCGCACTAAATATTGTTGACATAAATATTAAATTCATCATTTGAAAATGGAGGTATTAGTCGATCGATGGCTGAAACGCACTCATATTTTGTACCGAGGGACGGCCTGCCATTTGTTCATTGAAATAAATGAGACAGCTAATTACTTATGCCATAACTGGACGATGCATGCTTATGAAAAACGTCATAGTGATGACAATAACTGGGGTAGCTTCTTTTTTATACCCACAACGCACGTACTAACACCATGTTCCCATCCAAAAATATTTTTTTTTGTGATTATTTGTAAATTATCTCAGTACCAACATGTAACCGAAACGCGCGATTATTATGTCTTGAAAACTTTTTTTGTACAACAAAATATCATTAAATTAAATATATTATCTGATAGCAAAGTGAGAATAAATATACCTCAGAATCTGCGTTTTATTCTTCCAACACGGTGGTCGATATAAACGTCAAGGCCTAAAACCCCCATTAAAGACCTCAAAATACAAATAGCTGACCCGAAATACAAAAACATCAATATTTTCGAAACTTCACAAATTCGCGTGATAAAATTGGTAAAATCCCGGCGCCGATGAGGAGTAAAATATCAAATTTCAACGCGTACTTGATATTCTACGGATTATTGAACTCAAAAGTATTGACACCCGGCAATATTCGAGGCGCATTATTTACTGTTTTTATACGCCAAACTGGGACCATGGCCAACCTGTTATATCATGCCCGCGGTTGCATTTATTCCATTTATTGACGATTTTGCTATTGACAGAAAGTGACTAAACTCTTCAGTCGAGATAGATATTATTCAAATCGTATTAATATATAATAATGCAATGAGAACACTTACCTATACAACGCTTAAATACAAACAAAAGTTTACTATAGTCTATTCCCTATTGGGGAACTTAGAATTAATAGTAAGGAAGATGAAAAAGTATCTGTTATTTCAATGAAGTATGAAATTAATTAGTGTTTTACATACCCGTGTCTTCTAAGAAGTGTTTCTTCAAATTCTCCAAAATACACTAGATAATTGTTTCTTGTTCCTTTCAAAATCAGGCAAAAGACTTCAAAAATCTCGCAAACGTGCAATTATATTTTTTAAATCTACTGATCTGTAAGTATTGACAAGAAACAGGTTGGGGACATGTGGATTTAAACGTTAAAATGCACTCAGCCACAAGACCGAAAATTTAAATGTAAACAATTTTAAAACATGTTTGGTCGTATTCATTTCACATTTGCAATTCGGTGTCGAATTCTGAGTTTAATAGTGGATCAAACAATATCAAGATATACCACAATGATAAATATTGAATATTGATATCACAAGATTTGTTTCCGCGAAACAGGGAAGTAACTAGTTGCCCTAGATGCCCAATTCAAGTGAATGCACGCGGCAACTAGGAACGATTTCAATATGTGAATGGAACCAAGTATGTGCCAAACATGTCGCATATACCAGTGTTAACGGCGCTTGACAACCATCTATTTAAAGTGTCGAATTCATAAGCAGAATTAACGTGTTCTTTTCATATGGATAGACTACAGTGAATTGTTTTCATAGTAATGCTCGCACCATGAGCTAGTTTTCAATCGGTTTTAGTTCTATATTAACTCTGTAAATAGAAATTTGATTCTCGCATGTTTTTGTTGAAAAGCCACAACACCGTTGGTTCACGTTACATGTTAAATATTGTCTCTTTTGCCCACAATCAAAATTAATTTGTGCGTGGTAGGCAGTCAAGCGTCAGCCACGGATGGAACTCGTTTGCCGAATCGCCATTCATCCGTTAATCATGCTTGACAAAGAGTAATTTCTTGACCGTAGATAGGTATCGGAATTTTTTGTTGTGAAAAATCGTCATAGTTTACAGTGTGCGAGAAAATGAAAATTTATGTCCATAAAATGAGTAAAAATATCTTAGTTTTAAATGAATGAACGACAAAATGACGATTTCAATCGTCATGGTAGATTGGATATTTTTTTCCAACACAAATTATCGAGGGTGTTACTATTGCCATATTACGAGGATTCGTGCAATCAATCACCTTAGGTGTCATTTTATTAAATTTCAGGGATTTTTTTTATCCAAAGCAAACATTCCAATCGTCTGCGCGTCACGCCATCCACACAGATACATTTTGTAACCCGTTTTTTATCACAAAAATAGCATGCTATTATATGCGATATAAAACTTAAAACACACTTTTCATAATTAAAACCAAGTTCAAACAATATACATTTTTCAGCTGTCTTTCGCAAATCCTACACTTCTTAAAAATACTCGTGTAAAATTACATCGACTCTCAGTAAATGGAATCACAATAACTGAAAACCATGACCAATTACTTCACATTTATTTCATTTCCTTAATTCACACTTTGGCATAGACTACTTCCGATGTATAATGTTTAACGGTACCTGATAAACTTGCCTCACTTACAAGCCAACTATATTTTCTACACTTCTGTATCTACCTTTGAGGTTTTTAATTCCTTCCCCGATAAGCCTGCTAATCCCAGTGAAACATATGCTAAACTAAAGTCCACCTTTGAACCTCTGAAACTACCTTGTGGTCGGGCGAGTCGATCAATATATATTTAACTTTGCAAATTGGATATCGCTGCTGTTAATCAACCAACTGAAATCCAATAAAATGGACCATATTTGATTTACGCCCGAGTATCCTATGTTTTCAAAGAAATAATAAATTCTTTATACCTAAACACAATAATGTTTTTTTGTGTGATGTTTCGGAATAAAAAGTTACCCAATGACGAAACTGCCATAACAAAAAAATATACCGATGCCTCGATAATCGCCAGCTAATATCAAAAGACAAATATTCTTGAAATTGAAATGAAGAAGTCTTACATCTAGTGAGGTACCAGCAAGTTAATCCCGGACAATTCAAGAACTTAGTCGTTGTAAAATTGGCATTCACTACTGTTGATTATTGTTTTTATTCGCGTCGTAAGTCGGAAATCGTAGCACTGAACGAGAGCAGGTAATCTATTATAATAATACGAAAAATACAAAAGTCCGGATTAATTACAGACCCCAATTGCTGTTCTAAAATCAAATTATCGTTAACAAAATATCCTGAGGTTCTGTTATACTTTTGTATCAATTATTTCAAAATTCTAAGTACATCCCAGCAATGTATCAATGCCATGTGACGAATGAAACATAGATCCGTCTACATCTCATTCTCGAGAAATAAATTTTCTGAAGTATTTGTCAGTACTGTGTGTCTCTTTCTGCCTTTCTTTCTGAAGATTGTAGACCCTTTCTTACACTTCTGACCAACCATCTGTGTCTCAGCTAAAAAGTATAACAATTTGAGTTAAATTGAAATTTATTCAATATCTACTTTGCTAAACTTAGATACTTTTTCATAGGAAGACAACTTTATCTCTGACGCCTCGACTCGGTAGGTGGTCAGACAACTTACGAACAACAGACGTTCTATGAATGCGAAATAGATATCGTATCGTTGTTCAACTTTCCATCAATTTTCTGTCTATTGTCAAAACTTTGACAAATCCTGATCTTCCTCCGTGGATTTAGGAAAATCTATGCCATTCTTTGGTTTTAAAAGCAGGAAGGTCGTTTAAATTCAAATTTGTTCACTTTTGCTTTCGCAAATAAATAATCAAATTATAAATTATCGTAATTAAAGCTCAAAAATTGTCCATTTTCGTATATTCTTAATAAAGAATGTTTGACAAAATGATTCGTCATATGCTCTCACTTTTCCGTCTTATTACTAGAAACTATACTTCACTGGCGGTTAAAATACAATTTTAGGTGTGGCTTCTCCTTCAACGTTGCCCACAACGTCAAAGACTGATCCAATTATTTCTTCTCCGCCTGAAACAACATGATTGACTGCATCCTATTCTTTCTAATTAATTGTATTTCCGAAAGAACTATTCCGATAAGCTAAAATAATTTAACAAAGTAACCTAACCTACATTACCTATATTGATCTTATAATTTTCAACCACTCAACCCCATCCGAACAAAGTCAATTTCAATTAAACGAATTAAATCGATGTCCCTCCATTTACATTCATGATCTAGAAATGCACGCTGGGAATACACACAGCGGGCGCCTACAAAACTTTCGCCGGCACTCGCACGCCGTTCGAAGGTGATAACAAATGTCAAAATAACGTATCGGCACAACAATGCTGTCTAGAATAGATAGTAGTAACACCACAGCCGATACACTGTCGCACTTCTGTTCATATTCTGCGTGATATCTCTCGCCGACATTTTTCGCAATAATACCTTTCCTAATATTGGCAAAATTTCAAATAATTCTTCCACTCTTCATTCTTTCGGTAATAAATGAATTGAACGATAAGTAATTAGAATATAAACAGCCCACGGAATACAAAAGTCCAGCGGTGCGATGGAATTAGAGTCAGTGCCAGAATTTTGCATTCGAATACAAAATTGGAGTTTCGGTTTTGGAGAATGCTTGAATTGCCATATACATACAACCGAAAGGCAATCTAAAATTTTAAATAATTGCGAATATAGATAAACACGCCGCAATATCTTAGTGATTGTCCCGGTAATTTCGAATAATCGCGCTTCTGTTGGAATTATAAACATCCATCGCAATAATAAAAATATTGGCGTTTCCGGGATCTAAATATCACAATAACCTATTCTGGTTTATTGTAGCCTGTACTGATACAAACAACCGACCATTACACGAAGTCCGACAACGCAGAACTATAGAAATAAGTAAAGTAAGACCCAGTTTTCATCGTGAAAGAAGGTTAATAACACGAAGTACACAACACAATGCAAGAGATTTTCTTTGTATAATGCCGAACAATACAACGAGGGATTACTCCACCTGATATATTTTTGGCATAGATTTAGCTATATCAAGTTTGCTACATGCATGATAAGTGTAATCTACTTACTACGTAAGGAAAAGTAAAAAATAAATTAGTAGTTTTGGTCATTCTACCGTTAAAACCAATCATACGCCGGTTCAACTTATTAAACTTTATTCATTCATGATAATTCAATCAGTGTGTATTTTCTGCTCGTTTGATTTTCAAAAAAAAAATAAATAAATAAATTCAATTAGCTTTTGTTGAGAGAATATAAAGTTATCAATTCTGGTTGAGTGTTGCCGCAGTCCTTATAAACTTGACCCAAAAAACGATGCATTATAATACTTGCGCCGATTTGTATATTAACCGAAATTGCAATTATTTGGTATATTATCAATTACAGGCAACATAATTAAAATCTAGCTAACAGACATATTTCTAGAGTTGCATTGTTTTTCTAATCACCCAAAACGGATTATAGGACGCAATATGGAGTAAACCCATCAAAGAGTAGTTCATTTTCCATAATTTTAGAAAGGTCGAAACCATGCAACAATATTCCGAAAAATGCATGATGTATAGCTGTCCAATATACAAATACTAAGATTTGATTTAGGACATATTCGAAGATTCTGTACACCTTGAGGCATTTATTGAACCTATACTGAATATACACAATCTTGTGCGAATAGAAAGGATGTTACAGATGTTTTATATTAGACGTTGTTATGTTGGTCGGATGTGACCATATGTAATTCTACATATCGACTAGCGCTCAATGACTGAATTTTGAAAAAACACAATTCACTTCAATACTACATAAATCAGACATCTACAAAATTACTCCAGGTTGGGTAGAAATTAACAACAACGTACTGCTGCTGTTCCAGTCGCGTTATTCATTATTTTCACCATAAGTTGCCTCACGAAAATTGACGTCTCAACTCCCAGAATACTAGCAAATCAGCATTCATTGAACCAAACATTAATTGATATTTCAAATTGGTTCATAATTCTCATGCATATTCATCAACATGCCTCAGCCAAATTACTATCATTTAGCATTCAACACTCTTTTTATTTATTTATGAAACGTGCAGTAAATGCTGATATTAGACCACCATTACCATATATGATCATTCCTGAAATTATTTGCAGTTAAGTAAGCGATGGGCACGAGGGTATAGGGAACAAAAGGATGGCGGAAACTGAATTCCTACTATTAGTCATCTCATTTTGTATTTACAATTGATAGAAACTGACGTTT